CCATAATTTAAATGATGTGCATACCTTCTTGTGATTATTTTGTTGATTTTTCATGAGTATTTTTTAGGGTTTATGTTTGAAAAAAAATGATTCTATCAAATATGATCTTTGTAAAAAATACAATACAGTTTTTGTTTTTACATTATTAACAGACAGTAACACGATACAGCAATTTAATGATTAAAGCCTGTATAACTGCAAAAAGGTCGAGAAAGGAGGCAATAGTTAATAGCTTATCTCTTAAAGTTTATGGGGAAAGGTATAAATCACTTTTAGTTATCATTTTTGGTATGTTCTTTATCTTTTTTTAGTTTGAAAACATTCTGCCAAATGAAAAGACCTGAAAAATATTTACAAATTTAAGGTGGAAAATTGACTTAAGAGAATTGACTTCAGAGAATTGACTTCAATTTCCTATACTGTTTTTTTAATGTGGGCTCATCTTTCCTGTCAGTATTGCCTAATACGGTATGTTAATGAAGTCTATTAACCATGATGCTCATGATGCGTATCCCTAAAATAACTGAGTATGTACAGTCGTGGACTGTAAATATCATTCCAAATTTTAGAGGCTGCATTGCATTTAATAAGAAGGAAACGTGTCATGAGCGTTTAACTGAGTAATAAGCGAGTATTACCTAAACATTCTAAAAAAAAAGTTTGAAAACTATGTGACAAAGACTATTCCGACATAGATTCTACCTTAACATTTTTTAATTCAAGATTGAATTAAACTTCCGAAAAACAAAGAATCGTGCACATGTTCATACAATTAATAAAGTTTTCTTTTATTCTAATTTTATATGTTACTTGGTTAAAATACTCAGATCAATCATATATCTGTTTATCGGATAGTTGAAGTTTGTACAAAAAGGACTAATTTTCCCGAAAAACTAATTCAGTGCTTCTATTACATACCCGCTTATCAGGTTTCGTGACTTTTTTTTCTGATAGCCCATAATTATAAGGATGTTTCCATCAATAAGATAAATTACCGTATGTTACGCTTCTTATGCATCTATAAATAATAATTATTATATTAATTAATTGTTGTTGAAGTTAATAAAGGTATTGAAGTGACATGTAAGAGGTACATATACTAGACTGTCAGAAATAATGAAACAGAAAGTAGACATAATCTGACATTAGGAATTCCTCTTCTTTAAGTTTCATATTAATTGTGAATGATCAGGATGGTGTTAACATGTATTAGATGGTACATGTAAAAATGTAAGTCAGGTCTTAAAGTCACTTAATATTTAAAAAATAGGAATTCAGATTATACAATTATGTGACTCGACAAATATGTATAAATACATTTATAAAAACAAACAAAATGGATTAATAGAATTTAATATATGCATTGAATAAATATAAATTCATATGCTTTTCCAAAAGAAATTATTTTATTTTGCCTGATCTATTGAATATCATTAGAACCATAAATCCATTTTTCTGCAAAATTGGTTTCGTTTTCACTTATTTTTCTTGGTAATGATTAGTTTTCAGAAAATGTAGTCTTTACTACAGACTTACACACTATCACAGGCACGTAAATCTTTAAGATACAAACTGGATCATCTGATCGACAAAAGTTGTAGAGACAATGGAACCTTTGAGCATAATTCTACTATGTGTTTTTGTAAGTATCAAATTTTTAACATTTTCATAAACCATTAATTTTGAAAAATTCATTCATGTAGAATACATACATATTTATATGCTTCAAATATACGAACAGCACAAAGAGAATTAGTATACACTTAATAATATTCGATTAAATAAAGATAGGTAGTTCATTCTAAGCATCTTTTTTTTAATAAAACAATTTAACTATAATTTTTAACATTTTGGTATGTTATGAGAGTATCAATAAGCTTCAATCTATATAAAGATAAATATTTTGCCTCCATGTATTGTTAAATTAATTTCCCGAATACTTGTTAAAATGTTAGTTTTTACTTAAAACCACATAGAAATAAACTGTAAGTAGGACTCTACATTTATTATACCTTTGATGATGTAATATTTTTCAATTGCAAGAAAGTGGTAATATTTTTCTTAAATGAGAGAGATAGACTACTTTAGCCATGTAGACAAGATACCAATAAAATATTATATGGATATTGTATGGATTAAAATATTTTGTTTAAATAAAGCTGCAAGCATAAGGAACTAATATAACTTTATATTGTTTGCAGATTCCGGTTATAGTCCTTCTGATTTTATGTCTCCTTTGCCTTTCCTTGTATTGGAAAAAGAAGTGGAAATCAAGAAATGTAATATTTATGTCATTTGAACATCAAATTCAAGCATTTATTTAAATGTTCGAGCTATAAATTTATACAATAATAACGAAAATCATAATTAAAAAAAAATATTCAGTAGAAAAATCATAATTTATGTGCCCCAATGTATCATAGTTTAAAAATGTATGATTTTGAAGGAACCAAAAAAAGGTAAACGTATATACATGACAAGTAAAAACGTCGACACTTTCCTTTTGTCACTTTATAGATATCAACTGATTTAGAGGCACATACATGTACAGAGATAGTGAGCAAGGTATGTGCTGAAGGATGATAAATTGTATGAATAAATGCATCTAAGTCTAATGCATGTTCCTATTTCTGAAAAACTGTTTTTAGACTTTCTGAAAAAAAAAAGAAAATGATTCAACCGTATCAACAATATTTGTATTCATTAATATTTTGTTTAGAATATATCCAAAGAGTGTGGGAAAGACACGTTTCGGGTAAGCTCTTTTCCTTAATGATAGATGTAATTGCCGAGCAAGTTTAGAAATTTATGGAAGTGTTACGGCTAGTTACAATTTTATTGATGTACCCATTTGAATAAATCGTAATTCCTTTATGACAAAGGAAACATTTAACTACTGTATTTTTTAAGACCATGATCACTTAGTTATAGCCTCTAGACAAAACCATGAAATAATCATACACTGAGTCGCAGCAACAACTTACTACAATTTAAATACATTTCAATCAGTCCAAAACTAACTTAACTTTATCCTATATGATACCTTCAAAGACAGACGACCATGCCAAAAATTGTTATTCTGATTGGAGATATAATAGAAATATTTATTTTAAAAAATGAGAAAAGTAATTTATTCCTGCTTACAATGGTAATTAATTCTTTGATACTATATGCTGTTGTACATGTGTACGATTTTAATGATTTAAAGATTTTATTTCGTACACGACAGTTTGAAGACGAAAGAAAAAGCAAAGTCAATGATGAAGAGGCGCAGGTTAGTAAATTTAATCTTTCATTGGAATTGTTTTTCGTGAACTATAGTCCATTACTAGTATTGTATGAAATAATCCACACATAATTATATCTAAAAAAAACACTTTAAGCTTTTTATAGCGCTTTATAGAAAATACACTCCGCAATATTTTCCACATGTATATTCAAATATATTTTTTTTTACTGACGACGTCGTTTTACAAAATGTAAAATTATAGTAAAATAATTGCATTGTCAAGGTACATCGATACTCTTATAAGAGAGATAAATCTTAATGACAACAATGTCAAATATCCCTTTAAAAATTTTTATGTTTTAGTGTCTTTTTTGTCCAATTTTGCGCCGCAAGCCATGCTTTGATTGTTTGAATCTTGCTTAGCATTTATATTTTCTTTTCTTCAATTTTTTCCTAGGACTTTCTTCTTTTAGATAGTTTTCTCTTCCAGTATTTTGTTAAGATAAAGGGATGTATTGTCACAAACTTGTTACTTTTATATTTTAAAATTTGCAAACTCGCAATCGCTTTCAACAACATCTTGCAATCGTGTGTTACAGTGTATCAATTTTTTTTTCGGCATTACGAAAAGCCAGGTTTAAGGCGCTAAGGGTTGTAGAAACCATGAGACATCATCTTTGTTGTTTTACTTCATTTGCAAAATGATATCTTTAATAAGATTTTTTTTATTTTCACTAAGTTCCTCCCTAATTTCAGATACATAGCAGCGATGATAAATTAAATACCCTCCATATTTTCTTATGTCTAGATCAAACACTATTACATATCACATATACTAATACACATTTTCTACTATAAAATATAGATTCCACTTATGGCTTTGGGTGAGAGTGACAGTTCTCAACATCTGAATACTAACCAGGCATGTACAGTTGTAAAGATACATTCCGCTTATTAATGTGAAATTAACCTACGTCTACATTCTGAGTAAGAAATATGACAATTTTGAAGACATCCTATGAAACAAATTTAATTAAGCTGCTATGTTGCTTTTTCAGGAAAATGTCATTGATACAACTGCGTCTAAAAAATTCGAAGAGCCAAGAACAAAGAGTTACGTTCACACAAAGGAAGTAAGTCTAAAGGATTTTTATGAAAACTATTACAATGAAGGTACCGATATCATGCTTCTCAATTTACTAAGATTAAAATGGTTTAAGACCAATGCATGAATGTGCATGCTTCTATTGCATATAAAAAAGAAAGATCATTAGATCACTAAAGATAGTCTTTTGTAATGTTTCTCTTCCAGATAAGCTTGCAGACTGTGTGTCCTGAATCCATTGACAAATATACGCAGACTATATATACTGTGGAGAACGAAGGGACACAAACCGATGAGGTATCTACAAACTAATATTTACATTTCCAATGTCTTTGTCCGAGATTAAATTACCAATTGTAAATGTAATTTCCCCATCAATGTTTTGGCGCGGTTCCAAAAAAAACACGTGCAGGGTCGGACAAACAGCTAGACAGAAGCAGGGCTTAGAGCACGTGGATTGGCGGAATCAAAGCATGCAAATATAAGGAATAACTGTCAGATTTTTCAATTTCATGAAGATGATCAATCGATTGGCTTGCGTAATAATTTTATACATAAACGCTTTCGGCGTTTATGCAAATTATCACGCAAGCCAATCGATTGATCACTTCCTGAATTCCAAAAATAAGACAGTTATTCCTTAAATACAGTCAATAATATTTTTTTCAAGACTCTGATCAATAAAGATCTCAAGATATCCGACTACATGTAGCTGCTTGTTCGATCCAGAGGGATTAAATTATGCCTAACATAAAATCTGCAACTAACTAAATTGCATTCATACCTCACTATTATGATTTTGAATAAGGGAAGGATATAACTTAAGTTTGACATACATAAATTATTTGATAATAAATTAAACAACCTTTAAGCATAAAAGGTTGTTTATAAAAAAGGAAATTAAGTCAATACTAAACTGAAGAGCTGCTAAAGATAAAAAAAATATACAGTGGAGCCTCATTTATCCAGACGCTTTGGTTCCCAGTCAATTTGTCAGATATGTGAAGCGTCCGTATATCTGAATCGCCAGTTAAATGAGACAAAATGACGTTAAAAAATTCTGTACCCATGAATAATGCTCCGGATACTGAAGCATCCGGATATCTGGGGTCCGGATATCTGAAGGTCCACTGTATATGAAATGCACAGTGGGGCAATGTTAATGGTAAGGGTAACAGATGGAATTAATAAAAAATAGATACACATAAACAAATTAAATTATTTCATAAAGTTAATACACAATTCCATGTTTTGAATAATAGTGAAACACTGTATGGTAACTTTACTTTAATAAGTATTTCATGATTTAAAACAAAAGTACCTGAATCAAAAATTGTATCACTATGCATCTTATTTTTGTCTAATGTAAGTGATTTAAAGATATTCATTTGCCCTTGTGTCTTTTTTTATCCTAAGAATCATATCAAATAACCAACTGATGATCTTTTGACATTTTCTTTTAAGGCAGAACCATTAAATGTGATGGAGTTTGATCCTCCAAAGGCAAGTGAACTTTTTCCCATTTAGATTCAATACAATATTCCTTTCATCATCAATTAACTTCGTTTCCAGTGAATATATTTGGCTACAACCATGAAGCTCTTCTTTTTTTCATTGATAAAAATGTTTACATTTTATAAAACCGTTTTATGGTATTTCCCAAGCTCTACGAAATATACATGTATTATAATGATTATTCACAAATATGCATTCTTACAGGGAAATAAAAATCTTGGGAACACCTGCTTTTTCAACTCAGCGTTACAGGTATGGGAATTTGGACTGTGCATTTGATTCGCAGTAGAGCTATTAAAGTGTAACACATACATATTTCTACATTTTTTTTTACATTAGGCGCTGTACTTTACCAAATCTTTTAAAGATGCTCTAACCACCTTAAAGGTAAGACCTTTAAGATAATGTGATGTATATACTAGCTAAAATTTTAGACAATAATCGATTGAAACAAGAAATATATTCTCTTAATAAAGCAATTTAACTCTTATATAAACATATTTGACATCTTAATACTTCGTACTTTCAACAAACACATGCAGTACCCGCATCGTTATTCTTTACAGGATACACGATACGATAGGATACACGCACGATACGATAGGATACACGCACGATACGATAGGATACACGCACGATAGGACAAGATACACGCACGATAGGATAAACGCAAAACACGATAAACGCAATTCACGATATACGCAAAACACGATAAACGCAAAAAACGATAGACCTAATAAACGATCTTCACGATAGGATAAACGCAAAACCTGATAGGATTGTTTCAAAATGCGGAATGTTTTCTGACAAGACGAAAAGATTATTTTGTCTATATATAATTGTTACTGCAATATTCTAATTTAAATACTTGCAGAGCTTCAAATCTATAAATTGAGTGGTAATTTTACAAAAGTTGTTTATTTATATAAACAAAATTTGACAATGATTAAATGGATTATTATGAAATGGAGACTTTATTATTTTTTTTTATTTCTTATCAAGGGTGTAAATTTACGATTATTATTTTGTTAATGTCCAAAATTCTCATCTTAAGGTTGAACCATGAATCGTTTTATTATGGATATTTAAGCAAACATGTAATTGTTGCACAAAAATCCCTTACATAATTATGTACCGTTTCTCACGGGTACTATTAAAGATTTTTGAAACTCTGTAAATAGATTTATTATTTATGAAAAAATTTAATTTTCTATCTAATAAATTTATCTACAAGTACCAAGTTATTCACGGAAGAAATTAACGCAATAAATTACATACTTTATTTAATGTCTAAAGCTTACAATCTGCGATGCATTTAAAAATCGAAATTAAATATTAATATTTTAGAAAAAAAAAAAAAAAACAAGTAGAAGACCGGCCAAAAGAAAGGTTTAAAGAAAACGGCTTCAACAAAATTAATAAATTTAACATGATAGATCTATCAATAATTAAACAGTTCAAGAAAATAATTTTCTGAATACAAATCTAAATAATTGCTAAAATAATGGCGCTCTGCATTAACACATGTAAACGGTGTCAACAGAATATGAATCTGCTACAACTACACATGTATACGTTTACGCTAAGCTCTGACTTGTATACATGTAAACATTTATATATCAAATACTAAAAACCTCGTATTTATTAACGAACATTGAATGGTTAAATAATTTTTTCTTTTCAATACAAAACGGAAAAATTAATTAACAAATATTAAAAGAGTGTGAAATGCGACATTTCCGACTAAATAATTATAAAGTATTGCTATTAAACTTTGTGTTTACTGTTTCTAATAATAACAAAAATAGGTTTAATTCGGCAAATGAATTATTAAACCTTTAAAATCATTTTAGACTTACCCGGTAATCTCATATGAGGCATATTTGAAGGGCGGGATGTTGAAAGTCCGTAACCAATTTAAAATAAGATAAACAAGATCTAACCAAATAGTCAAATATAATATTGAATTCTTAAATAAAGTTATACACTGTATACGTATGGAATGAAATCGATTAATACTATAAATTAAGTCAGTGTATTTACTCGTCTTGCTCGGTCACGGCGGAATCAGACGACTTCTTTTGTTTTATTTTAATAGGAGGATACCGTAAAAAAATAATGCTAGCTAATTTTTATATTTTAGAATGTTAGAACTATTTCATCCGTTTCTACGAGCAATGAAATTATTTCCTAGAATTAATTTTGTCAGTATTACGTAGAAAACCCGATGAACCGAAAGTGCGTGTACCATAAGTGCAGTATTTTTTTTTTAAATTTATTTAAAGACTTATTTACATAAACATAATGGAAACATCGTACGAAATGAAATAAATCAGCGGATTGAGTTTAGGGACTTCATTTCATTAAATTGATTTATTTGAATTTTTATTTAACATTCAAGCAATGAGATGATTTTTTAATCCAAAAATTGTACAATTATTTAATATAGTTTGAATTAAATCTTTGATAAGTTAGTTCAAACAAGTTAGGTAGAATTCGAGGTTACTAATTGACCTCAGGTGAGAAATCAGTACAGGTAATGTTGATGGTGATCACACACACGGGCCGAGGTGTCAGTTAGGGGAAAAGGGGGAGGGGGTGGATGACCGCACAGGAAGACAGTGTGCTAATTAGAGGGCTACACGTACGTGTCATTTTTCTGTTAAGGAAAGGTCTTCGATTTATTTTGATTTTTGACATCCCGATGGATTATATTAACAGTTTATTTTCACGCCTAAAAGGTAAGCTGTTTATGTTATCTAATGCCAGATAAAATTAATGAAAAACCTCTATTTTATAGAAACAGCCATGGTGTGAAAAATTGGGTAAAATATTTTCAAGCATTATATTTTATGATTTGATATTTTAAAATTAATTTAGACATACAATGTAATTATATCAAGGAATTTATAATTAGCTATAAAAAAATTAAAATTTGAACGTATACGGCCAAAATCGTCTGTAAAATCATTTGGATCAATGTCTAATGTTTTATTATTTTTGTAAAATCAAGACTTTTAATAATTCTGCATATATGCAGATCAGAGGCGTAAACATATTACAAATGTTATCAGACGATAAACAAGAAAAACTTAATATTACATGAAAAAATGATACATATCAATATCCTGCTATTTATTTATTTATTTGCTTTTCGTGCATGCAAACATAATAGCTTACCAAAAATCTTTTTCCGATAATCTGATTCATTTAAGATAATCATATTAATAGTATTTAATTTTGACAAAACAAATCATACAATTCGATAAATTATTTTAAAAAAAGACAAGGTGATCGATGTACTTATAATTTCATTTCCAAAAAATGGAATTACTGTTTAAATTTTAACAAAAACTCTCTGCTTAGCCGTGCTTAATTATTTTATTTATTTAATAAAAAATCAATTTATTCATTCATGAAATACGCTATTATTTTTTTTCTTTTCCTTCTACGCTTTAATATTTCTTATTTTGATGAAAAAGAAAGGAATAAAACTTTATTTTCTCTTTTTCGGTTGAATTAATCTTATTTTTATTAACAAAACGATAAAGAAACTCGGAATTGCTCAGTAGTTTCTTTGTATAGAAAAGATAAAAAGCGAGGGTTTCCGAATATACACGATAAACGCAAAAAAACGATACACGATAGAACCTGATAAACGATCTACACGATAAACGCAAAACACGATAAACGGAAAACACGATAGAAAACGCAAAACCTGATAAACGGAAAACACGATACGATAGGATACGATAGGATACACGCACGATACGATAGGATACACGCACGATAGAGCACGATAGAATTGTAAAGAATAACGATGCGGGTACTGAATTTACTCTCTCTCTCTCTCTCTCTCAGAAATTATGCTTTTATTTACTTAAATAAAAATTTTGTTTCAAGAAATCATCATCAACCAGTGATAGTATGAAATTGACGAAAAGGATGTTCGATTTACTTGAGAAAAAGAATGTTAACCACACTCAGGAATTAAGAGGTGTTTTAAATGCAGTAAGAAGCATGTATGTACCGAAAAACATAAACGTTGCTTCAGTTTTTGAATCATCGTACATTGTATCACCAGTATTGACTTTTTTTATTTCAATAGTGAGCAGAAAAGAAATTCATATCATCATGTTTTTCATTTATTTATTTATTTTTTTTTTTCAGAAATAATCAATTTGGTCGTGGAACACAGGAAGATAGTTATGAATTACTAAATACATTACTTGACGGAATATTTAATGAACTTCGTACAGCTAGTGTAAGTGTAGAATATATACCGGTTGTCTAATTATTCTTTTTAAAAATACATCATTAATAGATTATCTTCTCAATTTGATAAAAATATCAGGCTAGTAAATTTATTTTTTTTTTCAGGAGAAAGGAACATTGCAGTCAAAAGGTATATACTAGACTAAGTATACAATATCGTAAAGAGCAGGTCTTCAATTCGTGGTCTTTTTATATCTGCTGTTGTGATTTTGTCCATTTACTTACACTTTATATATTTTTAGATCTTGATTCTGATAATAAGGGAGTAGGCGTGAAAAATCTTTTCACTGGGTTATTCATTGTGATCTACGTTTATGATTCATGTAGTGATGTAAGTATATCTTTAAATTTTAAATTACGCTGAAGAACACAAACATGACATGACAGTTTTTCCACACCGCAGTGTTGTCAAAGTACTATGGTCTCCATGCGTATTAAACATTACATTATTTTCCATTTTTCTAGGTCGAGGTTGATTTTGAAGAATTTACATCTTTAAGCATTCCAATCGTAGAACAGGTGGAACATGATTTTGATGTAGGAATAGCAAATTTTAGGTTTAATAGTACATGTAATTTAGCAATAAGAAAGGCTGAGTCTGAAATTTGTTTTCCATCTTTTCACTTTTTATTACCATAGAAATCACCACATCATGGTTTACAAACCATTTCTACAGAGGAACCATGTAAAGGCATTGACAAGGGTTTGGCAGTCTTAACACAAATAGAAGAATATGAGGAAAGTGATTTACCATGTAGAGTGTGCACTATAGGTAACGACATAATTATAAGTGACAGGTCATTCCATTCTCATATTGTTTTTATGTGTATTTAAAAGAATAACAACTCAATATATAACACTTTGAACAACTCATTTAATTATTCATTTATCATGACGACCTGTATGAATTATTATTTATTAAAAACAAGAATTCATACTTAATGCAATGGACTATGAAGTTTATTCAATAATGGCCCGAAAACACTTAAAAGATAACTTCAATGAGAGATAAAAAAATGCACGTAGATTGTCAATGATTATTATTTATTTTTTAGAGGGATCTGGAAAATCTTATAGACGACTATTGGTGTTTCAACCTCCTCCTGTACTTGTGATACACATTGACAGATTCACAATGGTGTGTCAAATTCTTAGTGAAAGGCATAAATCTTACTCTGAATTTTTTCATTTTATTGCATCTTTTAGAATAGTTTTCATGAAATTACTTATTAAAATTATTTTTTTTAATTCGTAGAATGATTCCAATCGCCTTACAAAAAATACTAAATGTGTCCAGTATCCTAGAAGGTTCAACATGGCAAAGTTCTGTTCAGTTGCAAACAAAGTATGTTAAAATCTTTAGTTGTTTAACCGTTCAACATAGTTACAAATCATTATATGTACCGCTCATTGAATATTTAATCATTATAGATGTAAGAGTAACATTTGAATACCACAATATGCCATTTTCAGGAACTTTCAGCAAATGGATTGTTTTACGAACTCTATGCTGTAGTTGTGCACTCCGGCGCACTTGGCGGTGGCCATTATTATGCATATGTCAACACCACGCGGAGGCATGACGTCAAAATATGGCAAGAGCATCTCAATAGATCGACCGGGGATGTGGAAAAATTGAAAAGTACAGTACAAGAATATCTGATGGAAAAGCGTGACCTCCGAGATAATTCAAGATACCTGAATCCATACGAAGTGAAAGACAATTGGTTTTATGTTAGCGATAATAATGTTCGTTCAACGAATATTGGTGAAGTTCTATGCCATAAAGATGCTTATATCTTATTTTACGAGGTGCAATAACATACGAGTGTGTGTGTTAAATGAAAACAGACTTTTTAAATCATTGTATCTATGACAAAGAAAAGTTTAATGCATTATCAATTTTCATTGATTTTAATCTAATCAATTACATCTACATGTATCCATACTGTTTGTGTATTCTAGGGCTAAGGCTTGTTTATCTTTAAATCTTTATTTGATTCATCACAATATATTAAATTAAACGTTTTGATTTCTTAATTAAATACGCAGTGAAGTTTTGAGACTATTTTTCTTATTTTGGTAAGAAACATTTATATCCTAATATGCGCTTAGAGTTGGCTTTTTGTTTAGACAACGAGCATATTTACCTGCGCTTTAAATCATCAAAAATATGGAATTCTAAAGTTATGATTTATCAAATTACAACATTCACTTTATTTCCTTTTCTGAAAAGAAAATATTTTTTTTGCTTATTATATTATTATATTAATCATTTTGTTATTCTTTTCTTTATCTGGCTTTTTAAAGTAAATCCTCAAGTTTTTGTGCAAGTGATTGTATTTTTGTCTGATTGTGCAGCTCTTTTGTTTACATTTAAATAAAGAATAACTTTGATTTCTTCTTAACTTGCTTCTCTTTTTAATTTGTTATTGGATGAAACACATAGAGACAACGACCATGTATCCAAGACAAAAGTCCACCTTCAAAACATCAGACGTAGATTCAGGTGTCATGGAGGAGTAAGCATCCCCGGGCGACCGGTCACACCCGCTGTGTGAGCCTTGTCATGAAATTAAATGAAAAAATCCGTCGTCAATTCAGTTTATAAATAATGGACAAACAATTAGTATGAAAAACATCAGTCTGCATTCATCAGTCAAAAAAACTACTTAATATATTTTTGGTTTTTATGATAGTTATGAAAATATTTTAGGCCAAGTAGTACACTGTAAAAACAGTGTTTAGAATCTAAACACAAATCTAAACACATTTTTTGTATCACTTTTTTTACACGTTTAGATCTAAACCTGTCTCATTTCTAAACACGTTAGACTTCATGTGTTTAGTTGCTAAACATGTTTAACCCCTAAACACTTATATCTAAACACATTTTTTGTTCCACTTTTTTTTACACGTTTAGCCCTAAACGCGTCTCATTTCTAAACACATCAATATATAAGTGTTCAGTTGCTAAACATGTTTAGTTCCATAACATTAGATCTAACAGAATAGTTTATTTTATAAACTATGACAGGAATATATATTTTTGGAAGAAAAACATTATTTTTTAAATAAATTTCCTAGAAATACCATAACATTATTGAACATTCAAACATAGATTTATTTTGAAGAATTTTAAATTCAAAATACATATAGATTAAAAACTAAAAATGTATTTTGGCTCGTGTCAATATTAATCAGCTCAGCAAGCATGCACTTATTCCTTATGTCTGTAACAAAAATTAATCAAGCTAGTTAATTTTCTGCAAGTCTTTCACTAGAAACACACGATCATATGTTTTCGTCCATAACTGCCAGAAAAGAATCCGTTCCCATCATACGAATGTTTTGGAGTTGTTTAAAAATATACCGAACAGTATACTTCACAAAATTCAGTTTCCTCTTAAATGCAAGAAATCCTGAAGATGTACCAACAATTGCGTGGACTTGGAAATAACACCAGCTACTAATACATGTGTATTTTTGCTTCAATCTGGACCATATCCTGTAATAAAGAAATGAAATTATACAAAAATATGCCTCTTGCTGACTGATAGCTAAACTAACTAATATTATGCAACCTTTATTGAAATCCATTTAACAATTATGTATATATGATACTGATACGGATATAGGTATTTTCAATGACATTCTATAATATAAACTCCTTTCTAGCTTTCAGGAATGCAAATATTAAAAGAAGGAAATCTTGATCTATACATTTGTGTAATTGCAACGTTTCTCATTCTAGTCAATTTATGTAAAATACTAAAGTAAACAGACCTTTTATTGTAGTATTGTTGCCTTTCAACTGCATTTCACAATCCCATCCTGGTTATAACTTTGGTTATGATTCGCTTCCTTTAATCCATCTTCTTTTGCTTACACTGGAATTTTCTTTGTTTCGATAACCGCTCTATTAACGTTCAAAAATATTACACGTCATTTCCGGGAAGCTAACTCTGTTTGTCACAGAAAGTGTTCAATTTCTAAACACTTAAATCTAAACACGTCTTAAATCTAAACACGTTTAGATATAATACATGCTTAGACATAAGTGTTTAGCCGTTAAACACAATCTTAAACATGTTTAGGTCTAAACACGTAATGGATGTATTTATTTTCTGAACGCAGTTTTTACAGTGTAATTCTATTTAACATTTTTATACTGTCTACAAATCATTTTCGCATAGGAGGTGGGGGTATCTAATTTAATTATTTTAACAATTTATTATGAATCGACGTTAGAAAAATACAAGTGATAGTTTCAGCACTAACCTAAAAAATTAAACCCCTTGGGCTGTTTCCCAAAAACCATACATGTATCACCAGAGTGCACAAAGTAATATTATGGAAATATTCCACTGAATTCCATTCAGGGCTTAATGGATAGTTGTAATAAAGAGGCGATGAAGCAGATTCTATGATATTTCCCAATTAATTAGGTATAATATGAAATATTATATGTTGCCAGAGTATTTTACGCCGAAAGAGCGTAATGAGATATTTCATTTTCTGTGATTATCAAAACTACGGATTTCGGAACATGTTTTGATTGCCATTCATTCTCTCTCCTCTTCAAAATAAACAAATATTTAATTCGAGAAATATGGAAAGTACAATCTATATGAATGAAAACTATGAATAATTTTAATGCAGAAAATTTAAAGAAGAAAAGTAAGAAAACAAACCCAACTCACTTGGTTAAACGTATACATAGCAAAAACTCAACTTGGCCTCTGTTAAAAAGTAAACAACGCTCAACATATGATACGTGGTGTTATGAAAAGTTTCCTTTTTGATATATATTAAAATTTTCAGGTAGATTCAATTCGTAAAAGTGATATATGATTTTCCAAAATAGAAAGAAATTAAAATTGATAATAAAAAACCGAAATATGCAATTGTGCCCAGATCCCTTCAATGATTGACAAGGCCAATGCGATGCTGTGCGAAACAAAAGATATGTCTGATAGTTAGCTATAGGAAGAAAAGAAGTGCATAATGACACGATCTACCGGTAACTAGGATTTTGTAAAAAGTCTAGAAAAAAATCTTTCTGCCCGTTCATGTACGGAGGAGCGAGAGTTGTGGAGTAAGAATACTGCAGGACGATCGTTCAGATGAGATCACATAAATAGTGGAACACTGTGGCAGTGGGTGCTGTCTCTAAAAAAGATTCCTCGCTTCTGAAAAGCCGTTAGTTCCGAATGTGTACATATTTTAATAACCGTCCCTTTGACAACGCTTGGGTCTGAACATGGGTAAAAAAATCTTGAAAAGACGATAATATAAAATATCAACTAAGAATAAATAAACAGGATATGTTTGTGAAACACTGATGCCGCCAAATATGTGGCAACATAACAAAGGTTAAACTTTTCTTAAATGTAAATTTAACATACTGGTACCAAAAGTAGGCTATTTTCACTGGAAATACAATTGTGAAATTCTAAAGTAGGCCAAGGTTTAATTTTTTTTTCATAAAAAGTACAGAAATCTTCAAGGTCAAGTCACTGGTATCCAAAGAGAGGTCTTGTCACAAAAACACATATGTGAAGTATGGAAGCTTTAGCCCTAACGGTTCAGAAGTAAGGAACAAGGATGAAGATCATAAAAAGTAAGTCAAACTCCAAGGACAAATTCAAATGTCACAAGGAATAAATATGTAAAGTATAAAAGCACTAACCATAACGCTTTGAAAGTTATAGTCAAGGTTCTTTTTTAAAAGTATGTTTAAACTCCAAGGTCAAAGTCAAAGGGTCAAAGTTCTTTGTATCCAATAAAGGATCTTTTCACAAGCATTACATAAGTGAAATATGAGATCACTGACCCTTATCGTGCAAAAGTTATGGCCAAGATTTAAGGTTTTTTTAACAAGTATGGAAATCTCAAAGGTCAAGGTCAAAGGGTCAAGGTTGCCGCTATCCAATGAAAGGTCTTTCAACAAAGGATACATATGTAAAGAATGAAAGCCCTAGCCCTAATCGTTCAGAAGTTATGGCCAAGGTTAATTTTTTTTAAAGTAGGTCAAACTCTAAGGTCAAGGTCAAAGGGTCAAATGTCTTGCTATCAAATGAAAGGTATTGTCACAAGAATTAAACATTTAAAATATATAAGCACTAGCCTTAACCCTTTTAAAGTAATAGTCAAGGTTTGCTTTTTAAAAGTGGGAAAAAATATAAGCTCAAGGTCAAAGGGTCAGAGTTTTTAATATCCCATAAAGGACCTTTTCAAAGGGATTACATATGTGAATTATAAAAGCCCTAGCCCTTATCGTTCAGAAGTTATGGCCAATGTTAAAGTTTTTTCACAAGTATGGGAATCTCCAAGGTCAAGGTCAAAATGTCAAGTTTACTGGTATCCAATGAAAGGTCTTTCAACAAAGAATACATTCCTGAAGTATAAATGTCATAGTAGATATGCCCAAACAGAAAGATTAAAATTTGTGGGTAAAAGTAGTTTTAACTCCAAGGTCAAGTCAAAAGGTCAAATTTGGTGGTACCCAAAGAAAGGTCTTGTTACAAGAAATACACATGTGAAATGTGAAAATCATAGCTCCACTAAATCAAAAGTTATGGGTAAGGACAAAGTTTTTGCGGACAGTTGGACAAAAAGACAGACAGAGAGACAGCTAGACAGAGAGACAGACAGACAGATAGACAGACGGACGGACACGACAAAAACTATATACCCCCGAAACTTCGTTTACGGGGCCATAAAAAGATAAAGCAAAAACAAACAAACAAACAAACAAAATCATGTAATACGAATGCCTTGGACAGAATACTTTTGATTTGCCTAATTCTTTTTTCACTATGTTTAAAAGATAAATCGAAGGTTTTTATCAATATATATAATAATCATTGATAAATTGTGTATCAAAGTTTATGTACGTAACTTAATTGACAGGATAGATGACGAAGAAAAAGAAAGTAGAATACCGAGAACTGTTTTGGAATACCAAAATAGAAATCCCCGAAGAATCCAAATCATGATTTAAAAATAGCTACTTGTAACCAACATGACTAACAATCATTTTTAGAATATTGCCTATTTATACGTATCTTTACTGGGAAAAGGAAATGCTCATTCAAATGCAGAAATGATTTCTGAAAATATGATTTTAAGGCCTTAACTAACATTGAGGAAAGTGAGGCAAATGCTTTATTCAAAGTTGAGAGTATTATGAAAGTGAAAAAAATTAACATGAACCGTAACTATTTGTATCTTTGTACTAAATTATGATTATCAACTGTTGTCTTAATTTTGTTAAAGTCAATCATCTCACCAGGAACTTCATTATACCCATACCTGGTAGTTTTGAATGCAAGAAAAAATAAAAAAAAAAACATTTGAAAGCTTTCAAAGTTCGGGGTACTAACTTAGACCCGCTTGAGAGTAAGGTTTCCCAAGATCTCTTGCCTCATGCACCAAGTGAAACATTAACAACTTAAAACAAATAGAAATAATTTATTTAATTAAGTAAAAAATCAATCCTAGGCATTGTTGGGTTATTGGGATTGACAGCAACCACCGTATTCAAATTATTTTTCCCCAGTACAGTTTCTTGAGAAAATCAAAGCATTTTTTGCAATGAAAATTGAAATCACATTTGTTTTGATAATAAAAACTATATGTACCCTTATATAGTATGCATACACTATTTATATATGATGTCGGAAAGTCAAATACTAGTAACAGATATAGTGCACTTTTTACAATCATTATTGATTGAAATAACATAATGCTAATCAATACTATTTACATGTACGTGTTTACTTATATTTTCGTTTCCTAAAAATATCTGTGCACCGATCAAGGTTCTTCTTTCGTTTCGGCTCTTTTTTCTGAGAAAGACTACTTTCATTTGTTTTCTTTTGAATAATCAAGAAGAGGTAACACGATTTTGTTGAATATATTTCTAAGAGAAATCGGAGGTATGTTCATTTATATGATTTATAGTATGCAAAGGTAATCAACCCTATTTCGTCGATATCGTGAAATTCATCCCAAACAATGTTATTGTTTGTTCTGCTCCTATTTTGTAGTGTTTTATGGATTTGATATTAAGTACTGTTTGTTATCTCCACATCCTTCATTTCATTAATTTGAAGTTCAAGCAACACAGATATGTCGTAGGTCCAACAGTTATTTAGATTTACAAAAAAGTAACATGCAATAACTATGAAAAAATAATTTAAAATGAGTTTTAATATAAGTAGATTTAATTTCTTTCAGCTTGAAAACTTTCCCGAATTTTATAGTCAATCAATATTTAAAGGGGGAAATGTCCAAACCCAAAATTTATCTTATCTCCAAAACTATGTATTTATAAAGGTAAAACTTTAACAGTTTATAAATATCGAGAAAAATTCGTTATATTTTTTGGAAGCTGTTGACAAGCATTCTCTTGTCCGTTTGATATTTTTCTATATTCTTATATTTAAGTTCCACCGTGTGTGAGAGTGTGTATGAGACCTGCATGTTTGAGAGAGAGTGAGAGAGAGAGAGAGGGGGGGGGGGAGAATATAATGTACTAATATGAGCATCATGCATGCATATCAAGGACGTCGGGTACTTCCATAGCTATGGAATGAGATAGGCCTACATGTTACATGTACATATATACGCAGGGGGTAATGAGAAACACAAATTAAATGTATTTTCAAATAATTTTTCTGCCTGACTTTATCATATATATTTCTCATGAGTGTTTCTATTCTTTATTAAATGTAAGATTGTTTTAATTATATCTTTATTTTTATTAGACTGACAAATTAAGAAAATAACATGCCACGGTGTTGGCATTGTTTCGCAGATATAATTACCGGACTGGAGTGTGGTGATATACAGATTAAAGAAAAGGTATGTCTTGAGATCAAAAGTTTTGCCACTTTTTAAATTCACAATGAACAGTTTTAGATCCCCGTCATTTGCTTTATCATGTGTTTCTTCCGTGTTTTGGTGACAACTAAATGGGGAATGTATGATTTACCTTAAAAAGAACAATTTTATGCCGAAAGTACAATGTATTGCCAACAATTTAGTTCCAAATAGTAGATTGTCAAATAAAGAAAGTTTAAAATATTTTATCAGCTTTAAAATGTGACTATTTTTAACGAAAAATTAATGAGAAGAGGCTGCTTAGTTAAAAATATCGTAAAAAATATAAAATTTTAGGAATAGCTCCACTCAAAAATTAATAAAGCTAAATCAGCGAATGTTAAGATGTAGCAAGGTATTCCACCAGGATTTTTTTTTTAATTATCTGTCTTTATAAACTCTACAATGATCAATCTTGCATTGTATTCAGTAGCACATTTGCAGCCATCCAACAAATGTTTCCTACATCCATCTTGAAAGAAATCCGCTAATTAAGTTAAGTATCGTAATCGCAATATCAAGTATTGGAAATTGAGCAAACCCTAATCTTAATTTTAAAAAAAATCCTATTACATAAAAAGGATATCTCTGTCTTTCTGTCTGTCTGTCTACCTGCGACTCTTTCGCTCTTTGCGAAGAGTAAAAGACCGCATTTAATTAAGAGCTGTTGACAAACATTCTCTGATATATAATTTCAAAATTATATGAAATAAATTATTGTAACTTTAAATGCACTGTAAATCAGTTAAGTGAACGTAATATTGATATAAAAAATTTTAATTTAAAATATTTGCACATTACGACTTGCTTAAGTCAATTTTACGAATTTCGGAAGTCTTAATGACGGCTTTTTATTGTCCCCCGCTTGAAAAGTGGGGGATATTAATTTGTGTCTGTCCGTCCGTCTGTCTAGCCGTCCGTCCGACTTTCTATCTGTCTGTAACGCCTTCGTTTTCACACGATATCTCGAGAACCCTTTGAGCTTTTGCAATGAAATTTTGCATAGCCACTCCCTATGGACTAATACAGAAACATCTTAATTTTGAGGTCAAAGGGTCAAAGGTCAAGGTCATAAATTTGCAAATTCTGTCTGTTATAACACTTTCGTTTTCGCGCGATATCTAGAGAAACCCTTGAGCCTTTGCAATGAAATTTTACATAACAACTCCCTGTGGCCTAAGGAAGATCCCTATTCTAATCATTTGCAATTCTCAATTTTTAATCTGTATATCGTATTAATATCATATTTATTGGCGGATCCGAATTTCCTTTCATAACGTTTTCATCATTTGTTGCATCAAGGATCACAAAATAATACGGCAATCAAAATACAGCTTGATATAAGCCTGTAGCAAAGGTTTTTTATGTGAGGGAAGGGGGACCTCCGCAAAAAATCTGCGTACTACATAAGCTGTGCTACACATGTACCATCTGATCTATTTTTCCAATAATAGATCTCTTCCTTATAAATCCAGAACAGATTTCAAGATGCAGCCGTTATGTGTTACATGTACATGTATCAAGATAGCCAATTTGTTTAAAATGACAAAACTAGAGGCCGATAGAAGATAAATTTCACAATTTTGCAATGAAAGTGTCAGTCAAAGTAGGCAGATGCTTGTAAAAAATATGACCAAACCTACATGAATATTTACAAAGTTCCCAGAAATGTTCTTTACTTGAATTTCGGTTAGAAATATATGCTTATGGGTCACATATTGTAGGCCAGCAACTTATTACACTGTACGACTTCTTATTATCATGATTTTTTGTTTTTGTTTTCGTGTTTGACTTATATGCTTTTGTAGAATTTCTGTAACATACATTTTGAGTATTTTTTATCCTTAATTAGATTTAAAAACAATATTTCAGATTTCGTTAAGATGGAAAGGATATTCTTTGATAAATGACATATTTCAGTTAAAACGTTAAACATTCAGGTTAAGGTAACTGTACGAAAGAAGTCATTTTTATCCTCTAGGATGGACAGTTGGGACAGCCAATTCATGGAGAAAGAGCAATGCTTTCAATTCGTGGTTCCAGTCGATGTGAAGTTCAAGGATGCAAACGGAAAGTTAGAATTATAAACAATCGATTGTTTATTAGAGTAACTTTTAGAGAAATATTTTATATAGTTTATTCTAGAATACATAATTTGCTCATTTATTTAGTATACAAAAATTGTTCAGAATTTCACTAAATTTTTCTGTAGGCAAGGTTCGAAATGTCAGGATGTATGCATGACGTCTGTGGTTTCTGTCTGAAATCAATGGATGTTATTGTCAATTTTGAAAAGCATGAAATCCAGAATGCATTTGCCTGCCCGGTGTGTGTCAGCACAAGAGGAAACACTTGGTTATCTACATGTAGCATAAGATGGATGGAGAAAATTGATGTTTACAAATTTTTAATTGCAAAGGTTAAGCTGCATTTCATATTTATGTTTTCGTTATAATTACATGTACATGTAAATCCAACTAAATAAAATGACGTGTACAATACCTATTTTTCAGAATATTTGCATCTGTTGTTTTCAAATTAAGGTAAGTTGATTCCAATGTAATAAATTGAGAGAGACAATTAAAAACTGCACTTTAAAAATATGTACATACATGTTTCTTTCTTTATTTAGATTTTAACTTGCAATTCAGTGTTTCTTTTTTAGACATTTGGTTTATTCCCGTGCAACCATAATATTTGTTGCCTTTGCCTGAAAAAAATACTTAGCCATTCTGAAGAATACATTTGCATTTTGGAGGACTGTCATGTAAAATTCAATCTCTCAGAGTTGATGGAAATGTACGAAAATTCCATTTCGGAAACGGTTGGTGTAGCAATGCTATATTGTACCATTCATACTCATAGAGTAAGATATATTATTATAAAATATGAAATATCACTTCATTGTTAACTAGACTTAATTTTACATATATTATAATATTTTTCGTAGCAAAATTAAGTTAATTCAGTAGCGAATATAAAATCAATAGTCATAAATATATATTTATGTTCTCTTCGCATTTTAAACAGAGTAGGAAAATATTTGCATACCCAGGAATATATTGCTCGGTGACAAGCTGTTCGAATTTGGTAAGTCACAATCAACCTAGAATTAAACAAGAATGTAGCTATAGCAATAGACTGGATATGCTTGGAAAAATCATGGATATGTTTACAATTAGATAAAAAGATACAAAGTAATTTCATTTGTGTGCTCTCTGTAAAGAAATGTCTTATGACCTTTTTTTTAAAGAAAAAGAAAGAACTAGTGCACTAATGGGCCCTGGTAAAATGTGGAAAAAAAAACAATCAAGTTAAGCAAAATTTTTTCATCTCAAATCATTAATTGATATCTGAACCATACGATTCAACAAATTTTACCGCTGAAATCCACGAATATACAAAGAACAAAACTATACAATTTGGTAGGGATCAGCCGACATTTGCAATTTCTATATTAAATCGAGAACGGTCATTCATTTTCAAAGCATTTGTTAACTATATGAGTCTAACGTTGTGCAAACTTGTGCGAATGAAAAAAGACGCATAATACATTTATAAAACTTGTGTGAACGTATGAAATTTTCACACGATTAGGCTCGTACTTAAAATATAAAAAATGTATAAAAAGTACTATGTTTTTCCTATAGCAAATGAGAGCTATTTACCTGTATGACCCATGTTGAACCCACGTGTGGAATAAATTTTTTAAAATACTGATAGTCACATAAGTTCTACCTAGGTAAACATTCCTCAAAAGTGTTCACTGTAAAACATACTTAGGCAGGTTTTGTTTCAGTAAGTTAAAGTTGTGCCTCTTAGAGATGTATGTTTGTATGCAATGTTTTTTAGAACAGTCGGGAGGTAAAGAGAGCTTAGTGTCGTTCATAAAGTGGCAAACATTTTCAACTTTCATGCAAAACAATGAAACAGGTATTGAAAGTCACTTATAACACTCCTTTTTAATTTCATATTCAATGAAACTATTATAATTGTAATTTTTCAAATGCAAGAGTACCATTTCTTAGTTTAATCATTTTAGCTACAGGCAACTACACAACTTCATTCATTGTTTTTAAAAACAGGTTTGGCGCAAGAAATATCATTTCGTAAACGCGCCCGACTACAATCCACCATCAGGTTGTTCAAGTATCGCTTTAAATATCTATTCCCCTTGATTTACATAAACGATTCGGTACGACTTTTTCGGATTTATAGGGTATCCATAGGCATTTAAAAATATTCAATTGTTTAAAATCCATGCCGGTTTAAGTGGTGCTTAACATGCTTTTTAATTAGAAATAACCATTAGTATCACACTATTACCAATAGAGAACGATTTTGTAATATATGTTGAAGTAAAATGGTACATAAAAGTACCAATTAAGTATTACTTAAGTGCACTTATCCTTTTGCTTAGGTGACTCCTCCTCCTCCCTTCCCCCTGTGTGCCAATGGCACAAAATGGTCTGCATTATTGCAAGAGATAGAGTAGTTCTGAGCGTGTAAGGCTTCTAACAGAGAAATTACTTTTTTGTCCATGTAGCAATAATATCGTTGGTCATCGGAATGACAACTTATTCCTCGTAAAATTGGAGAAATCAAAATTCACTCCGATCAATTGTTACATGATATGTGTATATATTTCTGACATTTAATTCATGATTCTCATTTCTCAACTTAGCCCCTCCTCAGACTTAGAGATTGTATCCACAATTTATGTTGGGAATGCGTTCCAAAGAAAATACTATCTGTAGATATTAATGAAAATGAATGCCAGAAGTGTCCTGTGACGGGTTGTCAGAATTCTTTTCCTTTGGATTGTTTAAACCATCGTGTGAATCAACTTCTGTCATCCATGCAGCTGGTAACTAATAAATAAATTGACACATTTTTTGTTTCAATTTGCATATTGTATTTTGCATATTTATACATTACATGTGCTGTTTTTTTTTACTAGGCAACACTATTTGTAGTACCAGATACACTTTCTGACTGTTTTAGATGTTCAACTTTTAAATATGAGGTATATATTTTCTTTTCTGTAAACATGGATTATAATTTAATTTAAGCTGAAATTATTTGACCTTTAACTGAGGTATCATTGTTATGGTCATATTAAAAAAAATATAATATCTACAATGTCTATTTTCCACAGGCACTTGTTTCGGAAATAAATTTTTAACTTACAGAACATGTATAATAATAACTGTGAATAACAATCGGTACCCCCTCCTCAGAAACATACTCATTCACAATATCAGAGGAAATGTAATAACAAATTGTTTAATATCATTGTCTTTTACGATAATTTATCTACACAACCATATATAGCATGAATGTCTTTGTTTTCGTTTATCTCCATAAAAAGCGTTAACTTTGCTCGCTGAGTGGAAATGTTGAAGTAAACCACGAAACGGCATGTGCTAATTAAATATTCGTTTCATTCATTTCATGAGGTCGCCTGATCGAGGTACACATTTTCAAAAGAATGAAATATTTTGAAAATGGATGAACTCTTGATGAATTTTTGAATATCTCCTCCTCTTATCCAGAGTATTAAGCCGATAATCTTAGTACATAATTACTTGTACTTGTGTGATAAAAAAGGTGCCTCTTCAAAGATAGTGAATTTCATGGCCCATGAGTCACACTTTCCAGGGGGATTGCTTATTAGTATCTTTCCCTTGTATCAGACTATCTTGGGGACTATATGTTTCCTCTGCGTCTGTCAATCCGTCTTTATGTCTGTCTGTCCCAATTGCTCTTCTACTTTTTCCCAAACGCTTACAGATATTGAGCTGATTTTTTTTTTGTATTTGAGTATATCATGATATGTTAAAGATAAAATTTCATTTCGTTCAGCTCCATGGATTTCTGACGGAATAACGACCTTGACGATTTTATTGCTTCGCCTATTTGTTAATTTTGTTTAATACTTCTACTGATCCTTAAAAACTGATGTACAGTTTCATAGTAATATGCCCGTTAAAGCCCTTGGACCTCTTGGTTTATTTTATCCGGTACTAACAAGTTCGGTACATGTGGGGTTAAAAAAAACATCCCCACTTTATCAAAAAAGGTAACAATTATTATTATACAAATATGGACTCAATGTAGGTCAATATGCATTTATAATGACCCAGGATGACAGATATTGACCGAAGATACATGTAGTATATCGACCGAGGGCGCTAGCCCGAGGTCGATATACGTCATGTATCTGAGGTCAATATCTGTCATTCTGGGTCATTATAAATGCATATTGACTGTGCATTGAGTCCATATTTATTATATTTTATAAATAATAATTTCCCAAATTTATTAGTGCAATGTATATCATCCTATTATTTACAGAGATAGTATTAACCATAAATAAGTTGAATGTAAATGTTTCAGAATTCATTGAATATTACTCGGAGGAAATTGTTTTGGCAATAAATTTCCCATATCATAATAATGACGCAAGATATCTATCTCCGAATAACACAGAGTACCCCCTCCCCCAGATTGAGAATCGCTCTCGTTTACACTTGCAGACGAAATGCACTGACAAAATATAAATACCCATGTCTTCTAAGAATAAATACAATCTTGCATGGTATACTTGTCTATATTTTCTTTAGTCTCCGTAATCGCGTAAACAGCGTCAAAACTCTGCTGGCTGAGTGGAAAGGTCGAACTCAACCATGAAATGGTATGTGCTAATTATTCCCGAAAAATGTTCACAAATATCCTAGTAATTGTTTTGTATTATTAGTCTCAGAGTTCTTCACTATATGTTTTAAATTTTCCTTACCTACAACTTGCGAACTTCCATGTTTGTCTAAAGCGAAAGTGAAAACGAGGCAGCTCGTGCGAGTCATTATTCGCTTTCAGCGGTCATTATTAAAAAATAAGTACTTCGTATTGACCAATCAGATTACCGGATTTCACAAAGTTATATAATATTATTTATTAAATCTATGAAAACTCTCTTTCTCTCTCTCTCTCTCTGTTATATATATAGATTTTGTTCTTTGATTTTATGACAATGAATAGTTATGGACTTCAATTTGAAAAGAACTAATTTTTCATGCACTAATAGTATTTTTTTTCTTACTTTCTATTTTAAATTATAATTTTTTTTATTTTTATTCAATTTTGAACCTTAGGGTTACGAGAAAATGCCCCCAGACCCAAATAAAAAAACAAAAAACGTAATCCCTTCAGATTAAGTCTATGCAATAGGTGATTTTCATTTTGAGTACAATTAAAAGAAAACAAGTTTTTATGTAATGTATTTCTATTTTAAAAGGTTTCAGTTATAATAAGGCACTGTGATCACAAAATATGCGTCTCCTGCTTTGAAAAGTACATCCTGGAAGCTGAAAATAGAAGACAAGCAAGGTATCTCGACCTGCCAATGGAGATGAAAAAGTGCTACCAATCTTTTTGTGACAAGGAAATTCCTACCGTGTGCCTCAAAGCTATGCACATGGCAATAAAAGGAGATCCAATTGCTGTATGTATTTTGTTTCTTTTCTAGACACTTTCATTCATTCCTTTGAGTATCTGGCTGATCATTCACCATTCAACAGTTTATTTGAAAAAAAGATCATCAAAAAATGTATAAGAATATCCGAATTTATATATTTTTAGATCTGTTTTAAGGTATATATATTAATAATAATGATAGTAAATTTATTCATACTGGTAAATCCAGCTCTCAAATAAGATACATGTAACTGCTACAGTGTACCAAACCTTTCCTTTTGTAGTTTCAACATCCCTTATGAAAATTTGTTTCGTCGAATACTAAATTTAAGTTCGGTATTTTGAACAATAAATTAAAATATAAATGTCAAATGTTGATTCTATTACGTAACTTCACGACATTGGCTATAAAAGCTGTTTAATTTTTTAGAGTGTACGTTGCATATTATTTCTTTACCTCTCAAGAGTACTGGAAAAAATAGAAATACAATGAAAATTATGTGAAACCAACAATCAGAGATTAATGTAAAATAAAATATGCCTTTGAATAAATACAACAATCAGAGATTGACTTTTAAAAAGAATATGTTTAAATAAAAACAAAATTCTTATAGAACTTTTTTTTGTTTGAAACAATAATGTAAATTTTAATGCAATTTTTTGTAAAACACGTTTTGATTGGCTAATGCACTGGTGTTTGAAGAGGTAAAACGAGCATTACATGTGACGAGGTTAAAAGCTTTTCATCGTGACGCCGTAATAGTGCGACACAAAAATACAATGCTCTGTGACGTACTTTATTTAACGCTTACGCGTCGCCGGTAAAACTCGGTTTGCGACCATTAAATCAGCAATAACGGTCGCAAATATCCAATAAGAAGATAGTTATTTCCTAATTTTGAATTCTTTTGAATACCCCGTACGTTATAAGGTGAGGAAATCAGATTTTAAAAGATGTGAATAGTTACAAGATTTCTTTTTATTCAGGTCATTTAATTTTTTTAAAAATCATATATACTAACTTTTCATCAGGTAGCAATGTACCTACAAATTCCAAAAGGAAAAGGAAACTGTTCATCTTGTGACTCGGAGGAGGTGAGTTTGAAAGGATAATGATCAAGAGAAGCCTTGCATTGAAAGAGCATTTAATTTTCAAATGAGATATAATGCTGCACATATCAAATATACAGGTTTTATGATCCTTTTCTATAGCTATTACCCAATGGTTACGATATGAACAAACTTTAATCCACACTAAAAGAAATGCTTCCAAATTGATATCACCAATCATGACTTCGCTGTTCTTGATAATATTTTTAAACATTTTTTCCTATATATTTATATGCAAAACCTTGATAACCCAATATGGTCCAACCGTACCTACGGGGATTGCGACTGAACAAATTGAAAGCTACACTGTCTAAGGATGATTCCATATTAGTGTCACAAATCATGGATTTGCTGTTCTTCAGAAGAAGATTTTCAAGATTTTTTTCTTATATATTTTTATGTAAAAAAATCATTATGGATCAACCTTACTCCAAGCGTCATGATATGAACAACATGAATCTCCACTAAATAAGGATGCTGCTTCCATAATTGTCTCGCCACTCATATGGCTTTGCAGTTCTCGAGAAGAAAAATTTTAAAGGTTTTCATGTCCTCCATTTATCTTACATGTATGCTAGACAAATGCCTGTATTGTAAAGAATGTGTGAAAACCAGTTCCCTGTTGGTCCTGCAGCTTTGTGAATTTTTACTTCCTTAAAACACTATATGACATAGTTTGATGAATATTGTCATTTATCAATGACAATATAACAACTAATTACAAGTAAAACTACCTTTACTACTAGGGAGATCCCAGACAAAACGTACAGAGACTTATTGAGCACCTGATATCACAATGGCAGCGGGATCTCCCTAAAGTCTAAGCAAGACATGATTATCATTGAAGAATGTACATTTAGAAGATGGGAGATCACCAGTTAACATATATACAACAATGGCAGGGGGGATCTCCCTGTGATATTAAAAATCAAAACATGTATCAATTTCTATGTAAAACTTTGTAAACCCTTGATTTCCCATTATGTTCCCCCTATACCCCCGGAGGGTATGATGCATTGTATAAACAAACTTGTTAACATAAGTTTCAACTTTTACAGTTCACTGGTTCTTGAGAATAAGATTTTTAAACGATACAACCAAATTTTTACTAATTCGTAATTATCTCCCGTTGAAAGAGGATATGACCTTTCATTTAAACAAAATTATAATTTCCCATCTCGAAATGATGTTTTTGGGCAAGTTTGATTGAGTTTTGCCAAGTGGTTTCGGAGAAGTTAAAATTATGAAAAGTTTACAGACAGACAGACGGATGGATGGACAGACGAACAAAAGATAAAATGAGACCGGAGAGGCTCACTTGAGCTTTCAACTCTGCTGAACTAAAAATGATTTCCTTGTTTGTTAAAAAGTATTTAACGGTTTCAACCGTTCAGAACGAAAATTATATAACCCAAAAAAGATTACTCTTGTGTTATTAACTCTGCAATAATTGCGTATCATTAAACAGAAAAAATTACAATATTTTATAATGAAAATTACAATATCAAGGCATTTATTGAAAGAAATTTTTTTCACCTGTCATAAATAACTGGAAAAGTGATTTCCTAATTTGAACAAGTGGGCATCATTCAATTTTACATGAGAATATCAGGATTACGAAATACGATTAATGTACAGCATAAGAATTTGAAAATATGAATTTATGCTCAAATTTTAATTTATTAAATAGGTTTTTATTGAACTAACTGTCTGCAATCATAATGCATGTAAACCTTGCACGATGAAAATGTACGACAACTCCAACGAGTACGGACTTGCTACCTGTAGCGTTTCACTTTGTTCGCAACGTTTTCCTGTACTGTGTTTGAAAGCCGTACTTGACGATCAAGGAATTCTGAAGGTAAGTATTTTTTAAAGGGTTATTGTTGTTTTGAGACTGTAAGCCAATTATCAGGATCAAAATAATGTGACAATTGTGGAATGAGATATGGATATCTAGAATGGACTTGCGCTTGACGGCTTGTAGGACTGTGTCCTGTTTATCTGAAGGCAGATTTTTTATTGATATAAATAATTCCTAATGACTTTCAATCTTGCCAAATTCAATTGAAAACACTGTTTTAAAAAAACTGTGCGACTTAGTTAAATCCCGACTTTGATAATAAACTTAAATATATCTCTGGTTCAAAACATGTATTTATTTAATTAGTTACAATTAGAATATACTCGTACATGTGTATATATGCAATACTTAAGGTATTATGAAAACTTAATTATAATGCTGCATTAAAATAATTAATCTCTATTTCTTTTTTAATTTCAGAATAATATCAATTACTTTGAGGGTAAGAAAAATATTCGTTTGTTTATCCTATGCTTATGAACATTATCTAAAATAACCAAAAAGATAATGTCAAGTTTGAGAATGATTTTGTGTACAAACAGAGCTGACTAAGAAAGATGAAAACACGATTACGATTCCGGAAACTCCATATGACTGCTCAGATGCATGTAAGTGGGATGCTTCAGAAGGACGTATAAGTAAACATACGGAAAAAGACAGAATAAGCCACGTAAGAATAGATACGTATTTGTTCTTAAACGCTTGATCATCATGCCCCTTCCCATAAAAATATTCTAGGAACTAGATACTGTAAACCCACTTTTATTTGCGTGCGAGAATTTTTCGAGAGTCTCGTAGTCGCGAATATTTCTCGCTACGAACTGGTCCTTATAATTAATGCCCCTGTGTCTATTACATGTAACAACAGATAGAAATAGGCTTGATCGCAAAAATTCATCGTAGCGAAGTAATTAATCCTGGTAAATCGTACCTATAAATAAAAGTTGGTTCACAATCATTATAATCTACGTGTTTACCAGTATAAAAATCACACCTCTATTTGATGCATGTTTAGGAATACTTTGTTTTATAGATAGAGAATATCTATATTGTTTGATTTGATATTGGCTTAAACCAAAGAGTTGAAATGGTGTGAATATTTGCGAGGCTTGCGAGTGAATATACACCTTTTCAACGAGTGGTTTAAAGCCCATTGATATCAATTCACACAATTATAATGTTCTATTTATCTCATAAGACTTTCGACCGTTCACGGTAGCTCAGTCGGTAGAGCACTCGCTCCTTGATCGGGAGGTCGTGAGTTCGTATCTCGGCCGCTACTGACCGAGTCGTTAAAATGGGTAGCAACTGTTTTTTTGCCATGAGCTCGGCACTTTAAAGTGAAAGTTGCGGGTCCTTCTTATGAGACCTACAAAACCGAGGCCCCGTGTCAGCGGCAGGCGTTGGCACGATAAAGATCCCTCACTACTCAATGGCCTTGAGTGCCGTGTAAAGGTCAAAATTTGAAGCCCTTCACCGGCATACGGTGACGTCTCCATATGAGTAAAGAATTTTCGAGAGGGACGCTAAAACAATGTACAATCAATACATAAGACTTTCGTTTTAACGCAACATTGAGACTTTCCCTATGAAAGTACATGAAAAATTTCTAATTCAAATTAATGACGTATAACTTGATGACGTAGCACTGTTGATGTTAACATGCCTCGAAAGAAAGTGGGTCGTGTTCAAAATTTAGAAATTTTGTTATATGCGTCTTTGAAAACATTATATGACAAATGCTGGAGCTTAACATCAAGCGAACTGCTTACTGAAAGGTGTAAGGATCAAGGGATCGTGAAAATTTATCTTTGTACAGTGGTAGGCAAGGCAAGGGTCCTACTTGTAGATTAATTGTTGATCCATGTTAAGTTACACCATAATTAATATAACTTGATAGGCATACGTAGTATAATATAAGAAAGCATTGTTAAAGATGTTAAAGGAACAAATTAACTGCTAGGATGTACTTTCTATGAAAACGATTTAAAGGAAGAGGGGCGGGGGGAGGGGTAACATCTGTCTTCAAGTAGCCGATACAGGCACCTCGATAAAATAAGACACTTCTTCGACATATACGAGTCTTTTTTGCTTTTAATGACATAATTGCTATTTATCATTCATTTTATAAGGGCAAAATTTTTCTAAATAAAAGATTCAATAAAATAAATTCTTGAAGCCAGGGATCGTGTCAAAACCGGAAGTGTTATTGATAAAGCATCTACCCGAGGATACATGTAAAACATAGATTTATCCAACGGGTAGATAAAATAAGATACATGTTCTTAAAGTTCTTTATTTGTCTTAACAGTTGCTTTGTCCATCATATGGTGAAAGATTGAATTGCAGTTATTGTCCAACAAAGGTATAAATTACTAGTTAAATAGATAATAATGGTTAACTCTAATTTCTGTGTTTTGGTATTTGTAAAAGAAAAAAAGATAACAAGAGGTCCAGGGGCCACATCGCTCACCTGAGCAATTGGCTAGGAAAAAGCACATATGAGATCAGAACTGGAAGTTTACTGAAGGGGGGAGGGGGAGTGGGCTTGAATTTTAACCCCCAGGGGTCATGATTTGAACAAACTAGAATCTACACTACCTGAGGATGATTCCCTATAAATATGACTAAGCATGGCTTTGAAGTACTTGAAAAGAAGATTTTAAAAGGTTTCCCTATATATTCCTATGTAAAACTTTGATCGGCCATTAGGCCCCACCCTACCCCCGGGGGTCATGATTTGAACGAACTTGAATCTACACTACCTGAGGATGATTCCACAGGAGTTCCATCTTTCATGTCTCAATGGTTCTTGAGAGGAAGATTTGTCCAATATATTCCTATGTAAAACTTTGATCTGCCATTGTGGCCCCACCCTTCCCCCGAGGGTCATGATTTGAACAAACTTGAATCTACACTACCTGAGGATGATTCCACATGAGTTTCATCTTTCCTGGCGCTGTGGTTGTTGAGAAGAAGATTTTTAAAGATTTTTCCTATATTTTCCTATGTAAAACATCTATCGGCCATTTTGGCCCCACACCTTGAATCTACACTACCTGAGGATGATTCCACATGAGTTTTATCTTTCCTGGCCCTGTGGTTGTTGAGTAGAAGATTTTTAAAGATCTTTCCTATATATTCCTATGTAAAACATTGATCGGCCATTTTGGCCCCACCCTACCCCCGGGGGTAACGATTTGAACAAACTTGAATCTACACTACCTGAAGATGATTCCACATGAGTTTTATCTTTCCTGGCGCTGTGGTTGTTGAGTAGAAGATTTTTAAAGATTTTTCCTATATATTCCTATGTAAAACATTGATCGGCCATTTTGGCCACACCCTACCCCCGGGGGTCATGATTTGAATAAACTTGAATCTACACTACCTGAGGATGATTCCACATGAGTTTTATCTTTCCTGGCCCTGTGGTTCTTGAGAAGAAGATTTTTAAAGATTTTTCCCATATATTCCTATGTAAAACATTGATCGGCCATTTTGGCCCCACCCTACCCCCGGGGATAACGATTGGAACAAACTTGAATCTACACTACCTGAGGATGATTCCACATGAGTTTTATCTTTCCTGGCCCTGTGGTTCTTGAGAAGATTTTTGCCATTAAAATGCCATTAATTATTCTCGAATTCATAATTATCTCCCCTTGGAAAAGGGCGTGGCCCTTCATTTGTACAAACTTGAATTCCCTTTACCCAAGGATACTTTATAGCAAGTTTGGTTGAAATCAGCCTAGTGGTTCTTGAGAAGAAGATGAAAATGTGAAAAGTTTACGACAAGAACAATGACGACAACGACAGACGACGGACAAATTTTGATCAGAAAAGCTCACTTGAGCCTTCGGCTCAGGTGAGCTAAAAAAAAAATAATTGTACAAAATCATGGATTCTATACATGTGCATTACACTGTGCAAGACTGAAATTTATTTTTCGGTGCTGAATTCATTAAGGATTAACATAATTATTATGATGCTCAACCTGGATAATTTAAATTTTTGGTCTATTTGGTTGCCGCTTTCAAATAATGTGTCAAACAAAGTCGGGCTATCATATATCAGAGACAACCTTCATTCAAACAAAAATGATAATATAAAGGTCGTAAATGATAATATAAAGCTCGTATTTGCTTTAATTCTAATATGTCTAGGCGGTTATAAAGTTCTCTCAATGTTTCCATGGTTGGTGTTTACGGTGCCTTAAATTCTTGGTTAAAACTGAAAAAGATGACAAATTGCATTGTAAAAACTGCTCATCATATGGAAGCCTTGGGAATGCAAAACGATTCATCAGGAACTGTGAAAATGATGGACTATTGGTAAGTTAAACATTTTTTTTCTTTTTTATGAAATCTTAGAGATCAAATAAACTTATATCTTGCTCTTCTTTATCTATTTTTGTTTGTACGAATACGTGTTATTTTTAATTTTGTTGAATTGAAAACCTGGACATTGTTTTTTTTTTTTGCGTAATTATACCAGAGATTACAAAACTTGATAAACTTGATAATTAATTATATCCATCCTTTTTACACACGCATTTCTTTTTTTTATTATAAATAATTATTCTATAGGTTCCATCGTATCTTAAACCAGTTAGTGGATCTACACCATGTGTCCTTTGTAAAAAGAGGGAAGTAAGTTTTTAAAAAAATGAATGTGACTATCTTAGTCATTTAAATATCGAAATTGCGACCTTCTTATATGCATGTAAACTATGTCCCATTTATTTATTACACATGTGAACCATAATTTTCACCCTTTAATTCTAATTGCCGTCTCTCAAGCGTGAAGCAATTGAAAACAAAGATAACAGAAAAGAATAACTTTAAAAATAATTTATCGTTGAGAATTTAGTCATTTTGCCTTTCACATTTTATCGGTTCATTAGTAATATTTAGATCCTTTGACTTTGCTGGACAGCTGACACAATTGATATGGATCGTAGCTTTGTAATTTTTGGCATCCTAGGTTAGGTGGGTGGGAATTTTAGTGTCTTGAAACATGATGTTTTAATTAATCAAAGTACTGAAAGTACTGAAAAGCGGTTAGCATGCTTTCATCGAATATGTACAGTGTACAATAACAAAAAATGCATTGAATGATGATATTAAAGTAGGCATGCATATCTTTTTCCAGTGTCATCAGCGAAGAAGCAGACACACTGAATTTTGTAGTACTTAACTAAATGGTATAACCAATAACATCCCAGGCTGATGTCACAAATGTTTGTTTCAAAATATCAACCTTAGATTTTCAGTTTGAAAGACAGGAAGTTCAATTTCAAAAATTTCTCCCTAATTGTCTCCATTGGTGGCGTCCAAAAGTGCTCAGAACGAAAAACAAATTATGTTGATGTTGCAAATTTAATTGGCTTTCATGCTCTATTGATTCTGAAATTAGGTAACTGTAAAGGCTACTTTAAGCAAACAACTCAAAAAGAAAATAAAATGATAATTCAAATTCTTTAGATTAATTGATTTTGGAGTACTGTACATAGATCTTTAGCTGGCTAGTCTGAGAAAAACGGATGGACGAGCAGAGAATTAATTAATTTCAGAGAGCTTCAGTTTCGTAGGCTCACTGCGGGTTCTGTCATTGGGGATGCTTACTTCTCCTAGGCACCGGAACTTTCAAGGATCCGTTTTTCTTTTGAGACCGATCACTGTTCATTCTGTATTTTGATACAGATACTGAGTACATCTGTTTATTAATATTATGAACTATCTCTGTCACAGGAAAAAAGACAAGTAAACAAGATAATAAAGTTTTAAGAAATGTACATTATTGACTTTTCATACAATAAAATGTTCGAATAAGTAAATGGTATATGACAATTATTTTAAAAAAAAAGAGTCTTGCACGATATGTATAAACGAACATATACCGAGTATTTGGCAAATAATTTTCATGAAATATTGTTAAAAAAAAAGGAAAAAAGTTGTTGTTTAATCCATCAATACTAGTATTTTAAAAATTCAAAGGTTCACTAAAAATCAGTGTATAACAAACAATTTAACTGTCCATTGCAAGAATTACTTAGGTATAATTGTCACTTTCTTTAATATGTCGCAGAAGCAATACATTGTTGTTGTTGTTTTTTTTTTTTTTTTACTAAAAACAAGTATGCGAATTTCTATCAATATGTCTGTAAGCATCTGTATTTTAATTTTTATTTCTTCTCAAAGGCTCAAAATGATAATTAACAAATTTGACAAATTCAAATTTAAAAAGTATTTTTACAACTTATACCTTGCATAGGAATTTAGCAAACTTTCAAAAATAATCATTCATTAGATATAATTTTCAATTTGTGCTTATCGTAAAGATTTTTCAAGCCTCTTTTTTCTGTGCATATTTTATATCGGCTGATTTTCAGAAAAGGATCGAATGCAGATTAAATTTTTTTCTCCGATTTTTAAAAATTAATTTAAGTATTTTCAGGCCCCCATTATTTTTTTTTTTAAATAAAAATGTGATCGTTTGAATTAGACTGAGCACAGAATTTATCCCTGGAAATAAAGCTTTTATAATCTTTTAAATAATTTCAACTGAGAAAAAAAGGAGAAGAAAACAAACGTTTCATTATGGAAGTAATCCTTAACTTTACAACTTACAGATGTATTCAGTATTTTTATATAAAGGCTTTCTTCATGTACTAGTTAAGTTAATTAAAAGGATGCCTTAATTTTTTGGAAAATGAAAATCGATCGAGAGATTCTCCGATGTTTTGCAGTCGGTAATAACCTTCAACCCCTTTAGCCAGTAATTAACCCGTCCTCCCTGTGCCAAGTAGCATAATTCGGTCAAATATTTATTGTTCATTAGGGGTGCCTTATAATTAATCACAGGCACCTGAATTTTTATCAGTCTCTAAATTAGCCAAATATCGAAACATTCTACCCCCTCTCTATATAAATACACAAGGTGTCCAACGCCATTTTGACCACCTGTTCGATTCAGGCTTCAATTTAACACATAAATCGGAAATGCCTACTTGTTTTCGTGTAGCATTGGGTTCAAATATGATATTTCTCGCTATACATTTCTTCCTAAAGTTTAAATCTAACGCGTTGATAATGTTATCAGCTAAACTTCATGCTGACTTCGAACCGATCGCCATCAGCTGATGTCACGGAAATTTAATCTTGACACCAAATGCTCCTATACATAAACTTTTTAATACAAAAATAATAAATTTATTTCATTGACAAACAAAATCAGAAAAAAAATTAAAAAACCGAAAGATTATGTTGTTTTGATTGTCTTGATTTTATTTAACATATGTTATGTGTGTTAGAAACAAATCATAGGTACTAGGTAGAGGCTAAGTTGAAGTTGCCGTTGTCGATAGGTAGCGCCTTATGGAAGTTTCCGATGTCGATAAAAATCGGACACATGCCATAAAGCGGTTAGCCAAGCTAACCGCTTAAAAATGGTTAGGTATAACTGGCCACAACTTCCCACAAGGATAAGAGTATATATTTGTCTTTTTAAAGTGCCATTATGGCTGTGCTTGTGCTCAAGCCATAACATATTACATGTACTAAGTTTAATCAAATCATATCAGGGATTTTTTCGAGGGGGAGGTTGGGGCACAATCGGGGGACTCCTGTTCATCCATTCGGCGCCAAATGTAAAACTTAAGAGCTTTACCAAAAACGATTTGATATTTCATCAGAGAATATTTGCATTTTCAATGTCCGAGATAAAATTACAAGTTGTAAATGAATTTTATTTCCCCACCAATATTTAGGCGCGGTTAAAAAGAATCATGTGCGGGGCGGGACAAATAGTTAGTTAGATCAAATCAGGGCTTGGAGCACGTGGATTGGCGGACTCACTAGCGGAAAAAAGAAACTGTGCATTATAAGATTTAGTAAAAAAAAATTATATTTATTGTTTATATTAATACAAAGTAAACAACCGATAAAGATGATGTTTTTCAACAATATCGGATAGTGCCCTACTCGGTTGAAAGGACTTTTCATGGTTAGTGAGCATATGAGTGAGTTGTTTATTGGCGTGTTCGTACGCATGAGTTTCACTGGCCAAAATTGTTTTGATAAATAACTGTATAACGTTTATTTGGACTGCATTCGTTAAGGAAGGCACTTTAATTTTTACCAAATTTACTATTCTGTCATGCCACGACTCAGCGAAAACTAACGTAATATGGCTATTGGAATGCTTCAAGCATGAATGGCACAAAATATCGTAGCAGGACACTTTGGAGTTCATCGAAACACAATCCAGTCATTATGGAGACGTTTTCAACAGTCTGATAATACTCGGGATCGACCAAGTTCTGGGCGTCCTCTCGTGACGTCGTGTCGACAGGACAACCACATTAGACTCGTGCACCTGAGAAATCGGTTCCAAACTGCAAATTTGACTGCTTGAAGCATTCCTTGGCTTTGACCAATCAGTCCAAGAACTGTGCGCAATCGTCTGCGAGAGCGCAACATCAGACCAAGACATCCAGGTGTGCGCCCAATACTGCTTCAACGTCATCGTACAGCTAGACTAGCGTGGTGCAGATGACATCTGCGATTCAGAATACAGGTCTAGGCCAATATTCTGTTCACTGATGAATCCAGATTCCATTCCATTAACGCCTTTAGCGAATCATCACTAACGCAAATCGATTGATCACATCAAATCGAAAAATAAGATAGTTATTCCTTAAATTTAACTCTATACTACTGACCATGCACACAAACACATGCCATTGAAGCTTTCCGCGGCATCCTCCAACCGCTTTTCATAATATACGTCCTTCAAATAGACTTCCTTTTTTACTTTGTGTCTAAAGCTACCTTATCTGTGAAAGCATTTTTGTACAGATAATTTAAACATTTACTAGGAATTATAGGTATTAAACTGGGTGGTAGATTCTTTTATTCGAATCGTTTGTAGGTCAAAGCAGGCCGGCGAAGCGAACGACTTTTGAATATTCCTTACGAAACTGACAGTAAATGATTAAAGTTTTTTAAAATTCTGTTTAAAACAAGAAATAAATCCTGTAACAGTTCTGATGGGAATGTTTAGATTATCAGGAATTTGTTGTAATTTATATCTTTTTTCTTTTATATCTAAATTGAGATTTTTAATGTTATTTGACAAAACCAGTTTACTTACGGTTATCGATCACGAGTATAACTCTCTATGAAATATTCCAGAGGCATAAAGCAACCAAACATCCGGCTTAAATTTTAAAACAGAAATATGAATATCCAACAGCTAAAATATGCATGCTTTTATCCAAGGATTAACAATGTATTGTGAACTTGTTTCAATACACATCATGCATGAGCTGGTCATTTTGGAGTTTTCCTGTTAAATTATGGCACACATCTGTACATGATTTTAGTAATCGTCTGGTTAATATGTATACATTTGATTCTACTTTTTTTTTAAATTTAGGCAATCCTTGAGGAACTTGACTGCGGACACAGGTTTTGTGATTCCTGTTTATACTTCAGCATAAATCTTAAACTGATGTTTTTAAAATGTCCAGTTTTAGAATGTCAGTGTATAGAAAGTTATAAAGGAAATAGAGAGGATGATTACAGTTCTAAGGTAACGTCTTGGTAATCTTGTTTTCTTGGTTTTATGAAGACTTTTTTGTTCAAAACATTATTATGTGAATGTTAAAGAGATTGATGGGGCGGAAGTAGATACTATTTTCAAACTGAATTTCTTTGTATTTTCTATATCAATATTCCTTCACATAAGACAGTTATGTAAGTTAGAGATTTGTTGTAAAGAGTCCTTAATGATTTAAAATCAAATTCATTACAACATGTATTTGTAACGATACTGTAATAAAACTAATCTCCAGATGACGGTATCTAACTTCCATTCCCCAAAACCAATCATTGCCATGAAATGCAGTTTGAAATATGCCATGATTTTTTCCCCTTATTTTGTTAGATTGAAAAAAATAAATGTGCTTGCTGTTCAAGAAAAGAGGTTTGTGTTATTTAATTTATATTACGCAACAAAATATATGGGACATGAATTTGGGGAAGGGAAAAATTGATATTTTATTAATGTTGCCTCATTCATTTAATCATTCCGTTTCAATATCCTATTGTGGTTTGGTGATCTTTTCATTCTTTTCAGAAGGCAGTGGAAAAGATGGGATGTGGCCATGCTTCCTGCAAGGACTGTGTACAGCGTGTTTTTCCATGTCAAATTATAAACTGCCAAAGCTTTATTGATAGTGCATCCTCAGAATTCTTGGCAAAGCACTTAAACAGTGATAAGGTTAGCAAACAGTTTTAAAGGGTCTAAAGACCATTTTCTATTTCAAAAAATAATCTTTCATCCGATGTGTGTAGTTCGAGAAAATAATCAATCATGTATGCGCCTGGGTAGTCATATGAACATATATTTATTATTATTCACACAATCACATGCACTGAAATCAGTATAAATAAACTGGTTTATGATTTTTAGCTACTAAATTAAATTAATTTCATTATTTTCTTTGAAAGGACACAATTTTTATCAGTAAGCAAATGAAACCAAAAAGTGACTGCTGTGTATGTTCAGGGGACCGGAGAGGAAGCAAGGTAAGACATTTCAAATCACAAAATATTAATGTTGAACACTATTCATGTATAAGATTTTCTTACTTTAAATTACCCGATCTGTTCCTGCATGACGCCTTAAGGGGAGGGAGGGAACATGTCACATGACTATAAAGACATATTACGTCATAATCGGTGATGATATACATATTAAACGTTGTTAAAATCAACAGTTCTTGTGTAATTTTATTCTAAATTAGAAAATTATTTTTTAAACATTTAATTTTAGAAATTATAATTAATAAAATTTTTGAAGATCTTGCCATCATTTAAGATATTGTGAAGTTGCCACATTTTTTTCTCTTTACCCTGCAGTCTGACGTCAGTGACGTCATAGACGTAGTGTTTGAATTCTCAGTGCAGCGAGATCAAGAACACACACCCGTCATGATCAGTTTATTTCAAAATAAACAGGTCACAGTCAATGTATCATGATAAATTTCTGAAGCAGATTGTTTTAAATGAGTACTTTTTCGTGTTAAATAGCAGAGATTCTCTCTACTTAGATAATTTTGAATGTTTATGTTTTTGTGTGACGTCACAATTGATTTCCCGCACTCGGAAAATACAAACGTGAAGCGTTTTTATCATGCTTACGTCTAATTCAACGATGTCCCGTGCGATATTGAGGCAAGCTCCACCATGTGATATTTATGCAGTAAATAATTACTATGAAGTACTGACATTCAGTCATAAATTTAGAAATATTTATTGACAGAATTTTTTCCAAGTGAGGTTTTTGTCGTTGAAGCTGCCTTGAAAAATGCAGAAATTATCCTCCCAAATACTATATAAAATCAAAACAATTGCTTTCAGATAATTTAAACACTATGAATATTCTGAAATATTTGAGTGTATACTGTTATCTATCATATTTACCTTTTGTGCGTAAAAATTCGCATTATGGACTCTGTTATGGGCCCGTAAACATGAAGTATCTAAACGCCATACAAACTCTAAACAGGGCGGTATTTGTGGGTCGATATCTTTTAAATAAGTCTAGAAATCCCATGACAGGACCGTTTTAAAATGTTAAGTAAATATTAAATTAGTAATATAAAAAATACGAAAAAAAATCATTGACAGGAATTTTTTCAGCGAAAGGTCCTGTTCCTCCTTAAGAACAGATACTTCAAAAAAAAATGAATATATACAATATATCTTTCTGGTCCTACTTTTGTAAAAATTCCAAAATATTAAAACATTGTTAACCTTCTATGATCTTTAATGTTCTACCTTTTTGCCGCCATCCAACTTTATCTATTTAAAGTTTTCTTTTCACTTTTTCATTTTACTCATTGACACATCGGCGGCGCTTTTTGTTATTTGTTCTGTTTGTCTGTTTGTTTCTTTGTTTTCTGCAAACTTTAACCTTAGTTAATACTTTTGAACGATGAAAGATAGAAACTTGGTAAGCATATTCCATTGATCAAGGTTTTTCAAATCACACCAAGGTCAATGACCTTGTCACCGTGACTTTGACCTTTATACTAAAAAAAGCTTTTTGGAACACTCACCATAACTTTTGAATTATGAAAGATAGCTCTAGGCTTTTTATTTGGTATATATACTTTACTAATTACCGTATTAATCTCTTTCAAATGACCCCAAGTTCCATGACCGTGTATCTTTGACTGTGACCTTAGATGCTAAGATAGCTTTTTCGTACCTACGCCAAAACTTTTGAACTACGGGAGATAGAGACTGCATATTTGGTAAACAGAATTTACTGATAATGGGGGTGGACTGTGGTGTTCATTGCGCAATATTTCGCAATATTTCGCGCATTATAATAAAATGAAGCGTATCTTCTGTTTTAATGCAAGTTTTTTCGCTTTATTACATGTATTAAAATTTACAAAAAAAAAAAAATAAATAAATAAAAAAATAATATGATTACAATATAATATAACTGATTTTTTAAAACCGATTTTGCAATTAATAGGTAGTTTTATGTCGTTACGGTGTGTTTTTGACGTTATAATAAACTTAAGCTCTTAAATAAAGAGGTAATAAAAATGTTATTGAAGAAATAGAAATAAATATACGCTGTTGAAATTTAAAACATATTACTTTAAGAATATTTCGATTATTTTTTGAATGTTTTATTGTTTTAACATGAATCCTTTGTTCCCACCGTATTTTGTAGTATTACAAAAAACAGAAAAATTCGGTTAATCTTTGGCATTTTAAAATGCCCCCCCCCCCCCCCCCCATCTGGTACATGTAACAAGGCGGTAGAATTTTTTGTTTCTTATATTTATTGTATAATATAGTATTACTCATCATATATTATAGTGTGAACAAAAATTTTATTGTAGTATTTTACTTTAAATGGTTTAATATTGGCATTTTCCTGTGTAATACCGTACCAAACGCATCTGTTTTTTGAGACAGTCCCTCAAAAATACCTGTAAGATAGATTTCCCCCAAACTTTGCATGTACACTGAAGTTAATGTAAGTTATATATTGTATAAAAATAAAGAGCTTCCCTAAAGTAGTTTTCATAGAATAAAACCTAAGTCGGCCCCATTAAGTTCTTCCAAATTGCATTAGGATTAATAACTGTGACCTTTGACTGTGACCTTTATGCTTAAAATAGTCTTTTTGAATTTCCACCATAGGGTTTGAACCAATGGTGATAGAGACTTCATATTTCAAATAAATATTTCACAAATTAAATTCTTTCAAATGACACCAAGGTCAATGACCTTGTGACCTTGACATTGACCTATATGCTATTTTTTCGAATTTGGTCGTTGTCTAGCGCATAGGTTTTCACAAATACATCTTTTTTATTACAAATTTTGGATTAGATATGTATGTAAATGTATAGATTTGATTTTTGATTTTAACCCAGAAATGCAAATTAATGTAGATACCCGGTATTTCAAAAGTGCATGGAAAATGATGCAAAAGGAAGTTTAATTGTTATACAATTTGACGTAGAATGCGTTAAATCCTTCTTATTAATTCTCATTTATTATGAGTTCCCTCAATCTTTTTTAATGAATCACCATAGTCTGTTCATACCTTCCATAAAATCTTGCACTTATATTGTTTTAATGTAAAAATGAAACCTAAATGATCAAATTTAAATATAAATTTGATGAAGCATACTCATTCTACTTCGCTTTTGATGAATATATATAGGTTCGAACAAATATGCAACGCCTGTGAATTTCGATGCAATTACTATTGTAAAATGTTGCACTGAATTGATATTTTTATTCAAATACACGTTGATAGACCAGTTGCTTGATACATGTAACGACATACTTGATGAAGTATATGGGGACGTGTAGTGCGTATTTGTTTATATCTGTATATTTTTATATGATGAAATTTCTCATTAATAGAAGACAAAATCTGTGTAACATATGCATCCTTTTAAAAACATAGCTGTATGGTAACGTTGAAATCAATCAATTTTTATTTGCATAGTTAGGGTATGCTTTTTTATGATTCTTTACAGATTGAACAGGTTTGGCAGATAAGAAGATGCAATCATACCATTTGCAATGATTGCTTTACAAAACTGCTAGAAAAAAGCAAGGGGACTGGGATAGCTACTTGCCCCTCAAGAGACTGTTTGGAACTTTTTTTTACACCTACATTAACCCTTTTGAATGATTTGGATTCAAAAGCACAGGTAGTTTTACATTACATAAGAGATTAAGAGAATCGAAATGCACTTAGATACGTTAACACAAAACATTAATTGATGAAGGGTTACACAACAGTAACAATACTATTACTTTGTTTCTCGGTTAAATATAATTATTTTAATTTTTTTACTTTTCAATTAGATGAAAGAAAATCACATGGGAAATAATGGTACATGTATGTAATTTTCTTCCTATTCAAAAGAAGAATTTTGCATGCATACTGCTTATTTTGTATATGTACATTTCTTTAAGAAAAGAAATTAACAATTAGACTTTCAAGGTTTTAGAGTACTGATGACCGGTCAATATACCTTCATCACCTGCATACGGAGTATACATGTATATATCTGAATTGATTCGATACGCAAGAGCTAGCTCTATGTATGAACAATTTCTAAACCGATGTAAATTATTGACAAGCAAGTTGACGAAACAAGAATTTCAGCCGTCTCGTTTAAAGTCATCATTTCGCAAGTTCTGTGGTCGATACAATGACCTTGTCAGCAAACACAATTTATCATTGAGTCAAATGCTGACTGACGTTTTTCATACTAATTATATGTCCATTTTTTATACACTGAATTGACGACGGATTTTTCCGTTATTTTCTGATCATGCAAGGAACACACGGCGGGTGTGACCGGTCAGCAGGGGGTGCTAAATCCTCCATGGCACCTTATCCCAACTCTGATGTTTCGGAGGTCCGTGTTTGCTCTGCTCTTCTTTGTATTGCTTTATGGTCTTTGGGATTGAATAATGTTTGGTATCTCCATATCCTTCATTCATTCATTCAATTACTAGTACACAGTCTGATCACATCATATCACTTTGCATTTCATTACTGTTACCGGGACTAATAATGTGTTTTAGTCGGTCTTTACATTTATTTTAAATTAGTTTCTTTATAGTATTAAAATTTAAGCATTCCTATCTGAATATCTTTACATGTCTTTTATTTTATAACACTACAGTCTTGATGCTGCATTTCATTATTCTATGCACAACCAAAAAAAATTAAAAGGAATTTCCGGATAATTTAATTTTTTATTTAATAGTTTGAAAATGCAGTTAGGTGTCTTTCTTTTTGTTTATGAGCTTTACGACATCTTAGTAATTCTGAATGGATGTTGTCGAGGAGCTAGTTATAGTGAAGTTGTCAATTCATCCAACCCGATTTCGCCCTTAAATCCGTCATTTTGTTCCAAAACATTTCTAAATTTATTGCCAAAGTTTCTTTTTTTTTCTGCGAAGTACAATTCTTGTACGTAAACTATTTGTAATGCAAAATCTGTTTTTTATCTTGAACTTAAAATCTACTAATAATACTATTTTTTATCATCTGTATTGAAGCCTCCAAAGAAAACCATAAATCTGCAGTTATTCTGTATAAAAGAGAAGCTAGCTCAAATAGCGTTCAGCAATTTAGAACGATGGTCATGAGCTATTCATTCCAATCTTCAAAAATTGCGAAACGTAGTGTAAGTAATATTAGGAACATTGAAATCTGTCTGATGGTATAGTCTTTTATGAAAGAATCAAACGATAAAACTCCTCATTAAAACGAACAACAATTGATTTCGTTCCCTTTCAGGTCACGCAAAATGGATTACCAAACCTAGGTTTAACTTGCTATAGAAACAGTGTGCTTCAGGTATATATATATATTTCTCTCTTAAGCTTTCCCTTTCTAGGTGTTTGTTTATTGATATGTTTTTTTATGAACAATATCCACATTCTTTTCTCAACAAGTGTATTATGATAATGAAAATATGTATTTTTTAGGTTCTAGCAGAGACTCCAAGTTTCTTCTCGCAAATGAAAGACATGAATAAACAAACGGTAAATATTTCTACGTAAAAGATTAAGCTAAGATATTAGAATACATGTAATATAAATTTTGTCTTAACAACAATCATTTATGGAAATGCACTGCAAAAATTACTAACAATACAGAAATATAAACTCAAAATGCAAAACTACATTTTACAATCATTGAGGGCAAATTATTTTAAAAGTAAACTTTTAATATTTTTTCTAGAAATTGACTCATACAATGTTACAATGTACATTCCGGTAGGTGTAGGGGTGATAATGTGTCCAAATTGGAAGTATCTACATAGAAACTTCGAGGCTTTTTGATTCATTACACAATAGCAACTTTTTGTCATTGATATTTTTCATCAGCTAAAAAAGAATACTTTGTATTACTTGCGCTTCCAAAAAAATAATTTTTCATGAAAAATATGGAGATCTCGAACAGTATTCAAGCTCAAAAGTCCATTAAACAGTACAAAATTGACGCAGATCAAACATGGACTTCCAAAACATCTGAGGTGGAATCAGGTTCCATGGAGGAGTGATCATTCTTTTGAGACCTGTCACCCGTCGTGTGTTCCTTGTCTTGATCGGGATTAAAAGGAAAATCCGTCGTCAATGCAGGGTGAAAATAATTGACTAAAAATTAGTATGAAAACTGACAATTAGCATTTGTCTTAACGAGAAATTGTATTGGGTATTAAACAAACTAATTTAGTATATAGTTAATGATGAGTAAGAATGCCTCTTCCAAAATTGTGAATTTTATGGCCTCAGGGTCAGGGGTTCTGCTGTTAGTGGGGGCTCTATTGATTATATAATGAATATGCATTATTTCTTTAATAAATTTTCTTCTCTGCTCCTAGGTATTAAACAAACTAACTAAGTACATAGTTATGATGGGGAAGAATGCCTCTTCCAAAATTGTGAATTTTATGGCCCCAGGGCAAGGGTTCTAGTGTTAGGGCGGGACTCTTTTGATATGTAGAGAAAATGCAGAAATGTTTTGAAAATATTCTTCTCTGCTCCTTGGTATTAAGCAGATGAACTATCTATATGATTATGATAAGCAAGGGTTTCTCTTCAAGAATTATGAATTTCAAGGCCCCTGGGTCAAGGGTACCACAGGGGGGGGGTCTACTTATATACATGTACTGAAAATGAATTAATTGATTGAAATCTGTTCCTTGATATTGATGAAACATTTTTTATGAGTAAGGGTGCTTTTTCCAAAATTGTGAAGGGTCAGGGGTTCATGTGTTGTAGCACTTGGCGCTACTGACTACTGCTGAATATTACTGATTAGTCAGGATACATTTTTTGTTCCCCTACTCTGTCTGTGGGTATTAAGTAACCAAAGTAAGCATGCTAAGTGTATAGTTATGATAAGCAATGATGCCTCTTTCAAAATTGTGAATACCATGACATCTATTTTAAACATAAACCAAATTCAATCGTTTGAAAGTAGTTGCATGATGCTCAGGTGACCTATAAGGCCCATGGGCCTCTTGTTTAAAGTACTTTTTAATAATCAGGAATAATTGTACATGTAACTGCTATTATTGTAGAGGACTGTAGTCTTATACACGTATTGCAATACAACTTCTGTACTATATTTTCAGGAGGAAAATTGGACATTTACTCTTTGTGAAATTCTTTGGCGAGTGATTACTGAGAGCTCATCAAAAAGTGAGATCGAAGATTGGCTTCTCCGATTTCAAGCTGAATTTGACATTATGTAAGTGTACTACATTATATACATTCATATGTACCTTTGATCGTCCTTTCACTATCATAAGCAATTATTTATTACAAAATTAAAAGATGCTTAGTGTGTTTAAAAAATTAAAAGGAAAAAAAGTTACGCACAAAGATTGAATACTGTTTGTGATGCTTTTGTCATTGTAATGTAACGGCTGAACTTGCAAGAAATAATGTTATTGCATAACGTGTGGAATCAACGGTCGAAGGTCCAATATTAAAAAAAGACACAAAAACAGATTTTAACGTGGCGGATCATTTCATTTTGATCTTTGGGTTTACTTAGTAGTTGCTTTAATTGTTTTTCATTTATTTTAAACATTGGGTCGGGCTAAGTTTTTTCAGAAAGAAACTGAAACTCTAATGAAGCAAACATAAAACAAACTTTCCGATGTTATATTAACCGTTTTTAATTTTAAAACAAATTAAATAATATGTTCCTTTTCGTGTGATTAATTTTAAAAATGTGGACTTTCAAAGAGTAGAAGTTGATTAAAGCAACACAAGGAATTATTTCAAACCTAGAAAACATAAAAAAAATACATGTATGCCTGTTTTCTTTGAAGGGAAGGTCAACGTATTTTTGCTCATACTATTTATATTAAAGGTAACTGAAAAGATTTAAAGTAAAGGATTTTTTGTTAGCATTTTTCAAATAAATTATTGGTTTTATAATTTTTTTTTTCTGGTAATGAATTAGAATAGGCCGTTAGTCCACGGTCCTGTCTCTTGAAGAGTAAATTATATGACCAAAAGTATACAGTATGTATGAAATTTTATTATAACTGTGAAAGTTTAAGAATTATTTTGAAATTGTAAAATCTGTCATTCAGTTTGTGTTACTTGTTCTGTTGATTTTTTTTTTTTTTTTTTTTTTTTTACATTTTTACAAGTGCACACCATTGATATACGGGGGATATTAAGATGAAAAAAAAACGAAATGGTGTGAAAATGTACATTTTCACATTTTGGGGGTTTTCACATCATATTTCTGCAAAATCACTCAGCTTTATCATTTCAGCAATAATTCATTTGTGGAGTATACACAACATGATAGCCTTTCATTCCTTACTAGTGTATTGAGTGGAATTGCTGAGGAAGCTGAAAAGGAAAAGAATAAAAGTTATAATTGTTTGGTTTTGTTTATTTTTATTGATTTTTTTCCTTTAAAGGGTATTTTGTTGTCAGATGTATCAACATTTTCATTAATATATTAGCTGTACATACCTTTAAGAAAATCGATAAGGGAATGAAATACATGTTAAAGTTATTGCAATTAATTCACATATGATTTTTCTCTCAAGCGTTTACGTTCAAGAAAACCCCCTAGTTTAAGATAGCATTAAATTTGCATTGTTTCCAATATTTAGGAAGTAGGATCGATCCCACTAACATATTTAGAGGTGAACTACACGATCAATACACTTGTTGCAAGTGCAAAAGGGTATGTTGGTTGAATTTAATCCTGTACTTAAACCTTTTTTTACTGTATTTTAAAGTATTTACCTTTTCAAAGTTTATGATTTGCCTAATAATTATATGATTGATAAATATATAGATCCTAAAGCAACTGATCTCGACATATTCTTTTTTCATACTATGCTAAAGTACGTTGCTTTATGATTTTTTTTAGAAAGAGTATCACGGAGAAAGCAGTTTTTACTCATTGCCATTACCTACCGTGATAAACAATGTAAGTAGACTAAGCTCCAGTGTTCGTCTTATTTTTTAAAAATGATGATAATAAAAAACAAGTTTTTATTTCTAATGAAGGATCCCAAAATTGGCGAATGTTTGTACCAGTTTCTAGCAAGTGAAACACTGACAGATATATTCCCTTGTTCATATTGTAGTATGTATACACTATGTATTTATCATTTATAAAAAGTAAACAAAAATTCAATAAAACATGTATATATCATGTATATGTTGTCCATATTATACATGTACACGAACAAGAAAGATCTTAAATAACTGTTTTCTTTCTCTGGAATAGAACATCGCACTGTACTAAAAGAGATACAGATAAAGAAGTATCCAGATGTCTTAGTTTTGCAGCTTGGAATGATATCCGAGGTTGTATTCAGAAAGAGCAAGAGCCATCTTATGCATAAAATTGCCCTGTACTTATATCAGTTAAATGCTATCACCCTTTTTCCCATTACATACATCAAAATAAAGTAGGCACTTGGTGCTTTCATTTTCTATAGTAAAATTTCCTTTTGAGAATCCACATACTGGAAAACAGGCTTTGAGAAATTGCAATGTTTTTGAAATTTGCTGGAAAAATGCATATTTGACTACCTTCAGCAGAGAATAAAAATATAAGCACAGCTTACAATCCAAAAAATAAAACGTGTTTTCTGAACTTCAGAAACAGAGCTTTCATTATGTATTTGCATATTTTGGATCAGAGGTTGTGCTTTATATGAAAAATTGAAAAAATGCTCCAACTTAAGGTCATTTTCATAGGAATTTACAGGATCTGAGAAAAAATGACGCATTTCATGACGTCATAATGCATTGACTAGATGTGAAATTACGTCACGATTAATAGATACGTAGTCACCAACACTCCAAGTGATAAATACTGCATTTGCAAACTAAACTGAGCGGTTTTGATTTTTCAGAATTTTTCAGGGCCAAATAAGGCCCAAAGTGGCTCACGCTTTTATTATGTTAAAATAAACTAAAACGAGAGGTTCCTGAGCCAAAATAAAACTTTCTATTTGTCCATCTTCAATTGTTCTCCAAACTTCATGCGTTATAAGCTATTTTTTTTTCAAAATAGATATATATTTGAGGCTGAATTAGAGAAAAAGTAAAATTTCACAAATGCAGGTTCTAATATTTTCTCACTTCTAATTACAGATAAGGGAGCATTTTGAAAAAGTTCATAGAAATCCAAGGTTTTGGGAGACTTTTGCTGGGCTTTCAAATAATATTCACCTTTCCGTAAGTCATTTCCCTATATAAAATGTTTATTTAAGTTTTTCAATACACAGTGTGATTTAATTTGATTACACAATTTATATTAACAGAAAATAAAGAAGGCAGAGTTTTTAAAGTACAAATTATATGCTGTAATAGTCCATATTGGAGGATTAACAGGTGGCCATTACTACGCCTACGTCAAGAAAATGCAGGATAAAAAGTGGGAATGTCGAGATGACAGTTATGTTCGAAAAGTTGGGCTGAAGGAAGTTCTTCAAAGTGATGCTTATATTTTGTTTTATCATAAAATTGAGGTTTCATAAGTGATATTTATATCAGATTTTGCCATGGTATATATTATGTAATAATACCGTCGTATACATACATATAATCATAATGTACTAACTAATAAAATGACAAAAGTGCTTCAGTGCCTTTGATAGAAACTACTTTTCATTACATTACCTCTTCCTCTCTCTATATGTGTGTGTAAACAATGTAAGATTATGGGTGCATCTGCTTGTGCGCCCACGAGCGTTTTAGTGTATAATATATATATTTGTGTTCGATTGATCGCCATGTTAAATTCACTTAGATCGGTTTCCAATTACAGGTACATGTCAGATGCATAATAAAAATTGTTATTTGTTTGTCATAAAAGATGTAGTAAATTGAATTAAATAGTTAATTTAACATGTTCAATTCATGCATAATTATTAATATATTTTATATTCTAGTATCATATTTCTTGTTTATATTTCCACGAAAGAGTCCGTAAAATTACTTGAAAACAGGGACATCAAGTCCCAGCCCTTATATATTATATATTATTTATATATCTCGAGATATTAATAAAAAAAAATCTATATCATGGAAAAGGTTTATTTAATAAAACCGTTCTTAAGCTTACTGACTGCTCTGAAATTGGATCACCCAAACCAAGATACACATGCACATGCATTAAGACAATTTGACATGAAACAATAATATACAATCAATAAATCTATCTATAGTCTCAAAGCAAGGAGTTAGGCCTTATATGGCGTGTTCAAATCCTTCTGAGGGACATGGATACCGTACGTTACTCAATTTGTTTGCACACACAGTTGCAGTTACATATATGAAACTATGACTTTTAAAAAAACAATGATTCATAACTTCAATATACGTATCCTCAAGTAGATTCAAAATGAGAAGGAGACAAATGAGGTTAATATAAGGAAAAATATATATTTCGACCATGAATAAATAAATGAATATTCTCCTTAATATAGCATTTCAAAATAAAACATTTCAAAGGCAACAATGATTTTCATTAAAATATAAGTTAAAATTCTAATACTGTGGTTTCATCAATATTCGTTGAGCACCAATTTTCGAGGATTTCGTTGTTGAGCAGATCCACAAATTTAAATATTCATTGAATTACGAAATATGACATTCATTTGTATAGGCAATGCTTTTATCCACGAAATTACTATCTTCGAAACTGTCTGTTTTACAAAATCCACGAAAATTGATGCCAACGAAAATTGATGAAACCACAGTAATGTGTATCTGTAATAGTATGTACTCTGAATTGACAGGGAATAAAGATCTTTAATTCTGTGATCCTGTCACTAGATTTCTGTAAAAAAGTACTTGCTTATATGAAAGAAATAAACGTGCTAGAAGGGTCGATAATTCTGAGAAGTTGTGTTCAGTCCATTTTTTGTTACGTCTAAACAATAAAATAATATCAAACCAAACGGTCAACAATCTGATTTTACAAAATTAAACATACAAGCACTATAATAACCTGATTAACTTTAAAATACCGTATAGGCAGAATATTTAGCGAGAATTTCATTTTGGTATTATAAGCGAGGTTGTTGGGATCGCTAAAATTAATTCATTGATTGTATACTGTTTAACGTCCCTCTCCAGAATATTTCACTGATATGGAGACATTACCATGGCTGAAGGGCTGCAAATTTAGGCCTATGCTCGGCCTTTGAGCAGGGAGGATTTTTTCAAAGATCTCACCTATGTAGATGTACATGTATTAAATTCCTATGTAAAAATATTCATCCCAGGGAGGTGATGATTTGACCAAACTTGAACCTACGATGCTTGAAGATGCTTCCATCTAAGATTCATGTTTTCAAGCATAGTGGATGTTTCGAAAAAGATTTTTTAAAAGCCATATTTTTTTAACATATTTGTAATTATCTCTTATGAAAAGTAGGCGGTGCCTATTATTTACATAAACTTGAATCCCCTTCACCTAAGGATACTTAATGGCAAGTTTGGTTGCAATTGGCACGGTTATTCTTGAAAGAAAATGGAAATGTGAAGAGTTAAACAATGACTACGACAACATTCGGCTCAGGTGAACTAAAAATACTAGTACATGCATGTATTGAAAGCTTCATGTCCTTGTATCACAGTATCTCAGACTCAATCATAACATGTGCAGGTACATCTATAATGTATATTTTTCAGAAAAATCTGACTTATCAAATTATCATATATAAAACATGCATGCTTCTCAATCTAACATTCAATCTAACATTCTGTGTATTTAAAATATATTGTCGTCAATTCATTGATTAGCTGATAAAGCAAATTTCAATTTCAATTTATTTGCTCTCTGAAAGCTCTTTGAAAGCTGGTTAAGTTGATTTCTTGATAATTCAGCTGGAATGTAAATTCCACCAAGCGAAAGGTCATGAGCTAAGTAGGACTGAAATGGAAATAAAAGGAATCACTGTTTATTTTGTTAATTATGCCAGTATGTTTTGCCCATTATTCAAATTATCCCACACTTCAACTATTGTGTTGTAATGGCATAACAATACAAACAAGACATTGATTACTAAAATAACTTAAATAATCATTTTAACCGGACATGATCCCAAACAAATCTGCACAAAATTATATCTTATGATTGGAATCACGAGAGTGAAGTGGATATTGATCATACAGTAATTTGGCTTTTGATCAAACCTTTGCTTTTTAAAAGTCCTTGTTCAGCTCCAAACTTCTATTACTTCTATTGTCTTTTGGGATTGTATACTGTTCATTCAAATCCGTAGATTTGAGTAAATTACAGATAAATTTAAAAAAAAAAGAAAAACGTTAACCTTCATTAAAACTTTGGCACTTTTATTTCCAATTTTTTGCAGGTTTAAATTTTAAAAGAATTAAATCTTTATTTATAGTAAAGTTTAACATTTGTTTGCAGATAATAAATCTGAATAATTTAATTTCACTTGTATTAAGCAATTTCATTGGCTGAATCATTCAAAGGAACATATAACATTTTGTATAACATAATTTACCTACGTCACAATGAATTACGTCAAAAACGTATTACTACGCTTAACGTTACTTTTAAATTTATTGCTCAATTTGAAGCCTTTTTCCGGAGGAAATATTGTCTCATTGTCTACACTGAAATTAAATTATAAGGAATGAAGCTAATTTCAACTTATGTTATCCGATATAACAAAACTTGGGGCAGTTTACGCTTTCTTATAAACCGCTTCGCGGTTTATAAAGCGTAAACTGCCCAAAGTTTTGTTATATCGGATAACATAAGTTGAAATAAGCTTCATTCCTTAATTAGATTTACAGTAATGCAAATGAGGAAAAAGTTTCAATAATGGGACCAACATATCTAACACAATGTTAATAAAAGTTTTTTTTTATTCAAAACATTAATTTTGAACTTACTACATTTATCTAGCTTTCATATTAAAGGTCTTAAACTTAATTCCCCTCAAACACATTCTGAACTGGAGCTACAATACAGGGTTGGTTATAGTTTCCACATTGCAATTGACCATTAACGGCAACTTTAAGACATGAAAAGCAAAACACAGTCCTACATTTAGTGCAAGTCATGGTTTTGCAAGCTTTCAAGTGTTCGATTAGGTATCTACAGGACCCATTTGGACACATTCGTTTTGATGGCACTTCCTCAATATTTGACATGTCGATTCTTTTACGCGGGGCTTCATTAAGAATTCGTTGAAAAGCTTCTAATTCTCTTTTGCTGCATTGGTGGTCTGTTATCCATGGTGATTTGCAGCTCCAGCAGAATTCATAGGCTACCCCCTTCTTTTTAGAGCATGATGTACACCTTGTGGGCAAGGCATCCGTTTGTCGCTGACAGAATTGCCCGCACTCTGGACACTCAGATGTGATATCATTTTCTTGGTTGACCGAGTTGAAGGAAATTTTGCATTCATAGAAAACTCGTTCATCGTCTGTCATGTCGGCTTTTCGTACGATTTCTCGCATATCCCACTCAGCATGACAACCATTTGTAAGGCAACACACTACAGGCTTTACTTCACACATTAATGTGTTCTTCATATGACCAAACAAATTGTCTGGGGCTAAAAAAAGAGAAATATAATCTTTAATAGAAAAAGAACTCAGTGTTACATTTCGGGATGTAAATTAGAGTTTGACCCAATTTTTGCATTAAACAAAAAGTTATTTTTCTACGTTTGCCATTTTACATAGTACAAAAGCTTGTTATGCAAATGTGTCATTCCTTAATATTAATATGTGTTATACAGATTTAAAAATGCCTTTTTATTCTATGATTATAAATCAAAGACAATAATAAAGGTTTTAAATTTGTAACGGAATGTCACAAATACACGTAAAATCAACTATGTTAACGTCTGATATGATCAACTTTAATATTTTTTTTTTCAGAAAAATAAGTGACCATGGATCAAGAACGATAACAATTCATACTTATTGCATGTCCACATGACATTTTCAGCCTCGGTTCCTCATCGTTCTCGTCTTGTTCAATCATATCGGGCTCTGTTGTTACTAGATAACTTGGTACTCTTCTGTTTGGATTGCCAACCATAATTTGTAAAGGTTTTGGCAAGCTGTAAGTCGCTCTACTGCTTTCATAAATAATTCCTTCTTCTAGATTGACAACTTCAACATAGTATTGGTATATTCCAAATTTGGATGCTATTTTCTCCTTAGCATCGCGTATAGTTAATGGATTCTGAAAGAAAAAAAATATATAAATCTACATGGCATAAATGAAAACAATATCGGATATAAACACAGTGAATAGACATTATGAAGCTTACCTCTCCTAGACATTGAATACTATCGCTGGATATTTGTTGAAATAGCATCCTTTCGATTGTCGTCTAAATACGCAAAACTAATCACTTTTTAGAAGCAATGGAATACTTTTATTTTCTTTTCGAAGAATATTTCTAATTTAGAAAACACGTAAAGCAAGGAAAAGCAGGGAAACCCCGTTCTATTTATAGCTAGGGACTAGGATATCAAACTGAAAATGAATAAATGTTGATAAACAATCATGCATTTTCTTACATAATCTACAGATCAAAAGACAATCAGAAGTATCAGGTATATTTTTACGTCTGTTTTTAAAATCAATAATATATTTCTATTGTTTGTGTTCTTTATTATCATTAATTGAAATGAATTAATTTTCATTGTAGATATTGTTTCTGTTTAGTAGAGACAAAAAAGATATATAGAATGTTGTTGGCTATTAACACGAATATCTTTAATGTAGAATTGTTTACGTCAATTTTATTTGAAATCATTTTGTATTTTTTATGTACGATCTGCCATGCTAGAGATAATCGGACAATATTAAAGCCGCTTCATCCGAAACAGGCAAATATTATCTTTAACAATAAAAGTATGTCATTACATAGATAATATATAAAAATTAATTATAAGATTGATTTGATAGTTTATTACAACAATCCTTGCATAGAAAACATATACCAAAAACCTTGTTGATAAACAGCAGTTCCTGACGGGAATTTAAGATCTGTTTTGAAGTCACCTTTGAAAAAAATACCTTTATCGGATATATTTAATTATGAAGAGATTTCAAACCCGAGTATTTTTTCAATTAGTAGAATCCTAAGTCATGAACTATCTTTTAAAAATTAAGGAATTAATTGAATATAATCCATAGTAATTTTTATATTAATATGCATATTTACAGAATAAAGGAAAAATGGGGGTTTAGTAACGAGGGCTAGAATATTGCCTGTGTACACTTTGTTGTGGAAAAAATGCTCGGGTTTGTTCTTCACGAGTTATACATGTAAGCGATAAATTTAATTTTTCGAAGATGACTTCACGCAATGTCAACAAATGTCAACAAAGGATTATTTATTGTGTGACCTAACAAAAATTATTTTTTTAACTTTTGAATTTTGATATCTTTAAAGAGAAAAAGACTTTGGGGATATAATTTGACCAAAGTTAAAATAATTTATGGACAATTATTTTTCAAGAAGAAAAACGAATATATTTTTTTAGCGATTACAATCGGACCAAGCGGCTTTAAATATACTTAAGGCACTCTGAAAACAAAGTTAGTGTGTAGTATAAAGAGGTCTCTTAAAATGACCACTGATTTGTTTACATTTTTTGCTTTTGTTATATATTTAAGAAAAGTATTTTAGCAATGTGCTCACAAATCATCTTGAAATTAATCTATAGGAAAAAGTTGAAGATTTAAGGCATTCTTTTCAATCTGCCATCGAGAAATCGTTTAGCTTGCTTAGCATATTTTGGATTTGGTACGTATTGCTATTGGACGAATGATTACCGTGTCATTTATTTCCTGAACGTGTCTTTCTGGTGTTTAAAAAATTACTTTCGATTTGTTTTACGAGGAATGTAATTGAATTGAGAAATGAAACATCTACTTTCTCTTTCAATTCTGCGAAATAGCCTTTCATTATGAACAGGTGAGGTTATACTTTGACTTAACAGTCAACCATTCTAAAGAAAAAGTTTTGTTTTGTCTTTTTTACCGACTTATTTGTAAAGCAATTTATTAACCTTTAACAGATATAAACACACGCATACAAAGCATTTTCTTTGGCGCACATCACATACGGTTGAATATGATCAGGCAAACTAAAAATTTACGTAATTAAGATCATTGCCTGCTGATTGTCATACTTAAGAAAACCTTTAAAATCTAACTGTTAAGTTTTTCAGTTTTTATACACATGCTTGTATTAAGACGCCTTCTGTAAATTATTACTTGAAAGATGTTTATTAGGATTCGGGTGTATCTTCTTTTAAGTACGAGAACACGTTGTTACAATGTTTATACATTTGTATTTTCTATTCAATGTTTGTTTTACAAGCAATATGAGCTGCAGCTTTGATGTCAAATTTTTTGCTGCAAAATTGTAAATAAGTATTTCAATGACAGAAAAAAAAACTGCTTATAAACTTCTGTTGTTCATATTTGCGCTGTGTGAAATATTTATATGTTTTTAAAAGCTTTGATTGAATCAAAATCACATTTATGACACTAACAAACCAATGCCCTACTGTGGCTTCTTTTATCTTTTGTCCCTGCGACATTATTAACAAATTTGGACTGCACGTGGTCTACAGGTATATACTTATATATTGTTTACAACGATAACATAAATATGTTCTGAAGAGGAAATAACCCATTCATAATTTGATTTAACTAAGTTTTAAATGCTATTAAACCACTTAAGGTTAAAACTATTTATCAAAGTTAAATAATTAATTTGCCTTTTCCTAGACGATAAAACATCTATTTTACATGGCGATTTTTGCAATATTTAATGGGTCCATTATTTTTATACTCGGGGATACTAGTGACATCTAGCAAAGGACTATGATGTCAAATGTCACTCATTCGTCATATATTGTGAGTCATGGTCCTGGTATATGATGAGATTCTAATGATTCTTTGTAAAATCCTCCCTGCTACAATATGTACTTGCATTTGGGTGACTAACACAGTGTTAAGTTTCTTGGTATACTATACATTTACTGTGTATATGCACATGTGATATCTTTTATTTTACAATAGTAAGATATTTATTTCCTACGTACTGTTCTGTTTTATATTTTGTGTTTTGACAGGATAAATTTGAGATTTACTTGTGATTTACACAGTGAAAACAATTTTCAAATAACCAGATTATTTTGTATATCCATAATCATCAAATATCTCTTATCTAAAGCAATTTTCTTTCAATGGTTTATAATGTGATTATAAAAAATAACTGGAATGCAAGATTCCTCTAATTTTATGCTCAGGTGAAATGCATTTGTTATATCGGTAGGGAAATAATGATATTTTTGCATTTTTCATCTTAACCTTTAAGATACATGTATTTTAGACAAACTCAGTGTCTTACTAGTATACTGCCTTTATATGCAGCATTTATAAACTTTTTTTTATTATAAACCAAAAATTATATTATTCTTAATTGAAAACCCTTGGTCCATTTTTTAGTTCTAGCTCAGTCTCACAAGATGGCCTGTTCAGTGATATATGTTGGAGGAAATTGCATGGAATCCAAACTTCTTTATACTGGATTGTATACAAGGTGCAAATTCAGCAATTGTAGTCGACAGGTGATTAATATTTTTATTAATCAAACAAACGAACAAAAACATGATCATATTGATCCATTTATTGAAAAATATAATTGATTGGTTTCCAGTTCTGTATCGAAATCTTTGCTTCTGATGTTCAAGAATATATTTCATAATGAAAAGGTAAAGGACATTAAGTTTTGGATTTCATTCAAATTTAAAAACATTACAAGTTTGTGAACACAGTACAAAAACATGTATGCCTGAACAATATTAATGCTTCAAACAAATTCTGCTTTCAATTGATTACACATCCTGTCATCAAATCTTTTGTAGTTCATGCATATAATAACCTAAAATAATAATTTAACATTCAGGATTAATATGAACTTATGCAAAAAAAAAGGAAAAAAAAGAAAGAAAGAAAAAAAAGAAAAGAAAGAGGAATCAAACTAATTAAACGAATACATCAGATGCTATCACTTGTATAATTTTTCTTTAAAAAATATATTAGAAAAATATAATAAATATTCAAAATATTCATTTTTTTTCAACAAACAAAGCTTTTTTTCAACAGTGCTTTCAATTCTTGTTATCTTTAAAGAAACTTATTTTATTATTTGCGTTGATTACAGACCTATATGGTTTTGGAGAGGTGTCATCACATAGTATGCGAATGTTGTCTCTCAAAAAGCAATGGAGAAAATGAAGATAAAGAAAACGTTTTTGTTTGTCCATCTTGCTATCTTGATTGTCGGAAACATTCTTCATGGGTATATCCAGAACGATTGTATAAGTTCTGCATTTCAAAGGTAACCTGAATTTATGAATTGTAACGGTGAAGTTACGCGACCGAACCTCCGACTTAAAACATAATTTTCATCTCAAGGAAGCAATTAGTTTTTATTTATTTTGTAAAAATAGATTTTAAAATTCAGCGTTGATTTTGAAATCGTTTGGGAAAACATTTTCTCCCTTGCCTACCGATTTTTGTCATTCGAGTCTGGAGAGAGCACAAGAATATTATTATAAAGTTTGCTTTAACACATATTAAACACATATTTTTTAAATGAAAAAAAAACATATCTTAATCTAAATGTATTATATAATTTTTTTAGAAAGTATGCACTCAGTGTCTTGTAGAAGAGGTAAGTCTCTCTCTCTCTCTCTCTCTCTCTCTCTCTCTCTCTCTCTCTCTCTCTCTCTCTCTCTCTCTCATATCCCTAGAATGTTTTAACTGGTTCCTCCACTTCGCTCCTTTAAATCTCATTTTCTCGGATTATGACACATTTAGATTGAATGCCGGAATAAAAATGACCTTGGTCATTATAATTACGGTTTATTTTTGTAAATACATATCTTACTGATATATACCTCGTTACAAAACCTTCCATTCCATGTGAATTATTGCCCTCATTTTCTTTTTCTATTTCTTTTGACAAAACATTTCCATGGGTACCAAATTGGTTACCTTTATGCCTTAATATTAGCTTTTAACATACTTTAATGCTTTAACTTTAGCCAAACCTTTTGAATGGGTTATATTAGGATTTTCATATTGTAAATGTGTAAATGTATATTTCTGTTGTCGATACATTTCTTTACTTTTCTGCTTGGAATTTGATATCCTTTTTTAAAAATTAATTTTGACAGTTTTTTGAACGGTTGGTTTCAGGTTTTCTTTTATCACGAATTTTTCATCTGACCAGTTCCTTGGGCTTTATTAATTTTACTTTTTCATTCACGTTTGTCATACTTTTGAAAAACATTACATTGGACTAAAATTTTCAGTTGATGTTATTAGGGCTCTCAAATTGCATTTGGTATATTCCTTTGGGCAATTCGTTTCTCTTCATTACTCTTTTTTTTAAATCTTGCCCTTGAGTGTGACTTTCATATAAGAATCTTTAACAAATCCATGGATCTTGTTTAATTAAATTAAGGAAATATTTGAAAATCCATTAATTTAAGGCAGCCGCAGGTGGCTTCAAAATGTCTTAGCTTAGCAGCTATCATCGTAGGCAGATTTGAAATAAAGCGAAAATGAACAAATAGATTTTAGTAGATTTTATTCACCTCCTCATTCTGGCAGAAAACTATAAAATAATTTTCATGAATTGCTTGCTTGTTTTATTTATTTTATTTTTATTTATTTATTTTTTTAATTGCACTAAAATCATTTTTAAATAATAAAGAAACAGTGAAATTTTTTACAAACGCTACAAATAGATTGATTGATTGTATGTTGTTTAACGTCCCTCTGGAGAATTTTTCACTATGTAGACGCCACCACTTGCCAGTGGAGGACTACAAATTTTGTCCTATTCTCGGAATTCAGGGCCTTTGAGCAGTGAGGGATCTTTTTCGTGCCAGCCTACTGCAACACGGGGCCTCGGTTTATACGGTCTCATCCGAAGGACCGGTCTGCACGTCCCGCAGTGAGATTCGAACCCGCGAACTAGGGATTGGTTCTTTACTTCGCAACTTTAGAGCAGACACTCTGACCACTGCGCCACTCGGGCGACCGTTACAAATAGAATGGAGATTTACATTATTATTTATTTAGCAGGGATAAAATTTCAAACTTGATTAAGAGATAGCCAAACTTGCAATAGATGTCACCTTTCAATAATTATTTTATGTATATAATTTGATCCTCACAACATCAATTGCCCTGGATCCATTCGTGGTTATTGAACACTTGACGAATTCCATTCGATCCTCTCTACTTGAAAATTAAGCATTAATTAGATCGGGACAGTCATAAAGTGATTCAAAACATGATCAGAAAGACGGCGCTACAAACAGCTGATGGAATATTAAATTGAGTTTGTAAGGATTCCAAATGCGATGTTGCAACCACTACTGAAATAACAACTACTATTGAAATAATTAAATTTCAATAGTTGTGAGAGTGCATTTCAATTACAAACACGGGTTTTAACCTCTATTGCAATACGACCCAATGCACATATGTTTGTTTAAACTATGGACAGAAATTCTAAAATAAGCATCAATTTATTTTACAGGCAATTTATAAGAATAACTGTGGGCATGTATTCTGCAAAAGCTGCCTGTGCAAATTAGATACTTGTTCAGGTTCAATGAATTGTAAGGCTCATACATGTGACGCAGTATTATGCCGTTCTGATGTCCAGCAAATCCTGACCATGGCAGACAGCATATTGGTAGGTACATGTATATTAGGAAATTAAGTTATTCTTAATTATTAATATTTCGTGGGAATGGGGGACCGGTCGGCAGGGGAAGCTCAGTCCTCCATGGCACCTGATGTTTTGGAATTAAGTGTTTGATCTGCTCCTTCTTTGTTTTGTTTTATGGACTTTTGATCTTCAATACTGTTCGTAATCTACATATGTTTCATTCTAGTAAAATTTTGAGCTTGAATGCGATTTGTTTTCTCCACAATTATGAATGGATACATGTTCATACTCAGAAAAAAATTACGATTCATGTAATCAAACTCACCTTGTGGATGTTCTCTTTTTATCCCAATCTTTATATCGGTGTGGAATAAGACACAAGTACCTGGACTACCTATAATAATTATTCTAATTACATTTTCAATTCTTTTCGAACGAAATATTGAATATTAGACTTAAATATATAAGGAGCACCGTTTTCGTTATAATACGTGACTGTTTAAAATTCCATGTTAAAATACATTGGATTATCCATAAATAAAATATATGTTTTATGTTTTAACATTGTCGTCTTTTCTCATTCAAAGGTATGGCGATATATCTCCTTTCCAAAGTACCAATCATGTAATGTCCTCTCTGTAAACTGTACAGGAAAGGTATGTACTTAAAAGGGGGAAAGATGGTACATTCATAACTCTGCTGCCTTGTTTATATTTTAACAAAGTAAAACTTACTTTTAGCACAATTATAATGTACATACAATTTTGTAACATTCGTTGATTTTAGAACGGATAAGATTGGAGAGATAGTTATACGTTAAGAAAGAAACTATGTGGAATCAAGCCAAAATGAAGCTTTACATTAATAAAGAAAAAATTCAAAATATTTCATGTTAGCAGTTCCTTTTGTGTGTTATTACAAGAAAAAAAAGACAATGCAACTGAGTAATTATTGAGAGTTATTTTTTTTTAAATCAAAATGCTAGATATTTCATTTTGCAAATTAGAATAACTAAAATAGTAATTGATCGATGGATGGCTCTGTAGAAACGCAGAATTGAAATTAACTTAAATTCACTAACACAAAGACGTATATTTTTGATTTACACTTCACATGTTAGATATAGACTCTTTTAATAAAAATGGGAGTCAAACATTTTCCTACCTTTTGATTGGTCATCCATAAAAATTAAAATTACGCTGATAAATAATTACCATGATTCTACTCATAAGTATTCTAAAAGTCCCAAGAAAGTGAAATGGTTTGTTATGGCACGTATACGTATATGTAGGCAATGGGATAGGATTTTTATTCAATAAAAATAGCAGAATTTCACATCATATCCTTTCGCTTACTCTTTTATGTATTTTTTTCCACAACAGCTGCGTCATCAATGTCCGTAACAACAACCATAAAAGCATTCGATTGTTAAAAATATCACAATCTTGATGGAATATTAACCGCTAATTCAATATATCTATGAAAGATTTGCTTTTACGTTTATTCTTAATGTATCGATACACATTTTTTAGCAGATATAGATTTTTATAAGATCGATCACAGTTATCATGTTAAAGTAAGCGTATTACATGTATACAGTCAATCATGTGAATGCTTTAAAAGAAAAAAAACGCACAACTTAACTATCATACTCAGCATATCGAGTTTTTAATTATCCAAAGCATATTTTTGCAGCCAATATTAACTCTGAAATCCTGCAACCATTCGTACTGCTTTGCGTGCACAAATATTTTGAAAAACAACAACTATGAAGAATTGATAGCAGAGCACTTGCTGATATGCGTCGGAAGATTTTGCAAGACCATAATACCAGCGGCGGTATTGGAGAACTATCTAATATCATTACAACAAAAATTTGCATTGGTAATACAGTTGTATTTTCATATATTTTGATTTTCAGAAGACGATTTTCTTAAACTTTTTATTATTTGGAAATCAAGTATTTGATTTAAGTCAAACGAATTTAAATGTGAAGCATAAAGTTAATAAAAAATTATAACTCATAATTTATATTATTCTTCATCGCTAGACTGCAATTACACTTGAGCTCTGTCATGAAGTTTGTTATAAATGCAGAAAGAATGAAGAAACAGCAGATTCGGCAAGTATATTTTTTTTCTACAACAAAACAAACTTGAAGTAGAACACTTTCGACAAAACTTAAGATAATGATAAAATTACAAGGTAAATTGTATTTACAAAACTTTTATGAAATGGATTTTTACTTACCTTACCCCTCTTACTTTTATTGAGGTGTATAGTCGATGTGAATACCTAGAGTGATTTTTTTCATTTCGAAATTTTTATAGAGTGACTTTTTTTTTTTAATTTAAATTGGAGTTTTGATCAGCGGTATAAAAAATTAAATTTATCTTGTTTCTCACTGCCCTTTTTGACGTTGTATTTTAACAGGTTCTTCTGCGAAACAGATATTGTGCACTGCATCATGCATTTTGTGTGAAATGCATTCAAGATATCCAAAGAAATCGGTATTCAGAAACTTACTGTGACGTCATGGGGACTGATATCATTAAGTCCCAGATGCGCTGTTTTGTATCGGAATGTTCTGTGAAAACTCCAATGACTTGCATTAACATTATGCTAGACGTTATTCTTGGAAATGAGTCAGTCAATATGGTATACATGTAGTCAAATTCCAGTAAACCCTTTTTGTATCAACATTGAGTTCATAAAATTGTAACGGTTTTTTTTTTCAAGATGAATTTCTAAAAGCAACTGTCCTACATAATTTCCATGAATTACTCGTATGAACCTTTTGCAATTTTAAAAATAATGGGGATTCCTTACATTTATATGTCCTTGATCAAAGCCAGTTCAACAAAAACTTAATCTCAATCCTTTTAATTTTAAAAATGAAATCAATGGAAAGTGAAGCCTTCTAAACGTTAGAAAGGAAAAAGCAAGATGTGTTTGTGAAACATTAATTTTCCCCAAAATATTGATTCTGCGGTATGGCACCTAATATCGAGGGTTTTAAGATGCAGGGTCAAAGACAGGTAAAATTTTTGGTATACAAGGGGAGTTCTTGTCACAAGAAGTAAAACTTTGAAATATGAAAACTTTTAATTCTGACTTTTCAAACGTTAAGATCAAGGTTGATGCTTTTTTAACTTGCCTAAACTCTAATATCAAGGTCAAAATGTCAGGAATACGTTATACTATTTGAAAGACCGTGTCACGATGAATGCCCATGATAAGTATGAAATTAAAGCTTCAGCGTCAACTGTTCAATAGTTATAAGCAATATTAAAGTTAAAAAAAAAATTGTAACAGTGGTTCAAACTTCAAAATCAACTTTAGGAAGCTGAAAACGATGGTACATGTATCCTAAGAAATGCCTTTTCGGAACTTTCTTATCTAAAGAAATTAATTTTTGCACAATAGCAAGCAGCAGTTTTGAAAGCATTGTCGAGATATGTTTGCACTCAAGCGCCTATATTTTTTACATAGGTAGACGTTTTTATTAGAAAACCAGACATAGGAGAAAAATGCGATACTTGTTTTGAGTCTTCAGTAAGTATGTCTTTAAAATAATATAATTTCCAATATTATTAAACAGTGGAGTTCGGTGTGATGTTTAGTGTAGAACGTGATTAATTCAAGTTATTCTTGGCTCTGTTATTCGCAATTTAATAACTATGAAAAGATTGAAATTCAACAGAAATAACACATTTTTGTTGAATAAAAGGGGGGATGTGATGTTCTTATACATACACTTATATTAACAGGTTTGTGTGCTAAATAATTGAAAACTTAACGTAATATCTCAGTTTATATAAAATATTTCCAATTTAATTTGTTGTCTTTGTGATAACTCTGAGAAAGTTAGTGGAATTGATTTCTTGGTAATTCTACCGGAATGTATATTAGGCCAAACGATAAGCTAATATGCATGCAAATCTCGTGCACGTCTGTCTTTGTGTCTGACACCAAGGAGGCCAAATGTGCATTTAAATCTTGTGCAGCTGTCTTTGTGTTTGACGTCAGTGGGCGAGGACTAATGACATGGGAGATCTCGTGTAATTTAAATCTATTAGTCTACATTTTTAAAATTTAGATTTACCATTTTATTTCACACTGCAATTGGAATATACGGAATCACTGTCTAGTTAGTATGGACATATTAATTTGTTCCACGTTTCCGAATATCGTTGATTCCCTTGCATACTATACTAACTAGGTAAGGCAATGATTCCTTTATTATGTATTTGTACATGTATGTATCATTTTCAGTTTTAATCCTGTAAAGGTCATTGGCAACGCAGGGTTTCCGGAGAAAAAAAGTTTATACATAGGTTTTCTCACTTATGAAAAAAAGTCATTGAGAGTGATCTCCCGTATGGAATCCTCTAGGCGCTGAAAACAAATAAAGCATATGCTACAGACTGAGAAGTAAACAAAAGCACGTGCGTATTTTTATCGGATGTATTCAACTCTACAGTAATAATAGAAAACCAGCGATGGATATGTTTACATTAAGCTGAGGGGACAGACAGTCAAGAGGCCGTCATTAAGAATAGGGACATGAATTCTGGGAAGTGCAAAGATGTGAAATAATTTTGCTGAAAGTGGTGATAGCCAGGTAGACCGAATGAGAACTATTCTATAGGTTATGTGAATGAGATACCATTTAAAGATACTAGAAATCCTTGTTAAAATGTTTTTTGACAGTTCGCTTCCAATAAAGTAAATTATAGCATAGAAACAAACATCCAGTCTCTTGATCATAATGAATATTGATTAGATGTGAAGGGAAGTAACTCAAAATTAAAGAACAGTGCTGGTATTTCTATGTTTTGTTTCAATATTTTCATTTTCAGCCAAAGTATATGCATGTCATCGGAAATAAGATTTCAACAATGTATTTTATGTATAAACCTTATGAAATAAATGGGTTTTAGAGAAAACGTATCGTTGAAAATAATATAGGGCCATTTTACCAAAATTTTACATAAGAAATGCATTGAAAATTGTAAAAACATTGATTTGACAAAATCTATAAAGGAAGGCTGGCTTGATGTGTAAAAAGGACCTGAATTGAATACGTTTGGTACCATTAAACCTGTTCAAAAAATCTTGAAAAATCCTATACGAAAACCAGAAACGTTGCCAATGTCCTTAATATCATTTTGGAATTAATATACAGCTGTACTTTTTTTTTCGCCGGCAAAAATAATTTCTATATCTGTTTAATGTATATTAATTGATCGAATGATTTTAACCAAACTTACCACAAAGTATCCTTTGGTGAAGGGGGTTTAAATTTGTTCAAATGTACTGCCAAGCCCTCTTCCAAGAGGAGGTAATTATGAATTAATGAAAAAATAAAAGCATTCTTAAAAAAATTCTCAAGAACCATTGGGCCAGGAAAGATGAAAATCTTGTGGAAGCATGCACAGGAAGTGTAGATTCAAGTTTCTTCAAATCATGACCCCCAGATGTAGGCCAAGACCAGAATGGCTGATCAAAGGAAAAATCTTTTAAAAATCTTCTTCTCCAGAACCACTTGGCCTGGGAAGATGAAACTCATGTTAAAGCATCATCGGGTAGTGTAGATTAACAGATTTACATAGGATTATATAGGATATAAAAAAATCTCGAGAACCAATGGACCAGGAGAAATGAAACTCATGCGGAAGCATCCTCAGTTAGTGTAGATTCAAGTTTGTTCAAATCATGAACCTTAGGGGTAGCGTAGGGCCACAATGGCTGATCAAAGATATACATAGCAATATTAGGATTTTTTTTTTAAATATTCTCCAGAACCAGTAGGCCAGGAAAAATGAAATGCATATGGAAGCATCTTCAGGTAGTTTAATTCAATTTTCAATTCCCAATGTTTTTTTTTCTTTTATAGGCATTTGTGACAAGACTTGTCTGTTCACATGCACTCTGTCTTAAATGCACTGAAATAATTGCTAAGAATGAAGAAGAAAGGTACCAAAAATGCAACAACAGCGTTACGTTTTGCCGAAACATGATTCCAACAAGAATATTTAGAAAGGTGTTAGAATCGTCACCTGCAAAAACCATTGTGGTAATCTCTCTCTCTCTCTCTCTCTCTCTCTCTCTCTCTCTGCTGATTTTCTTTTATAATTATTTTTACTGTGTGACAACATCTTTAAGCCGCACATGAAAAATTAGTCTGAAATGGTTGAAAATATATTATCTTGAGACAGCATTTACTCTACAAAAATGCGCCAAAAACACAAATATTTCAAATCATATTCATATTCAACATGTATTTAAGTTATTTAACTAGTACAGTGTATCTTTAAAATAATCACAAATGTATTATGACCCATGTTGCATAAAAAATTATAGCATGTACGGTGTAAGTACCATCCTATTTTGCTCGTCATATTTTTAACAGTATCTTTATGCATTATAGTTAATATTTAAAAAAAAGTTTTGTGTGAAAATGTTGTAATTCATACCTTTTTAAAGAAAGGATTCCTTCTTAATTTATTAAAGAAAAAAGTATGCCGCTGTGCTAAAATAAACAAGATATATGAAGCATTCATTAGTTATCGTACATGTTCTCTTGTGTCATAAATATTTATCTTTTTGCACGCAGAAACAGGTAAGGAAGAATTGACAAATATTTAAAATGAACATCTCTTTGAAAAAATATGTTTTGAATAGTAACAAACTACTACTAGACTAATATAGCTACATTAATGTAAATAATGTACATTTAGTAATAGATTTACGGTGAGAGCGTCTGCTCTGGAGTAGCGACGTAAGAAACTGATCCTTATGTCGCAGGTTTGAATCCCACTATGGGACATGGAGACTAATCTTTCTGATGAGACCATATAAACCGAGGTCCTTTGTCTCAGTAGGTGCGGGCACGAAGAGATCCCTCCATACTCATGACCTTGAATGCCGAGCATAGGACAAAATCAAAGTGATGGCGTCTCCATATGATTGAATAAATCCCTAGAGTAATGTTAAACAATATACAATCAATTATTCAACAATTCAATTTACTAACCTTTAAGCAAATGAAGCGTAATGTATCATTACTTTTTAATTCATCTTAGTTTTATTCATAAAATACAATTCATGTTCTTCATAAAATTAAGTGTATTTTCCTGATTAATGTTGCTTTCTTTGCTGACTTCAAACAATCATTTCGCGTCAAATAAAGCTGCTCTTACGCAAAACGACATAGATCCCCTTTAAAGTTATCATTCTTTTTATATTGATTAAACTGAGTTTAATAAATTATATTATCATTAAAACTTTAAACCACGATCATTTACGATTAAAGTCCGAAACGCATAAACCTAAATCATGAATAATCATAGATGTTGACAAAAGATTTTACACGAGAGCAACTACGCCTGTAATAGTGCCTATCATTCTTTTTGCCCCTGGTGTATAGTTCTCGCTTAATTGCTATTGAAAAGGCGACAAACACAAAATATTAATCCGTATCTACTGAGATGCTGTAAAGATATGATGTAATTTTATATTTATTCTATTTTAAGGTTTCAAAACAGACTACAAATGAAAAAGGTAATATATATATATATCCTTTTACTTCATTGGTTTGAATATCAATCTAGCATTTCAATATTTTCTTCCTGATGCAGGAAAACCAAAAGTATTTCTTGCACAAGAAATACAAAAGAACAACAAAACCGCTGACTTAAAAGGAAAAATTAGTTCAATGCGGCCAGTAAATAAACCTAAATGGGTTAAAGATGATAAAGAGCTAATGATACCAAATATATCTGATAAATATGAAGAGAAATGCTCTCACGATTTTTCGGAGTTGTCCCAAGCAATACATGATTTGAACTTAGAGGATGAAAGACAGTGCTTGCTCTTGGTAGGAAATGACCAAAAGGAAGACGCATTCAAGAAAGTGGATATTACTATGCCAGCTGGTACAAACAACATCTTATTACTTTTTTCCAGAATTATACATTATATTAGTTATATGCAGATTTAAAAACGTTTCCATTTCGTATTAACTGCCATTGGAAAGGTTTTCGAAGTTAAAGGGTTATAGCTTACTTAAGAAAATTCTTCGACAGTGAATTTTAATCATTTATTTTGTTCGTAAATAACAATCCATCACCTTTAAATTATGGTTCAAACCCATTAAATGCACACGGTTGTCATCGTCAATCAAACCTTATTAAAGGTAACTTCATTAATCTTATTTATTTCAGAATCTAATTTTGAATATTATTTTGAAGTGTTTTATTTCGATTTTGAGTATAGATTTTCCAACTATTTCATTGCACAAAAGGGAAGAGATAGATGAGTCAGTGACGGTTTTTCTAATTGCACACATTAAGTATCCAATTGCTGTTAAGACAACCAGATGGCAACAAGATGGAAAAGATTTGCACATTGATGGCATCAAATATCGAGAATCAAAGACACTTCAAACGCATACTACTTTACAAATCAGTGATTTGCAAGAGTCAGATGAGGGACAATATCAGCTTATCGCAGAGTGTTTCTTGGGTGAAAACAGTAGCAATGCTGTTAGTGTTCATCTTCCTGGTGGTAAGATTACTTACTTTCAAAAACTTAAATTTGTTGAAATAATGTTTTGTTAAGAAATAGGTAACCGTTGTTTATTTTAATGAAATTTAGTTCATAAACTGTAAATTATAATATCATGAAAGAACTGAATTAGATGTACATAAATGTTCATGTAGGCAAGATGGAATATGAATATAACTGCAGTGTTCTTGTGATGAATTAAAATGGATTTTAAGGTACACTGATACAATGTACTATGATAAAAGAGATGACCTGGACCATTTTTGAAATAATGTTTGTTTCTCCTCTCCCGACTCTAGGTAGAGTGTGTAGATAGCTGGGGAAATCTTCTTTCCAGAAAATTCTAAAATATTTGTTGAAGAACATAAGAGGAATTAAACGGAAAAAATAGCGTGTCTTTCAATGTAAAAAAAAGATTAACGAACGGCATGTTTTGGCCCTGTAAACTTCTGAAAAAAGACATGGCTAGTAAAACGACAGTTATTAAAGCCATTATACGATATTTTGTATTAAGTGCAACCTCTGAACTAAATATGAAATGATCAAATGATAGAACTGTTTCTGAAGATTCCAAAACATATTTCATACTTTGGATCAAGGATTGCGCTCATATTATTTTTTTTCTTCTCGGAAGAAACTAAAACATACCCGGTGTTTTTTAAATGCAAGGATATTGAAATTACTATGTATTTATTTGTCTCGTAAACGTTTTCGTAAACTTTCAAGGTTCAAAAAATATTTATCAACTGTTTGAAACTTTAATTTATCTAAAAAAAAATATAAAAAAAAATGTTCATGTAGTAGAAAAAGTAACAAGACAGCAAAAGGTTAGTAAGAATAACAAAACTCAAAGGTAGACAATCTAACTAATGTATCACGAGATTTAAGACGCTCAAAAGGTTAAGGTATGTCATATGTGAAAATAGTTAAATCAATGATTACTTGAGAAGTAAATTTTGAAGAAGTATTCATATTGTATGATTAAAAATCGCAGAGAAAATAGGTGGTCAGTGTACATCTAACTGAGCTACGGTACAATTAAGTTTACCTTTTTGCACTTAAATTTTGTCTCTTTGGATACTTACTAAACGTTTATCATATTAAACAGATGTAACCATAGCAATATATAGATATAATCTTATGACATAAGTTGAATAATACTTATCATTAAACAAATATTGCAAATTAATGCGCGAAAATTATATTGCGACATTTTAGCCCTGATAAAAGACCATATTTGGGGTGTTAAAAATCTTAATAGGCATTACAAAGTCAAACTTTTCACAGCTTAGTTGCTGATCGGCCACAAGTAAAGAGTTGTTTAAAAAGATGAAAGAATAAGTTGGGGTTGGTGATGTTAATTTTCAAATATTGTTCAAAATATACGATTTTAAGGCAAAAAAAGTGAAAAAATTTTCTTTACTTCTTTGACATATTTTCATTTCTCAGCAAAGTGTTTTTTAGGGAAATTGTAAAAATCGTTCTAAAATATGAATTGAGACATAGATTAAATATTCCTAGCATATCATAACAGAAAACATACTCCGAGTAAAAGTTTGTAAAACTAAAAATCCAAGACATTAAACTATAAATGCGCAGAATTGCAGAAGTTTTTGCTAAATATTCTTCCACAACAAGAAATAGTCCCCCATAAATCTTGCTTCTTTGTGGATTTATTAGCAATTTTTTTCAATGAACGTTGAACAATTTACGTCGTTGAATTTAAATAGTACGTTGTAAAATTTGAGTTAGAATAAATAATTTTGAAATAAGAGATTCTGCGTGGAGTTTTATAAAAAGTTGACGAGTGACATATCTTAAGTTCATAAATTGACATAACTATGAGAGGAAAAATCGGGTTTATTAAGTTTTAATGAATTTCCATTTAAAGAATTTTAATCAAAAATGATTTATGTTATGAAGCGTGGTCATACACAACTTAGATAATTGAAATTTGGTTTTCTGGCAAAAGTTGCTTTTTTGGCTTTTTACTTCAATGTATTATATTCAAACACATACTTTAATATTTACAACACACTCCAAAAAATTGCTGGATTCCTAATTAATCATATGAGTAAATTTAGACAGGTACATGTAAATGCCAATATTTTATAATCTTACTTTAATCATTTATAGAGAAAGATTTTTTCTTAAACTATGTTAAAAAAATTCTTAATGTAGTATTAATTTATGTTTTAAATTTCAGAAAAGCCTACAATAACACTCATGAAAGAAAGTGTCAATGATGACGAAAAGAGAATAGCTTTGAAAGCAACTATAGAATCAATGTTCCCAATTATAAAATGTTACTGGCAAAAGGATGGTAGAGATATTCTCATTACTGCCAGTTCAAGTAAATATGAGGAAAAGTGGAATCATTTTTCTCGAGAACTGTTTATTTTAGAACCAAAGGAATCTGACAGTGGATACTACAAATATTTCGCAAAAAATGCAATTGGGGAAGGTGAAATTAAAGAAATAAAGATAGACCTCAAGAAAGGTGAATTTATAAATTTGTTTTTTAGAAGAAGTAAGTTCGATCACTTTGTATTTTTGCTAAAAATTAATACAATGACATGTAAATTACAAGGCTGAATCTTATTACACTTTTTATCAAATAAGTCCTATAACCGCTTATTCTCGATTATGGCCTACACTTACCATCTTATTCAGTATGAATGGTATTCTTACTATTACTACTTCCTTAAATGGTTAATTATTAATTGATAAAAATATTGAAAAAAAAACATCAAAAAGGTAATCCCCCTTATTACATGTACATTGTAATAAATTTTAATTCTTGTCATAAAAAGTATTAGGGTATAGAGAATTTAATCTTTTTAAATCAGACTTTAAAACAATGTCAAAATTTCGAATGTGCACGGAAATTGAAACTTGGGGCATAAATCTTTCTCTTTGTCAAAATCAATATGTAAAATTCAAAGTATAAGATTCATAAAGAGAACAATACTACCTGTCAGGAATATATTTGTCTGTTATACTGTAACATGATGCATATAATCATATCAAATAAAAATATTCAGATCAGCAATCCTTATTCATTTCAGAAATTACCGTATTGTCGGTGGAAATGAAACTGCTCGAAAACAACAAAAAACTGCAGATAACTGGTCACGTTTCTACATTAGGTAGTGCTTGGGATATTGTTTGGATAAAGGACAACGAAGTCCTCAATACAACAAATTTTGAAAAGATTTACACTAGTGCATTATTACGATCTGGGAATACGCGTCTTGTAATTCTTGACCTAAATAAGGAAGACGAGGGAGAGTACAAAATGCAAGCAAAAAGTGTCGACGGATGTTTTGAAAGCCAGCCTGTAACATTCATAATTCCAAAAGGTACTACTTTTATAGTATAAATACGAGTCCATGTATACAAAAAAAGATATCGAATTTCCTTTTTCGTTTTTGTATTAATTTTAGACGTTACAAATGCATGTAAACCGATATATTTTCGTTGTTTTTTTTCCCTCATAACCTGTTGATAATAAATACAGATAAAGATTTTTATTCACCTGAGTTAATCATCTAACCTGTTGTCATCTGTTTTTGTCGGAAGTTATACGCAGTTCTAGTCTTTGTAGTTCCAGATGATGGGGTCGAAATGTTCATGGCCTTGGAAACTCATTATACACAAGTGACTGTTTATTGAAATGCCTTTGGGCTTCTTGTTAAAAAGCTTGACTTACCTTATTTCTAGTATTGGAGATCAAATTGTGGCGAATTAACATTTTATGTCAAATAAAATAATTTATTCCAAATTGAAAACACATGATGAACAATAATAACAAGATTCTCTGTGGAGGCTTTCTATATACACAAAATTAGACTGAATCTCTTTCATGTGTTATATATTCGTCATAATATTCTTTTTTACTTTTGTCAGAAATACCAAAAGTGACCATCGAAACGGATTCAACAGAAAGTGGTAAACGTCTAACGGCACATATAGTTTCATCCTGGCCTATTCAAAAGATAGAATGGCTAAGAAATGATAGTTTGATAACAGTCAATAGTGAAGAGTGTCGATTAGAAAGTTCTTGTGGAAAAAATGTTTTTAATATCTTAAGGATCAAAGACTCAATTTGGAAAAAATGCGGACGATACAAAGTATTTGTTAAAACAGTTGCAGGCGAAAACCAAAGTGAAACAAATCTAACGTGTAGTGGTAAGTAGGTCTCGGAAATAAAGAGCCTGTTTTTTCTACATTGAATTTTTTTTTTTTGACTTGGATGAGAGAAACCACAAAATTGCACGGTAAATGAGCTACACTTAAAACAAACGAACATATATTACAGGAAAGCTGGCCAAGAATTAATACATCAGACAGAACGCATCTAATATTTCAAAATTTGAACCAACAAATATTAGAGAAACACAAAACTAAATAATTGTGAAATATTATTATGTTTTATATAATGGATCTTCCAAATATTGGATAGATAAATATTTGTGTCACAAAATTATTTAAATCCATGTTCATTTTCTTCTAATTATGCACAACAGGGAAAGATGTTGTTTCCAATTTCTCCGAAGACATTAATTTCCCGTCAATGGACAACTCAACAAAGCTTATTCCTGCATTTTCGAACGTTAAAGAGGGAACATGTAGCACTATTGCATTGGCAAGTGATATAGAAATGCATAGTTTATTTTTCTGGAAAAAAAAACCCACAGACTGTTATAACTTCCTTACAAATTATCTAAATCAACCAAAGTTTTCAAAACTTTTCAGTCTGTCAAAAGGTAGAATTGGAATTGTTTCTTTGGTGCTTTTTAATTTAACGAAATATCACATGTTACGCCTACATGAATTTGTACTCGTATTTTGTGTTTTCTTTAGATTGATCATGTACTGTTCGTATCTTTACCCTTTTTAAAAGATCTGTGTTGATTTAAAGAAAATTATTGACCATGTTAAACTGTTATTTTCACATCTAGTCAGTGTATCTATCTTTTTAGATTCCTCCACCCTACGACAATGAAAAGAGATGCATTCTGTGCGAAAAGACGGTATATGAAAATATTAATCCATTGACATACATACTCCTAGCATTTTAAAATATTAAATGACATGTACCAGTTGATAATTTTCTAGAATAAAAGTGAAATTTCATGAAGATTATTCTTTCAATTGGTTTGTACGTGTTCTTCAATTGAAACTTTTCAGGCAGTTGCAGAAATTGTAAATTGTACCCATAGATACTGTATGGCATGTATACAAAAAATGAGTGGAATAAGTCAAAGCTTGTACATGGATTGTATCCTGGGAGACTGTCCATCATATCTCAGAATAAAGGATATTAATAAATTATTTGATTGTCCATTCACTATTCAAATTCAGGTAATGACTTAACGGAATAATTCTTATTTATTGTTTATAGTTCAAAATCTGAATTGTTGTGTTTTTAAAATATTTATATTTTATCCCACAGATGCCGATGCACTTTGAAATACCTAGAGTAGGATTGTGTCAAGAACTCCTGTGCATAGAAAGGGTACAAAATGAAAAAGAAATCTATCTATCTTTATTGAATGTATGTCTATTGAAGAGTTGCTTCGTGTTTGAGGAAAAAACACAATACTTGATTTACTAAAAAGAACAATTACAAGAATAACTAAGTGCTGGAATCTTTATAAATGTTCCTCAAATTGTTTTTAAAATAGCTACTTGTATAGTTGTTTTTCAAAAGATCATTTTTATGAATATTTTAAATTTGTCAATATGCATTTTGAAAACTTATAATTGAAACATTCAGTCAAAAATATTAATTTATGTCTTTTTGATTATACAATATTAAACCACGTAAGGCAAGGATGTGATTATAAGAGAAATATTTCTTTTACTTGAAATTTTTACAGGGCGACTTTACTATAATGCCATGTAAGCACACGTTTTGTACAGATTGCTTGCACAAATGCACAGAAAAATCTGAATGCCAATACAAGTACTGTCAGAGCAAGCAGATTCCTGCCCCAAAGTACTTTAACAATCTTTTTACATCTTTACAAAATGAAAAGGTTTGCTTGATTTATCATCATCAAATTAAAATTTTACATGTCATAAATTCTAACAACAATGAAATACTTTTTTAAACAGCATTCTCGAATATTGTTCATATTATTTTATTCCTTTTTAGGCACATCCATTTCTACTGAGGAGAAATGAAGCTAGTAGTGCTGGGTATATGACATCAAATGCCTGGATATGTTTAACCTACAACTGCAGAAATCAGGTACATTTCCTCTGACAAAATCAAATTGAGAGAAATTTGATACTAAAAAGTGTTCCTTATTTTACAATCTTAATGCTATTTTTTCTCTCCAAATCTTCAATTTTGCATTTACTTCTCAATGTTTTGCACTTATCATGGGCGATCCACAAAGGGTGTTTCTTGACTCCCTTGCAATTTTCAATCTGCCATTTGTCAGTAAAATTATAATTTTATTTACTTTACACGACATCCGATACCTGTTTTCAGGTGAGTTTGTGTTTTATACCCTGATCATAAATTCGTATTGTTTTACCACTCTTTGTTATCTTCAGATTTTTCATTCTTAAAAGAGGATTTTTTAATCCAACAGAGTAAGAAACATTCTTAATATAATGTAATTTAATCTTTATTCATGTATTATATAAAATACCAATTATTTAGGTAGAACATTAATTGGGAAGGACACTTTAAAAAAAAAACCTATACGCTTTAAAGTAATCCTTTTGGAAAGAAAAATAAGTCAGAATCTTTAAGACAAAGACGAGTTTCACTACGATGTCTCTCCATGACATCCATGAATAAAAAATGTCATACTAAAACTTTTTAAAAAAATTATAACTACCAATAGATTTATATGTATCATTTCTATCGGTACTAAATGTAAAAATTATTTATTCATTGTTAATAGTTAAGATTTTATCCTTCCACATTTATTTGTGCATATACTATGATAGCCTTTACTTCTAGGCTGACTTTGTAATTATTCGATGTGGCCATACCTTCTGTTCAGAATGTGGAATGAAGATGGGGTGTGACTGGATAAGATTAACTAAGTTCAAACCCGCAAAATGTCTTGTTGATAAATGTAAGGAGATTTTTCCACTTCCATCCTTTCTACAGTCGACCAGAGAACGACCTACCACCTCGGAATCCGTATGTATCACTTAAAATCTAGCATTAAGTTAGTTAAAAAGACTCTTAAATTTACAAGGTTAATTACAAATAATCTTGGTCCAATCAAAATCGGATATAAATCTTATAAACAAAAAAAAATTGATAATTTTCCTATGATACCATTTAAATATTGCCATTTATTCCACTTGTGGTGTCCATTCCTTTTGTTTTGATACGTCCCTTGGAAAATGTAGATAGAATTGCTACAAGTCTATAAAAATTAAATACTTTTAAACAATTGTTCTAAGGTATTTGAATATGTGAAGCAGCCTGAGCTACTCTTTGTAATATATCTATAATTTTTACAGTCAATGAATCTCTATTCATGTATAGATTAGATTCAAAATTTTTATTATGTCTTTAATTTTTTAAGGTAGCTGTTTCAAAGTCGGGTAAGAATGTTTGTTACCAAATCCCTTACTTAGAATAAATATTGAATTAATAAATTCATTCAAAATCTATGATGTATAATTAAGATGATTGTACATGTATCCAATCGCGAAACGATTTACTGATGACAAGTGTTAGATAAATTAAAGAAACTTGCATTAACTTTACAGAAGATGGATACATGAAAAACAAAAGTGATACTAATCACCAAGAGTGCGTATTACATGTACATTCAACAACTAATAAAAGAAAGGGAAGCAACATAATGAAAACAGCTATTAAAAGATTCAAGGTAAAATGGGAAGAATAAAAGGAGGAATGTTAAGAGGCGTGCATAATTTATGTGTTTCTGAACTTTATTTAAACAAGTATGAAGTTTGGGTCAATGAGCTTATCACATAATGTACTAGTATCTATCCAGTCTTATATAGGTGTGGCAGAAAGAATGCATTTTCAGCTAAAGCATAGATGTAGAAGCAGCTTTTAAATGACATTTTAAAATTTTTTTCTCAGCAGACTCTTAACAGTTTCGCAGGTCTTCCCCATTATCGAAGGACAACAGTTTGACATGAAACAACGAGTTGTCACAAAATGTGTTTTAATATTTAACTGCTGTAGCTGTAGCTGCTTCTACATGACTGTATATAATTTCTTAAAGAAATGATATAGACACATAGACAAAACTTTGCATTTATATTTCTAATGGTATCATGCATTTACTAGTAAATATTGATGTATACATGAATTGTTTGGTAGAAAAAAAATAAGATGACTTGAAGGTTTAAATATAACACATAATTGGGTGTTATATAGCTGTAAAGCATTGGAAAATAATAGGGGCATTTCAAAAGTCCTGAGAACTGTTTAATAAAGAATTAACCGTTTTACGGAATTTATTGAGTTTTATATCTTGGAAAGATCAGAAAAATATACACATATTGTGACGTTACTTTATAATTTTATGACTTAATATCTCCAAAAATGACGTCAGAATATAGAATATTAAGCATACTGAAAATTTGCGTTTTATCCACATGACACAATTTTAAAAGTACTGCAAAAGGCTTATTTGAAAAAAAAATATTTCAATGAAAATTTTATTTTTAAAAAAGTAGAGTAGGACTATGGTACTGTTTATGAATAATTCTGTATTTCATTGTTTGGTTTGTTTACTAGCATGGATTATGTCCAGTTATGCTATCATCGATATTCTTTTAAGATTTTAAGTTACATGATACGACTGGATTTTCAGTCTTTTATATATTTCCCCATTATATGAAATAAAACATTTTCTGTATAAAACTGAAGTATATCGATGCAGTTTTCAACAAATATATTTTGATTAACAGTACTCTTACCGTTTACAAAAAATATGTACAAAAGTCTTGCCCCTGACTTGTTTCTGTGCGTATTTTTTCATATTAATTTAACTTCGGCGCCCCAAAACTCACTGCTGCTTTTGACTCCAAAAAAGTTTATAAGCTACACTGACATGTAAAATCCTATTTAATTTCCATAATTTGAATTTTGCGAATATGTGGAGGTAACAACTGCGCCCGCGCCATTTTAGATTTTACTAGAAAATATGGGGCACATTAAACTTAAATTCTCTTGAGCCTTCATCGATCCCGCAAATCTGGTTAAAACACCTGATGAATTGATACCATCAAATTTTGTAACATGATCATCTATTTTTCTTTGATTGCCAACTTTGCCTTTTTCTCACAGTCTGTTTTTTTTTTTTTTTTTTGCAAAATTTTGATCAAGATTCGATAAACACATGCGATGTTTGACAGCCGCTTAGACCATTCTAGAACAAGATCTCCGAAATAGAACACCATATGATAGATTGTAGTCTATGCAAAGATTCTACCAACTGGCGTTTGCGTCCAGTAGCTTGCGCCTGAGTAATGAGCAAAAGTTGTTTTTGAAATTTTACTTTGATTTAATTGTGTCATTCGTACGTAATTTTTATGGCCAGTATTGAACGCATGCGGAAATATAACGTCATTTTTGGAGTTATTACGTCGTAAACATTTATTTAGTTTAGACATGTAACAGTTCATTCTGTGACCTGGTAAACAGTTTTGACTGTTGCATGGTATTCGAAAAACATTTAAATGAAACTGGAAATAGTTCAAAGTGCCTAATTTCAATTTATATACTTGGTTAGGTATATTTAAATTTATCATACTTATCACTAGGTTTAGATGTCATTTCCCCAAAAGCTATATATATATATTAATATTTCATATTAATTGGTCGATCGGCCTAAGGAAAAAAATATTAATTCACATTAAATGAGCATGATGAAATGTGATTTTTTTTTCTTTTTAAAATTGTAATCATTTAATTTAAAGCCTATGCCATCAAGAGGACTAAGAAACATTGGTTTGTCATGCTACCGGAATGGTGTTTTGCAGGTATTGATTTTTAAGCTATTCTTTGAACAGAATTTTGATTCATTGGGGAACATTTTCAACGTTTGATATACAAAATTACTTTTTTTCTTTAAGATATTGGCAGAGACACCAGATTTCCTTGAAAACCTACATGACTCTTTCCCCCAAGAGGTATGTCTTTAAAAAAACACGTGTTTTTATATATATATATATATATATATATATATATACATGCATGAGCGTATGTTCTACATTTAAATTGAAACTAAAGGGGATCATTGTGACAATTTGTTTTCCATGCTAAAGAATTTACAGAATATCATGTTAATCCATCTTAGCAAAGAATTAAAATAGCTCATGGCATTATATTTAAGTGTAATAGCACTTTTGACGTACATAAGCATTTTGATTAATAAAAAATATTCAGTTTTCTTTATATTAAGTTTGCAAAGCTTTGGAACTCAATGTCATCAAAATTATTTTTGCTTAAGCCTCACAAGCTTACCGTCGAGCAAGCAAGCTTTCAAAATACACTTGCCAAGGAAATTAGTTGTATACATGTAGTAATACAAATATTTAGATTCTATTACCATTTAATACATAACATGATACGATGCAAATAGATTTGATAACGCAAATTATTGAAGGTCTGAACATTAAAAAAAATATGTTCATATTCATATCATTTTGACAGGAATTTCCGCAGTACTTATATATATATATATATATATATATATATATATATATATATATATATATATATATATATATATATATATATATATATATATATATATATTCTTTTTTATAACTTCATTTAAGGATGCCAATTGGATATCTTCATTATACAGCGTTCTTAAGGGAATTCGGGATCAGTGTACTATGGAAAAAGACACAGTCGATTGTCTACATGCTTTTCACCATTATTTCAATCAAAGGTACTTTATGATTTAATTTCACTCCACATGAACAGGTTATAGGTTTGAAGACCTTTTAAAGGTTCTAATTGAAATTATGTATATCTGTTTTGATAATGTCTTCGTTATTCATTATTGATATCCTTTGGACGAAAATTTTGCAACGACACAAGTTTTGCTGAAATATGGTAATGCCATGATATGACTCTTGGTTTTAATAAAATCTGATAACTGAATCTGAAACTTTATGAAACACATTAGAGGTACTTGTTCAGTTCATTATATCTCAGTTTATGATTTCATCATTCAGAATTTAGTTTGATTTTTAGAACAATTGTTCACTTTATGCTTCATTTATTTTATTCGTGGTTTGAACTCTTTCAACTCCAATACATGTGTTCGGCCGAAGTGTACTTTATATACAAAGGAACCGATTGATCACATGGACTTTTTATTTTACCAAAGTTTGACAATCGTCTGTTTGTCTGTGTCTTTCATTTTTGGTAGTTTTTTCGACACTATTCAGACCATTCTTGCCAACAATCTGCCAAATTACGAGAGTTTCGGTGACCTATGCTACTGAATTAAGCCAAACAAATCAAATATTTTCACCGATGCTAGATTCATTAGAAGTGTAAAATCTCAGTTTGTAAGATTGAATCTGTCAAACTAGTGTCAATCGATTCAAAATTGCAATGTGTTGTATACAAAAAAATGATAGTGCAAACAGCAGTACATGAACATGTTATAAGGGGTTATATAATATCTGTCTAACGGTGCCATTTATTAGCTCACCTGAGCCGAAGGCTCAAGTGAGCTTTTCTGATCAAAATTTGTCCGTTGTCTGTCGTCGTTGTTGTCGTTGTCGTTGTTGTCGTTGTCGTTGTTGTCGTAAACTTTTCATATTTTCATCTTCTTCTCAAGAACCACTAGGCCAATTTCAACCAAATTTGGCACAAAGTATCCTTGGATGAAGGGATTCAAGTTTGTTCAAATGAAGGGCCACGCCCTTTTCCAAGGGGAGATAATCATGGATTTGTTAAAAATTAATGGCATTTTTAAAAAATCTTCTTCTCCAGAACCGCTGGGCCAGGAAAGATGAAACTCATGTGGAAGCATCCTTAGGTAGTGTAAATTCAAGTTTGTTCAAATCATGACCCCCGGGGCAAGGGTGGGGCCAAAATGGCCGACCCTAGTTTTACATATTAGGAATATATAAGAAAATTCTTTAAAAAATCTTCTTCTCCAGAACCGCTGGGCCAGGAAAGATGAAACTCATGTGGAATCATCCTAAGGTAGTGTAGATTCAAGTTTGTTCAAATCATGACCCCCAGGGCTAGGGTGGGCCCAAAATGGCCGACCCAAGTTTTACATAGGAATATATAGGAAAAATCTTTAAAAATCTTCTTCTCCAGAACCACTGGGCCAGGAAAGATGAAATTCATGTGAAATCATCCTCAGGTAGTGTAGATTCAAGTTTGTTCAAATCATGACCCCGGGGCAAGGGTGGGGCCAAAATGGCCGACCCTAGTTTTACATATTAGGAATATATAAGAAAATTCTTTAAAAAATCTTCTTCTCCAGAACCGCTGGGCCAGGAAAGATGAAACTCATGTGGAATCATCCTCAGGTAGTGTAGATTCAAGTTTGTTCAAATCATGACCCCCGGGGCAAGGGTTGGCCCAAAATGGCCGACCCAAGTTTTACATAGGAATATATAGGAAAAATCTTTAAAAATCTTCTTCTCCAGAACCACTGGGCCAGGAAAGATGAAACTCATGTGGAATCATCCTCAGGTAGTGTAGATTTAAGTTTGTTTAAATCATGACCCCCGGGGCTAGGGTGGGCCCAAAATGACCGACCCAAGTTTAACATAGGAATATATAGGAAAAATCTTTAAAAATCTTCTTCTCCAGAACCGCTGGGCCAGGAAAGATGAAACTCATGTGGAATCATCCTCAGGTAGTGTAGATTCAAGTTTGTTCAAATCATGACCCCCGGGGCAAGGGTGGGGCCAAAAATGGCCGATCCAAGTTTTACGTAGAAATATATAGGAAATATTTTTAAAAATCCTTCTCAAGAACCACTGGGCCAGGAAAGATGAAACTCATGTGGAATCATCCTCAGTAGTGAAGATTCAAGTTTGTTTCAATCATGACCCCCGGGGCTAGGGTGGGGCCAAAATGGCCGACCCAAGGTTTACGTAGGGATATATAGGGAAATCTTTTAAAATATTCTTTTCAAGTACTTCAAAGCTATGATTAGTGATATTTACATGGAATCATCCTCAGGTAGTGTAGATTCTAGTTTGTTCAAATGATGAATGCCTGGAGGGGGGGGGAAGCAAATTCAAGCCCGATGTGCTCAGGTGAGCGCTGTGGCCCCTGGGCCTCTTGTTTTGTTTCACAACATCAAAATAATTAACACAGATTTTTTTTTCTCATTTAAACGATATAATCAATTTCAAAACCAATCGTCAGTGTTTGTTATTAAAGAAATACACATTTTTTGCCTTAAATCCACGATTCTTCTCTAAATAATATTTTAGCCATGAAGGTTTTCAGGAATACCAGCAAGACGACACGTTATCTTTTCTTACAAGTGTTTTAAATGGAATAGAGGATGCACACTCTGCTATCAGTAAATCTAAAGGTAATGCATGCTCATACATTTCAGAAATGCATTTCCATAACATATTTTTGAAATAAATTGTCACTATAATAAAACTTTTGATATATAACTGCAGATCAAAAAAGAAACTTGATTAGTCCAAGTAATCTATTCAAGGGACAGTTGAGGGATAAATATACATGTAAAAAATGCAAGCATGTGAGTGTTTTTTCTATAGTTTAACAAATAATCTTATACTCATTTGATCAACATTCCAGTGTTCTTCCATACTTGATTTAAAAAATAAAACTTATATTTGTCTTCCAGATTGAGTATTTCAACGAAAGCAATTTCTTTAGTTTACCTCCGTCAGTTGATTCAAATAAAAAGGTTTGCGTTCACAAAAGTTTTCTTTGGAAACGTTTTATTACTTTAGTTAAAACAGAGGTAAAAAATCCTTTAATTTAAGACATGTTCTAAATGGGAAAGTACCTTTTGAAAGAATATTTTCAGATGGTTCCTCAGACTTTGAGACATATTTAACTCTTGAGTTGTAACCAGATTCTTATGCAGATTAAATCATTATTTTAAATTTGATGTTGTTGTTGATATCTGCCACTCAAATCGTTTTATACAATTTATAGGAGGTTACAATTGGATCATGCTTTGTGCAGCTTTTGAAGGAGGAACAAGTAGAACTACCGTGCTCAAAATGTGGTAAGAATAATATAATAATATAATCTAGTAAACGATTATATAAAAATTGCCCCAAGCACTCGAGAAAATTTTAAAAACTCCTGTTTCATTCGTAAAATAGATACCATATTCAGCTGAAAAAATCGAATTTTACGTTTATTTTATTTTCATCCATTTTTCTCATGCCTCTGTCTTTTTCGCTATACAGTGTTATGGATTATGGCGTCATTGTAAATCGGTTGAGACATCATAGCTTTCGCGATTGGGAAATGAAAATGGATTTCTACAGCATAATTGGCCGGGACTCTTAGTGATGTTAGAATCTATAAAGATGGTTTACTTACTCTCTGTATCTTAAAACAAGAAATGGGGTATTTCATTACAATGCTTTTGGTGAAGAAAAGAAAATCGCGAGTGTTGCCGTCGAATTGATACTTTTGTTAATCTTTGACAAAGTATCAAATTGATATCCTTTCACACAGGATATCACTTTTATTCAATAAATAAATTACTGTATTTCACCATTGAAAATTTAATTTTGTGATATGTCTCTATTCTATGAACATGCAGAGAGGTAATATATGACGTTTATCATGGATTATGGCGTGACTTAATGACAGGGCTCATGAATATCTATCCTACATATTTCATTCACAATGTAAACAAGTATTTAGTACATATAGCATTTGCGTTTGATTTAACTTGCAATTGTACATAATGTATAGAAAAGGAGCACAACATTACATGCAGTTATGTACAGTTTATGCCATATACACAGTCTTTTTGTGACCTTTCATCATTCATCATTATAAACTATATCATTTATCATTTCACATTATAAAGATTGTCAATCAGTCGGACAATATCTATGCATCCAATCTCATATTCTTCCATACAAGAATCCCCTCACTTTTGCTGATCACAAGTAGTTATTCAGGAAAGACAAACTTCAAAACAAAATCCCTTTTCTGATGAATTCGATGATTTCCGATGAATAACCTCCTTTCAAGCTGATAACCACCTTGAGTAGTTTTATCAGAATCTCAGACAAACAGTTATTTGAATAATTTAAATTCGAACAGAAGGTTTTAGTCTTCACATGATTTTTTCACGTGGCTGACCCACTAATAAAAAAATATCAATGAGTAGTCAAGTTTCATAACTTATTGAAATTACAGTAAATTGAATTAAATTGGAATTAATTGTATATTAGTTGAATTTTCATTTTATTCTTTCTTTTCAAGGATGTAAGTGTTTTTTTTTTTTCTAAATAAATGTACCAAATTATATTACTTTATACAGATTCCTGCGACGTTTCAAAAGAAATGGAAATTGAAACATTTCCCAAGATTCTTATTTTACAGATCTGTAAGGTTGAGGAGGTAAATTGTTAATCATATCAGAATAATTTTGCTGAAATAATAAGAATATATATTTCTTGTTTCATTCTGTGTTCTAAAAACTCGGTTCGCATTATACATTAATATAAATATCAACTGTTTATAATTAATAGCTTATAGTATGTATCAATGATTTGCCATTTTTATCATCAAGTTTAATTTTCTTAAGATAATTCTAATTTTCTCGTTTGATTGGTTTAACAATCGTTAAACTTTTCAATAAAATACCATTATAGGTAGCTTCTTCTGCCAAGAAGAGGAGATTTGAGAAAGCTTTTACAAAATGTCGATTCTGGGGCGATTTCAAGGGGCTTACTACTAAAGAGTTAAAAAGAGTAAGCAGTTTCATTGTGTGGTCCCTGAGGTCCAAGTCATTCTGAGTAATACGTAGCAAAAATACCCGATTTTTTAAACTGACAAAACTAAAGGTCGCTAATCGTAGATAAAATTTCATAATTTTGCTTTGAGACTACAATCAGTTAAAAGTAGGCAGATCATTGTTGAAAAGGTGAACAAACCTACATGAATATTCCCTATTCCTAGAAATTTTCTTAATTGAATTTCAGTTGTGAGAAAAAAAACAGCATATGGTCCACGTATTGCAGTTCTTTTTTAAAGGACAGCAACTTGTAAATTAAATAAAAGAATTCTAGAAAAGGTATAATCTGTGTCAAGGACTGTCCATAACCTGATTCCATGTCTCTACCACCCATGGACTACCACTCAAAACCTGGCTTTATTTACTTAGAAATAAATGACTCATTCCTGTTAATATTTTCTGGTTCCTTCAATTTTTTCAGAGTCTGTATTCGGGGTTTGCCGAGTGGAAGTCATTGCTGCTTGACTTAGCTCACTGTCGTCTTTATTTTCAAAGATAACTAGTTGAATTCTCTTCAACGAAGCAATATATAACATAATAATTTGACGTTTGAATTTATGCAACAAAACTAAATTTGAAAAATTAAATTAAATTTTATCAGCGTCATGTGTTAGAGATCATGTAAGTGTCTTCTATCTGCAGAAACATTAAGCGTATTCCTACCTTTTTTACAGTCTAAATCTAACATACGCGCCTTAATCACGATGTAGTTGAAATTTGCAATTCTAATTACATAATATATATATTTGAATTTATTAATAAAATATCTGAACCAAATTCTTTTATCATACATGTATCACGTAATATACAAAAATATTAAAAAATCTACCAACTTTATAAATGCCTTCCTATTTAGTCTTTTTAGATGTACTTTGTAACCTATTTTTTCTAATGTAGAAAAGCGTTGCAAGTTCTTTGAAGATGTACAGATTGTACGGCGTTGTAGTCCACAGGGGAAGTGAACGTGGTGGACATTACTTTTGTTTTGTAAAGCGAAAAGAAGATCAGATATGGAATAAATGCGACGACTCATATGTTGTGGATTCGGATCTAAAAAATGTTTTGGACAGTGATGCATATCTGCTGTTCTATGAACGGTTTGAGACCTCAGATTAAATATGACTTAATTTAAAGAATATACACTTTTGCATTTACCATGATCCTATTAACAAAATACGAAATATATTAGGAAAATCATTTTTTAATTCCACCATTCATTATAATTTACAACATTAATCTGATTTTATTATTGCTCTGTCGTGTCGATATTTCAATCAGGGTTGGATGTTTTTTAAACATGCAATATAGGAATTTTTGTTCTTATCCTCTAGGATGTGTTGTTGAAAACCTTTCATCAAATTTATGTTTCTGAGTAGTAAAAAGCATACTGTGTTCTCTTCACCGGATTCAATTTTTGTGCTTTGTTTTGCATTTAATTCTTATTATAATCATCTAACAACTTGTGAGTATGTGTGTTTGTGTTCTATTTTTTTTTCATACTTAGTTTTGTTATTAAAATTCTCAAGTGATGTTCTTTTTTTTCTGTACTGATTCCTTATCACTTCTTTTATTACATGTATATATATTTTTTCTTTTTTGGCAAGATACCGTTTGCAAAGTCCTATAAATTGGAAAATATATAAAGATGTTATAATAAATGCAGTATTATAGATTTTTTTTCTGCCCTTGATAAATACGGGTGTAATGTTTGATAAATAAAATCCTTATTTTTTCTAAATTGTTTGTAAAAAATGTGCCAAATACTTTTGTTAAATGATTTATGATGTCATGAAGGAAAGTTGGTGTCTTTGTCAAAGTTTAAAGACAAAACTTCTGTAAAACTTTGAATAGGAAAGGAATCATACAATCTGATTTAATAAATAAGAAACATTGTTAAACTGGATTTCTGAGGATTTTCCAACTGGTGTTCTTTGGTTAGGGTTCTCTGAATTAACAGAAAACTCTTAGTGGCATAATGTCTTTAAGAGGTACCTTTCTAAAAACATCTTCATATAATTGTTGTGAACTGTGCCTTTTTGGAATATAAATGTCCTTCATTGGAAACAATTCTTTCTTATTTTAGTTTAAATAATTTTTACATAAATCATTATCAATCGTACTCTTTAATCTAAAGCAAGGTACCAAGGGTAATAAATTATTTCTTTTTAGTAATGTTTCAGGTAGACGATTAATAAAATTATAACGTCATACTAGGAGGAATTAGCTATCTACACATGCTTATCAACTTTCTCTGTCAAAAAAAGTAAATTACGTTCAATGACAATGATAATGACAATGATTTATTCTCTTAAATGTACAAACATACATTGTAGAGAGGAGGTAGGAAAAGGTACAAACACATACAAAAAAATATAATACATGCATTATAAACAGTACAAAGTATCACGTTCAAGTTCATGTCAATTATTTTCATCTATAATTTGTTTGACAATCAATAAAAATTTACATAATTTTTTCAATGTTGAACAGTTTGTTGTTGTAAAAAGTTGCTTAAATTTCTCTATATTTGGTCTACATGTGAAAGAGTTTGAAATATATTTTAACCTAGCCTCTTTAATTTCTTTTTGTGTGCATTCAAAAACATAATGGAATTCATCACCAATCTTATGAAAATCACATAAAGTACAAATTCTTTGTTCTCTTGGAATACCATACCATCTCCCAGTTTCAATAGGGAGTTTAAAGTTGCTACATCTAAATTTACATAACAAAATTGAAAATTTTCTAGGTAGATGAATGAGATATCTTTCTGGTTCTAGTATTTCTTTATAAATACGATAATTTAAACCTTTTGATGAGTTAAAAACATTACTTTGCCAGTTTTTTTTGATATTTTGGTCAACAAGCATTCTTTTTACTTCATTTTTTACCCATGCTACATTGTACATTTGTTGTGTTGTCCATAAATAAGATAATCCACAATCATCTAAAATATTTTTAACATAGTTAACCCAAGGCAAATTATGCCTTGAAGCTAGAACATACATTTTTGTAGCAAATTTATCCATCGTTTGAGAAAAATGTAGTTTTGCCCAAAAAGAAATCATTCTCACCTTAATATTAATGATAAGTGGGAATCTGCCAAGTTCCCCATACACCATGTAGTTTGGCGTTTTAGTGTTCAAACCTAGTACATGTATATATTTACAATATCTTAAGTGAAGTTGTTCAATTAAAGTATTTTTTGTAAATCCCCATATTTCACATCCATATAACAAAACTGGTTGTACAATTCTATCAAACAAATCTATCTGACAATCCATAGAAAGATTATGTTGTTTACATTTTGATATCACTCCAAACAAAGCTTTTACAGATTTATTGTATTGTTCTTTTATATTTTGATTAAAATAACCTGATTTTGAAAATATATTCCCAAGTACTTATAACTATCATCAATCTCTAGATTTAAACCATCATAAAAATATAAATCTTGTTTTATTCGACCTCTTCTAAAACTCATTATTTTTGTTTTGTCAACATTTACTTTTAACCGCCATTTTATACAATATTCATGAAAACAATTCAACATATTTTGTAATGACTCAGGATTTTCAGCAAATAAGACAGTGTCATCAGCATACAGCAGAGCAAAAAGCTTAATATACACATGAAGTTCATTCTCAATCATTTCAGATATTTTCTCCAAATGTTCATCATTCATGTTGAGGAATGATTCTAAATCATTTAAATAGAGCGAGAACAAAAAAAGGGATAAATTTTCTCCCTGTCAGTTCAAAACTGACTGTTTGCTTGCAATTATTTCCTGATAATGACCAGGAGCACACGGCGGGTGTGACCGGTCGGCAGTGGATGCTCACTCCTCCAACGCGTCCGATCCCATCTCTGATTTTTTGGAGGTCCGTGCTCTACTCCAATTTTGAATTGTTTAATGGACCCTTTAGCTTGAATACTGTTCGCTATCTCTATATACTTTATTTTATAAAGATGGTCCTGTCCTCAACTTGATAAGGACAGATAGGGAACAGGCACCTATAATTAAGGCCTGGGGAAATTGGATTTTTGGGTTGAATATATCACTGTAATGATCAACGTGCTTTTGAAGACTAATTCATTGACACAATCATAGATTTGTTATGCCAAAATATAGCTGTCTATTCTGTTGACAATGAGTAATGAGTCTTTACGTTTATTTGAATTCAGATAGATAAATTGCAATAATTATATTAAAAATCCTTTACATGTTTTTATGACATGGTGACCAATATATACAAATACATGACTGTAAGTATTTTTATGACAAAGTGGTCTGGTGTTCAAAAGAATACATTTTGTACTGGAGCTACATTACATTGCTGACTATATCCTGAACATCTAAGATTACCATTTGTACAAACTGTTAAACAAGCAAAACAGAAATCAATTTTACAACCTGGACAAGTCATCTGCTTGCAAAGTCTTTCGTGTTCAATTAAAGTTTTGCAGCTTGGACAAAGTCTTTTTGAAGGTACATTCTCAATTTTTGAATAATCTAAAGTTTTCTTTGGGGCGTCATTTAGGATTTTTTGTATAGCTTCTAGGTCTCGATTTCCACATACATGATTTGGTATCCATGGAGATTTACAGTCCCAACAGAAATCAAACTGTTTATCAAATCCCTTTAATGCACAGCAGTTACAATGAACAGCTTTTGTGTTTTGTTGTCGTTGACAAAACTGACCACAGTTTGGGCATTCAGACGTGTCGCTATTGTTTTGAAGTATGGCATTCAATGATATTTTATATTCGAAGAAAATCCTCTCGTCGTCTGTCAAATCAGCTTTTAGAACTATTTCACCAAAGTCCCATTGTTTGCATCCTGGAGTAAGGCAACAAACGGAACTTCTAACTTTATTCACTAGAGTATATTTCATGTGTCCAAATAAGTTATCTGGTTCTGCAATAGAAAAAAATGAATATAAGTATATGTATTCAAAATTTAAAAAAAATGTCTCAGTAATCAGAAAACAATATTTAAAAAAAAAACAATAATAAAACACAAAAATCCTCGGTTAAGCTCTAGCTTAAGTATATGTATATTTATGTACATTATTCCTTAAAAAAATACACAACTATATTATATTGAGAACATGTGTTTACTAATCATGCCAAATTTCTGCACAATTACATTATACACATTTTTTAATCAAAAATATTTACAGTTGTAGAGCAAAAAGACGTAAGATATTTTATCTTTCGAAAAAATACTTGTTAAACGCCACGGGTGAATTTTTAAATTACAATTTGAAAGTTATTACAGGTTCATACGCATTCATAAATAATCAACGATCAAAAGAAAGCCAAATATTAAGAATGGGAACGTCATTGAACTTGAACTTCTAAAAATTATGTGTGAAAGCAGAAAAATACCCGAAACAAACTAAAGCACTTTTAGATGCTACTTGGAATTTCTTCAACGTATCTAGGACGAAATCATTTTAATAGTAGTAGAGCTTATCCCAGGTAATCCGTATCTAAACTTTATTTCTGTATCCGTATGATAAAACATTTAAAAGGTATATTGTATATCATTGAAAAAAAATTAGCCAGATCCATGTCTCTTGTCTAGGACTATATTCCCTCCCCTTCGCTTCGAAAAAAGTCCTGGCCTGAAGAACGTGGAATCTTGCTGACTCCCACTTAAATATTCTAGTTCTCGTACTTTGACTCTATTCTGATTTAAGTGGCATACAAATACATAAAGTTCGAAAATGAATCAACGCAAATAAATGGAACCCCTCAAATATCATTTCTGTGACAGAGATTGACATACGTGTATGTATTATAGTTAAAAATAATAAATACTAATAGCGTGGCCACATGACATTTTAAGCCTCGGTTCCTCGTCATATGGGTCCTGCTCTATCATGTCTACATTACTGGTCACAAGGTAAAATGGAACACGTCTCTCGGTAGCCCCGATCATCACTTGAAATGGCAGGGTAAGGTTCGAAATTCTTCTACTATCCTCGTATATAAGCCCCTCCTCAAAATCAACAACATCCACACACTGTCGAGGAACACCACATAAGGACGCTATAGGACCTTTATTTTCGCCAACTGTTGTACATGCCTATAAAGGAACAACTCATGTTAATTTTAAAAATCCTAATCGTGTTTCTCATGTATACATGTAGGTTATAAATACAATTGTACATAAAATGTTGATCTCTCAGAGAAAAAAAATCTTGACAAAGAACCAACAGTTTAGTAAAACAAAAACAAATACCGTGTGAAAAGTACGAGCATGGTCAGACGACAATCTCTTGAACTCCATACCTCTGTGTTCCAATCGAAATTAAAGCAATTTAAATGTTATTTATTTACCTGCAGAAGTTTAAAAGTATTTTCGCTTTCGATTTGATTTCTGTGAATAGATACAATCGCAACTTCTCGGGCTTTTTAGTTAAACGGAAAATCAGTCTAAAACATTAAAACCTTAAAGACTAAAAAACCTTAAAACATAAAAACCTTAAAGACTAAAATATAAAACCATCAGGCTACAGTTCTGCAGTGAATTTTTTTTCCCAAATGTATTGATGAAATGCATGTTAACCATGTTTTCAAACTCATATTCGTTAAGCAATGACAACCCAACTTTCACTTAAGTGACTTTGACGTTGCTTTTTAAAACTCAAAGAAATTGAATTAAAATTAACCGTCCAATCCTTGCATAAATTATATTACAGTATCATAAAATTTTGCCAGGGGCCAAGGTTTTCATTTAAATACCTATATTATAATCTCTCATTTTATCTATACCGTGTGAAAAGTACGAGCATGGTCAGACGACAATCTCTTGAACTCCATACCTCTGTGTTCCAATCGAAATTAAAGCAATTTAAATGTTATTTATTTACCTGCAGAAGTTTAAAAGTATTTTCGCTTTCGATTTGATTTCTGTGAATAGATACAATCGCAACTTCTCGGGCTTTTTAGTTAAACGGAAAATCAGTCTAAAACATTAAAACCTTAAAGACTAAAAAACCTTAAAACATAAAAACCTTAAAGACTAAAATATAAAACCATCAGGCTACAGTTCTGCAGTGAATTTTTTTTCCCAAATGTATTGATGAAATGCATGTTAACCATGTTTTCAAACTCATATTCGTTAAGCAATGACAACCCAACTTTCACTTAAGTGACTTTGACGTTGCTTTTTAAAACTCAAAGAAATTGAATTAAAATTAACCGTCCAATCCTTGCATAAATTATATTACAGTATCATAAAATTTTGCCAGGGGCCAAGGTTTTCATTTAAATACCTATATTATAATCTCTCATTTTATCTATGTTCGATATACTAACGTTATTTGGATTTTAAAAACTCTTGACACAGATATCGACCGAAGCTGCTACCATATAATTTAACCATTTTCCGAAAATGCTATTTTCAAGAAACTCTATTTAAAACCAAGATCAAAGTCTATATTTTCCGAAAATCTATAAAGCTGCTATATTTAAATCCGAGTAAATGTTTTTCATTTCTGAATATTCTACTTTCATTTTGGTTTTCCTGTACACCGCACTGCAAATACCTTGAACAGGAATTATGATGCAGTATAAGAGATTATCAGAAAAAAATCCATCCTATCTACCACCGGTAATACAGTGTATATGCTAATTATTAATTTGAAATTAAATTATTTAATTTGTCTATGATTAGTTTTATAAATTAAATTGAATTATACCCTAACTTTATTTTTTTCTCATTTATAAAATTGCAGGGTTGCATGACAATTCTCGATGTTAAAAGACAAATAGAATCTGCGTACGGAGTATCTCGTTATTCCATTAGTGTCGTAGATTTCGAGGAGGGAATCATTTACGAAAATGAGCGTCCAATATCCGGACTACCATCCCCCCTTCAGGTCATGTTTGGTAATGATAACAGGCAATTCCCGTCATACCTGAATACTGATGAACCGGACATGCTTACACTGGATGATTCTGAGGACGAACCGCGTCTGAAAATGTCCTGTGGACACGCTATTTGTAAGGCAGCTCTTTATACATTTCAAAAATCTTATCCGTTGTCAATATAATACATGTACATTTATTCCAAATGAAAACATAGTACCAATTGAGTAGGGTTTAGTTGATACTTTTTTTGTTTAATTACTTTGGTACAACAACGTACATACTAATATATGGAAATCACTTTTTTTATTTGAACCATGTACTTGTTTTCTAAATTTTGTATTCTAATTTGAACATATCGTTTTAATGATATATAATTTTTTAGCATTATCTATTGAATATATATATTTTTCAGCTGCTGATAGTCTGTTTGGGTTCATGAGATCGGAGCTGATGACGAATGTTGTAGACGCAATACGTTGTCCTACCGAGGGGTGCAGATCAGAATGGAGGATGCAGGAAATCGTGAGAAAGGCAGATATGACGGAAGATGAACGTATTTTCTTTGAATATCGAATTTCTATGAATGCCTTAAACAAAGAAGACGACGTTACTTCAAACTGTCCAGATTGCGGGAATTATTGTCAGAGGTTGGCGGAGAACAACAAGCATGTCCATTGTATATTTTGCAGCAAATCGAAAGGTATAAATTATGAATTCTGCTGGGACTGTAAATCACTTTGGTTCCCAAATCACAAGTGCGCAAATTCAGAACTTGAAGCATTTCAAAGAATATTGAATGAGGCTCCACGGAAAAAGTTGGATTATTCGCATATTGAAGATGTTCCCTCTAAACGAATGTGTCCAAGTTGTCGCACTTTGATTGAACATGAGAGTATGTGTAAAGAGATGACATGCATTAAATGCAAGTTTAAATTTTGTTTCTCCTGTTTAACTCCATGCAGGGATGGTTCCTTACAGTGTAGTGGATATAACAGAAAATGCTCTGTTGCTCCTGTTCAGAACGTATTTCAGTAAAATTACTACATGTGGATATAATACGATAAATATAACTTGTTAATTTTTACTGTATTTTTATTTTATTTCAAAATAATCTTAATAAACTTTGCTTATTTATACGAATTGTAATATTTGTGATTGAATAGCATTTTCAATAATTCTGTGCATTTTGTGCAGATCAATGTCATATGTCATATGTGCTACAGGATTACAAGACTATGTGTCGATTCTAATTTTCAATCTGAAGTCGAACGTGTTTACATGATTGATTTTATAAATTTATCAATTTCAACTTTAGATTTATATTGATAAACGACACGTGTCATTACAGAATTGAAAACAAGTTTTTGAGCAACATTACCCGAAAAAAAGTTTTTCTTTTCTTAAATCAGAGATTATAAAAATTTAATTAAATTTAAGTTCCAATTAAGCATTTTTTAGAGGTATCATATGATTAATTTTTACATGTTTACGGTTACGAACATGGTAAAAACCATACTTCTATTTCATGTGCATGTGCCATTTACATTGACTCTGATGTAAATATTTCGATCATGAAAATGTTTTGATGTCTTCTATTTATTGTAAAAGTAAATTAAAGGGACCTCTGGCTGTTCATGCATTATAAATATTACAGAATTATGTCTTCTGTAAAAAGTGACATTATCCTTTAACGCGTAGTGGGTCTCGTGTTTTAGAAATGTCAGACCTTAAAAAAATGCACGAAAATAATAAAGAAAAAAATCAGTGTTTGTTTGAATGCACAGTCTCTTAAGCGTTTAAATCTTTAAAATGCACAGTTTTTCCACAGGCACCTGAAGTATGGATTATACCCCCCCCCCCCCCTTTTTTCAATAAAAAAATGTAAGAGTGTATAATACCTCGAAAATATAAAATTTCCCCGTCAAACACATCCATATGTCGTTATGTGCAAGTAGATTGTACTTTTTCTCACGTTTAAAGAATGGCCCTATTCGCCTTGTGTATAAAAATACACTATACCGAATAGGACCATTCTTTAAACGTGAGAAAAAGTACAATCTGCTTGCATGTAACGACATATAGATGTGTTTGACGGGGAAAGAAGAAGGTATCGTTTCCATACAAGTTTTGCCCTGTGATCTTCTAAAAAATGAAACTGGTGTAAAAGTTGAAAACTCATGCTTTTTAAATAATTGAAATTCAATGCAAAAAAATCATGCAAGTCATTTTTCTCACATGTGTTTTTAAATGCTAATTATGACGTCATAAACATGTGCATTTTCCCGTATTTTCTTAAAAGTTGCAGAAGACACCAATTTTCAGTGGAATTTTCTTTCAGATAACATTGTCCACAGCCATCGCCCACAAAGATCTTGAGATATGTGATTTTTTTATTGAATTTTACACAAAATATCAAAAAATTAACGTGGGCGACGGCTGTGGACACTGTTTTCGAAAGGAAAATCAACCTTGAAACGTGCCATTTTGAGGCTTTTTCTGTTGAAAATAGAGAAATGCTTCACATTTATGACGTCATATTTGCAGAATGGTAAGCCTTCCTGCCATATTCTTTCCTGATTTATCAGAGTCATTTATTTAACTAATATTTAAGTCAGTTTCAGAACTTTTTGATGTCATTACATTTTTAGGGCGCAATAAAGCTAAAACCATACCTTCTTCTTTTATATTTTCGAGGTATTATACACTCTTACATTTTTTTTCATTAAAAAAAGGGGGGGGGGGGGTATAATCCATACTTCAGGTGCCTGTGGTTTTTCTGCATACAAACACGTATGCAAAATATAATTTCTGTACTCTTGTCGATGTCTTTAAATGGCCTGCGCCCCTCTAAAAAATAATCAACAAAATAGAATGCAGATAGCAATGTAGACAGATGTTATATAGATAATATGTCATTATTTTTGGTCTAATGGGTATGCATGCATACATCCGCAGGACTGCTTTTGACTCCTCGGGACCTCGTTACATGTTTCTAAAATCCATCCCTGTTACTGCAAAATCCTAATTTTTTTTTGGGAGACGAAGTCTATCAGATAAAAAAAATTTTATAGGGATTGAAGTGGAATTCTCTTTCAGGTATGTCTTCTTTCGGTTTCCTTTCACGTTTTTTAAAAATGTCCCGAAATATATTACTTTCGTTTTGCGTTGTTCTTGGAATAACTGTGGAATATATTTTCGTTATTATGAGCTTTAGTCTACAAAGATGCAGGTTAGATCTTAAGGAACTACTTTATTTGTCAGGGGTTTTTTTTATTTTCTAGTTGTCTTTGATTTTCAGAACAGATATTTCATCCTTGTAAAGCTATTTTTTCTTCTCAGTCATACGAAGAGCAGATAATAAACATGTCAGAGGTATGAGTGAATATTCGATTAATACAACTGTCCGTTAAAAGAAAGGTAAGCAACATTCCATTTATCTTATAGACAATCTTATTCAAAACATTGGTCTTAATATAGCAAAGAATCTTCAAATCAACTTTGCGTAAAATTAAAAAAAAAAAAACTACAAGTAAAGAGATAGACGGACATGCTATGTAGAAAAAACAGATGGGAAGAAGACGAATACGTACATATTTCGATTAACAATAAATCAAAAATTGATATGACAGTATGCATGTTACTTTTAAGTAAACATCTATATTTACTCTGAAAATAAATGAGAACAGCGTTCAATAACACCCGTTATCCTATACTCATAACTAGTCATAATAATTTACCAAAAATACTATATCTAAATATCTAAAGAGTTTTAGAAATCAATATCTTAGTACCAATATATCTTATGTACATGTATACTCCAGAACATTATGAATACAAGCGCGCGTCTAATATTGAACATGTTATTGTAAACATTATAGATACCTTCCTAACAAGAAATGACGCATGGTAGGGTCGCTTGCATGATGCTTTTACATTGTACAAGATATAGCACACGTTGAATTTAAGGTAGGACAAAACACCCGTGAATTCTATTTTCACCCATTTCTTAAAAATTACTGGAGGAAAAAAATATACTACTACTTTATTGACAACAATGAATGATCCCTTAAAGAAAAATAATAAGTTTTGGCATATTTGCGTTATATTTTGTGAAAAAATTAGAGAATCCTATATATTGGTTACTTGGGAGCTTACATTTTGAAATGTGTTTACGCTATCTAAATGAAATATACAAGCTTTTAACAGTCTGTTATAAAATGTAGTGCACCTTTTGTTCCATAAAAAGTAGAGGGTTAATATTTGGAAACATATATAAGGAGTCTCTATTCTTCATGTACTACAAAGGTCAAGGTCATATCACAAGGTCAAAGATCAAATATTGTGACGTCATCTACTGAATCCTTTAGTTTTTTTGCCATCCATTTTTTTTTAATTGCCAGAATATCTTAAACCACCGGTTCAATTTTCTTTATTTTTACACATTTTATCCTAGGACCCATTTGAATCATTCTATTGATTTTTTGTAAAAATTGAATCATACGTTTTCTCTTAAGAAAAATTAAACTGTCGGATATTTACATGTGAATTTTCAGTTTCTGATACAATGTATGTTCTATTTTACTTAATATTTAACCAAAATTTTCCAGTATCAATGTGACTTACTAATTTAAAGTAACAAAAGGTTATCTTTATTGAAAGTATTACTCAAATTTGAAATAGATCAATGGAAAATTCTAAAATAAGGCTCATTCTCATGTCGAATGTCTGATTTCGCTATCTAGCTTCTTACAGGGGTCTGATAGGCCATATTTCAGACTATGTCGGCAAAAAATATGCGGTTTAATTTCTTTCATATCATGTATAAAGAGAGATTTTGTATCCAAGAACAAAATATCAAAGTTTCAGAAAAACTGAATTTGGGGAAAAATTTAACCTATCTATTTGGTCCTACCTTAAGTACCGATACCGAAAACTCTCATTAATTTTCAGATATTCAAAAAATAAAGGAGTAATAGAACTTAATTTGGCAAATATTGACAGTCGTTAGTGGCACAAATGCACTTGCAAGCTTGTGCAAACAATGACTGAACTGAAGTGTATGCAGAAATTCTCTTAATAAGAATATTATCGTCTAAAAATGGAGTTCATAGTTATATAGATTCTATTTTTTCCGACTAACCGATAGCAAATTTGCCTATCGATTACCGTCATTCTGACCGAGTAATCTGTTTACCGGTTACAAAGTGGCATACCTAGTATTTAGTTTCGTTTTATTCCACAAAGTACATGTTATAAAAACATTCGATATGTTGCAAAATAAAAAGTATAATAGAATAAATGATTTTATCATAAAATCTTTTATAGGTTCATGGTTTACATGTATTACATAGAGCATAATTATAAACTGTGTTAAAAAATGCGTGGCGTTCAATCCTCATGATTTTGAAACCTCTTAGCTTTTAAAAAATACACTTGTCTTTAATATTATGTTTCATCAACAACTCATGCAGTTGCCTAGCTAGATCACTAGGATAAAAAAAGCCTTACATCTATACTTATAAATTAACAGAACATTTTTCATACAAATTGTTAGACCATTATTTTTACACTGAATTGACGACGGATTTTTCCATTATAACCTGATCATGACAAGGAGCACACGGCGGATATGACTGGTCGACAGGGGATGCCCACTCTTCCATGGCATCTGATCCCATCTCTGATGTTTGGGGGGTCCGTGTTTTCTCTGCTCTTATTTTGTATTGTTTTATGGACTCTGATATTGAATACTGTTCGTTATCTCCATATCCTTCTTACACTTGATTATTTTAGCATATTTTGCTTGCTGGAGATTAATATTTACAACACATGATCAACGTCATTTTTTGATGTGAAGGATTTATCGCACCTTGACGACAAATCAACAGTAACTGTGCATCCATTTTCTTTCTGAATCTCTTTTTGCTTTTAATTATGTAAAAACAAGTTCTTTGTATACGTTTTTATTTCTTCGTAACCAGTTTAAATTTTACCTAGGGGCAAAACATTATAGAACTTTATAGAAACTTTAGGATGCCCCTTCCCCATTTTGACGTCATTTTCGATGCCTTATTTGTTCGGACACTCAATGTACAATTTACGATACAATTTCATAGAACTTCCCTGAATGAGATAAAAATTCCATATCGTATGAAACAATATTGTCCCAACACATACATGTACATTAACCTCGTATTACGGGATTTTTTAATGTCAAATGTACATACCAAATATTTTTCTTAGTTGCACTTAGGTCGAAAAAAACGTCGTTTTCGAGGTTGCGCCTCCTGGACAACCATTGCTTTAAAACAATTCACAAATTTATTTAAAATAAAATTTATGATTTGTGATTTATTTTATAGAATAGAAATTTTAAAATTCATTGATGTACATGTACCTACGCATGTAAAAAGGTTTTAATTATAATTGCGCTGATCCACGAATTTGTTGATACCCCCCCCCCCCCCCCTCGTATACAATTTAGGCCATATGTACAATGTACATTTGAGTGGAACACTAAGCTTTTTCAGTATTTTAAAATGCTGAATATTTTATAGTTAAATGTGCCTTTTCATTGTCTTATCCTTGATATAAAATCAATGTAAACAGTTCACCCGAGGTATAAGGGTGTTGCTAAAACACGGAACGGAAAACGGAAAATATTTGTCAAGCAAATAACAAAGATTCTATATAAATCAGATAAAGGAGCAATACCATTGTTGTAAAAGTCATTTCTAATAAAAATTTATTGTAAACTATTATATATTTATGAGTCATCCACACATACAAAATGGTACTGAAATTCGACCCCCCCACACACACACACATACGAAATTGGATTTTCGTGTTTTTGGCAAAGGACATATCCCCCTTTATTGCTTGTCAAATTTGTTGTATGTTGGAATTTTTTTACTGACCCCTGACCACCCCTCTTTCAATTTGTTTCCAGTGTCAATGTCTGTAAAGACAAAAATAACTTGTTTTGATATTTAGATTATGCAGGCAGTGTCGAATTCGCGAATGATAAAAGGGGGAGTGGCAGTTTCTGGTCTGTTTAGGGACCCACAGCCACATTAAAAATTAATTTATTAAACCTTATGTATATTTTGGATACAAAAGGGGGGGGGGGCAGACCTATCACAGCTTATAAGACATTTCTGATGAGCAGGAAAACAAACTCATTTTTACGGGGTCATTCATAAGCACCCCCCTTCCCAAACATACACACATATGTACTGTAAACAAACAAAATTTAAATTTAAAGATTTTGCATTATATCTACCGCATGAAAGTTTTCCAACTTTGTCTATCCAGAAAACGAATCTATTTTGAATAAAATTTTAACAACCAGTGTGAATAAGAGATGTTTATTCGAGCTTGCCGTAAAGATTTGTCCTAAAAGCAATCTTAATATATATATTTTTTTCATTTTATTTCTCTCTCAATGGTTCAATAAAATATCAATAAAATATCAAATATTTGCCCTCCCCCCTATTCATAACCTTTTTTCTAAGGAAATGGTCGTTCAAGTTCACATCTTCACACTCTTTGTGAGTGTTATTAATGTAGTAAGTTATTGTGAATAAAATAGTACTGAAAGATGTTGGAGTCGGAACTTACCCCCCCCCCCCCCCCCAAAAAAACAACAACCCCAAAAAACAAAAAAACCATATCTATATTCTATTTCTCTAACCAAAACCGGGGGCGGGCCCCCCCCCCCCCCCCCCCCCCCCGTTTTCAAATTTGATTGTAGGTGACTGAACTGATATGTTTGCGATTTTTCGTAAATAAGAGATTGAGCATGGCAAAATCAACTTGTATTTAATTGTGGTGATTGAATGTGTACAAGTTATATCGTTTATGATAAAATTTGTGCATTCTCAGTGATTTAATCCAAATTGTTATACCTCTAAAAAATTGTTCCTATACAAATCTGTACAGAAAAAAGTCTAACATTTTTAATGTTTTGCTGAGCGGGCATAAAAAAATCGATGTTGGACCGCTGAGTGAAATGTTGGACCGCTCGGAGAGATGTTGGACCGCTTACGTCACAGAATGGGCGGAGCTTAATCTCATTTTCATTCTTTGGTTTTAAAAAGTGACAGATCTAATGTTACATTATGTAATATAGTACAAAATACATGTATGTCAAAAAATATAAAATAAAATGAAAGGTATAACGAAACATTTATTGACAGAGTTCTCGGGCAAAATGCGTTTTGTCCCACCCTCGAACCAAACTGTCTGCCTTCGGCCTAACGGCCTCAGGCAGACAGTTTGGTTCTTGGGTCCGACAAAACGCATGTTGCCCTCGAACTCAGTCAATAAATGTATATTAATATATTCTGTTTTCTGTTCCCTTCCGTTTTCCGTTCCACGTTTTAGCAACACCCGAAGTATAATAAGCAATAATATATCAGTTCAACATACACACTTTATAAATTCAAAAAAAAAAAAACAATTAAAATATAACGAAGTGTATTTCTGAAAACTATCTATACTCTTCTTAAACCAACTGCGAGCTTTAAAGTATTTCGTAATTCTATAAGCCTGTATAATACTATCAGTAGAATCTGAAAGATAGATTTTGAAATAATCCGAGCATTCCCATTCAATGTACATGTAGATTTAGGTTAATGAAATCAAAATCTTAGAGGCAAAGTATGCCTCAGGATGTTTTTTAGTAAACTCTAAAAAACTTGTGAATGAAATGAAATTATAATATTCTAAGCTCAGTAAACTTAATTCTTTTATTTGTAGACATTGAAAGAAAGATAAGGTGAAATAAAATGTCCTGTTTGTTTGGCAGAAACACAGTAAGTTATAGGGTTGATTGTGATTTCAATTTGTACCTGTATTAAATTTTGTTTTCTTTTTTAAACTGAAAGCTCAGTTGAGTTTTTTGATCACATTTGGTAGTCGTTTGTCTCCCGGTATAGTTTTCTTCCAAATCGCCACTTCTCAGTATTGAAAGATAGGGATTCATAAAGGGTAATTTCCTCTTCCCAGTCAGATAATAATAACAAGTGAAAAAATTATTTGCATCCTTAAAAGTCGTCTCCTTAAAATCCAACGGCCAAAAAAGAAAAAAAAACTTACTGACGACGGAATTTTCCGTTATTTCCTGATCATGACGGCCGGGGATGCTCACTCCTCCATGGCACCTGATCCTATCTCTGATGTTGCAGAAGTCCGTGTTTGCTCTGCTCTTATTTTGTATATTGTTTAATAGACTTTGAGATTGAATACTGTTCGTTATCTCCATATCCTTCCTCCATGCATATGAAAGCTACATCATTTACTGTAGATTAGAATAATCTAATCATGCTCAAACGAGTGGAGTCGGACCACAAAAGGCGATCAAATTTTAAATTGATCAGAAAAAAATTGTAAAAAACTCTAAAGAACAACAAAGCAATTACTTCAGCTTTTGTTTAATTTGTCACAATAACCACATAAGTAGTTACATCCCTTATGTAAGTTATGCCGCGGATATCCAGAGATACATATATTTTATAGCATTTGAATGTTAATAAAATGATACCGAAGAGTAGGGAAAAGTCATATATTTTTCCCCAATATTTTGAATAGCTAAGTTAAACCTTTTTTTTCTTTTTTATGAAGACAGAATACTAGGACTGTAAAATTGCATTAGATACTCCTCTAATTATCTCAAAATTAAGTACTACAGTAATCGTGACGTTTATAAAATGTACAAATCGTAATTACTTTTTTAATCAAAACAATTTTACTTTGCAGAAAAAGTACAAGAATGAAGAGCCAGATCCGTACTTTCAGACTACACTGGACGTTGTACATGAACACATCAAACCAAGATGCGATAATTATTGTTGTCAGAATTAGGTAGGAGATCAGATTAATTTTACACAGAATACAAATATCCATTAAATCATCTTTTTGTATTAGGAAAGGCATTCAAAAATTGTAGAAAAGGCTTTAATTTAAGGAATAAGAGCTAGAGCCACTTTATGCATAAAGTGGCCCTGTCTTTATTTCAATTAATAAACTTTCGCCCTCTTTCCCATTTCATCAGATATCAAAATAAAGTAGAGACTTAGTGCTTCCATTTTCTATATTAAAATTTCTTTTTTTTAACATCTAACTATTGCAAAACAGACTTTGAGAAAATGAAATGCTCTCGAATTTTGAAGAAAACATGCGTATTTGAGTACCTTCAGCAAAGAATTTAAATATGAGCACAGTCCACGATATTAAGATTAAAACATGCGTTTAAATCTTAAGAAATAGATCTTTCGTTATGTAATTGCAAAGTTTGGCTCAGGAGTTGTGTTCTATGTGAAATATTGAAAACTTGCTTTAGTTTTAGGCCATTTTTTAAAAAAAATTACATGATATTGGGAAAATGACGCATTTTGTGACGTCATAATGCATTGACTAGAGGGAACATTGCGTCATTTTTCATAGATGAATGGTCAAAAACAGTCTAAGTGATAAATTGTTAAATACTAAGTTTTCAACCTAAACTGAACAGTTTTGATTTTTCAGAAATGCTCAGAGCCAAAAAGTTCCTTAGTGGCTCTTGCTCTTTGTCATTGAAATCAGAATATGATTTAAAGGACTCTCCCAAGCCTATTGACTCCCATTTGTATTTTATGACGCAAAGTTGCCATTATAACTTTTGAACGATAAGGGTTAGGGATTTCTTACTTCACATATGTAATACCTGTAACAAGACCTGTCATAAGAAATTTGGGTACTAATATAATTTAATTTGCATTTAAGAAAAATACAATTTTTGTTACGTTGCCATACAGAAGCATCAGTGCTTCACAAACATATTGTTTCTTATAACTTTTGATTAAGGAGATAGGGCTTTCATATTTGACATGTGCATTACCTGTGATATTTGTTTGTTTGTTTGTTTGTTTGTTTTTTTTATTGTTTGTGTTTTCTTTTGTTTCTTTATTTAAGCCAAATTTTCGTATAACAGCGTAGCACAGAATGGGGTTGACCTTGAATCTCGAATTATGATTTCGAATCACACAATAGTTTACATAAATCTCGCCTTTCCAACAAAAAATATAAAAGAATTTATGGCAATCATTTTTAATATGGGACAACTAAAAGGATACGAGCACTGCTGATATATATGACAGAAATCCAGATTATATCTACATTCTTTGTTTATGCATTCATATTGCATTCATAATACATTACATGTAACTGTGACAAGATATTTCTGAGCATGCTATGATTTCCGACCAATTGACCTTCACGATTGACCTTAATCTTTGATAATTCAACTTCGGTGAAAATTTCGAAAAATGACATATGATTAGGGCGTTCATATTTGACACAATATATCATTAAAAAAAATAACATATCACCTACAAAGACACCGATAGCAAGAGACCACAATTCTTTGAATTTTCACGATTTCTTTTAAATCAGGCAAACTTCCGGCTTCAAGCATGTGGACATAGAGTGTGTGCAAAATGTCTAAATAAATCTACCAAAACGTTTGAGAATGAACATCGTGTGTGTGTTTGCCCTTGCTGTCAGAATTTGAAATACCTGCCATGGTTGGAAATAGATGCCCTGATAAAATATAGTAAAACAATTGTACGTTTTTGACTTTTTAGCTCACTGATCTATAGGCTCAAGTGAGCATTTATGATCAAAATGTGTCCTTTGTCTGTCGTCGTTGTCATAAACTTTTCACATTTTCATCGTCTTTTCAAGAACCATTGGGCCAATTTCAATCAAACTTGCCAGAAAGCATCCTTGGGTTAAGGGAATTCAATTTTGTTCATATGAAGGGCCAAGCCCTTTTCAAAGGGGACTAAATTATGAATTAATGAAAAACTGATGGCATCTTTAAAGAATCTTCTCAAGAACCATTGGGCCAGGGAAGATGAAACTCATGTGGAAGCATCCAGGGGTAACGTAGATTCAGGTTTGTTCAAATCATGACCCTCGAGGGTAGGGCGGGGCCACAATGATCGATCAAAGTTTAAGATAGGAATATATAGGAAAATTCTTTAAAAATCTTCTCCAGAAATATAGAGCCATGAAAGATGAAATTATAATGTGGAAGCATTCTCAGGTAGACCGGTCACGGTAGCCTAGTGGTAGAGCGTTCGCTTCGTGATCGGGAGGCCCGGGTTCGATTCTCGCTCACGGCGCCGCGTCATACCTAAGACGTAAACAAAGGTAGTGATTGTTCCTTCGCCAAGCGCTCGGCATTAGAAGTGAAAGTCAGGGGTCTTTCGGATATGACCTTAAAAACGTAGGTCCCGTGTCACGCTAGGCGCTGGCACGATAAAGAACCCTCACTGCTCAATGGCCCTGAGTGCCGAGTATAGGTCTAAATTTGAAGCCCTTCACCGGCATACGGTGACGTCTCCATATGAGTGAAAAATTCTCAAGAGGGACGTTAAACAATATACAATCAATCAATCATTCTCAGGTAGTGTAGATTCAATTTTGTTCAAATCATAATCAACGGGGGAAAGCTGGGCCACAAAGGCTGATTAAAGTTTTAGATAGTAATATAAAGGAAAAATCTTTAAAAAGATTCTTCCCCAGAACCACTGAGCCAGGAAAGATGAAACTAATGTGGAAGTATCCTCAAATAGTGTAGATTCAAGTTTGTTTAAATCATGACATCCAGGAATACGGCGGGAACACAATGGCTGATCTTTTTTTTTTATAAGAAATATATAGGAAAAATCTTTTAAAATATATTTCTCCAGAACCAATGGGCCAGGAAAGATGAAACTCATGTGGAAGATTTAAAGTTATTAAATTATGACTACCGAGGATAGAATGGGGCCACGATCGTTGGCTGATTTAAGTTTTACATAAAAATACTTACTAATAAAAAAATTTCAAAAAATATTCTTCTCGAAATTAGCAAAACCATGATTGGTGATATTATCGATAATATGGAGACATCCTCAGTTAAAATTAATTCAATTTTGTTCATATCGTGACCCCTTCGGGTGAGGTCATTTTGGGCAATCAAAGCTTTACATAGAAATATATAGGAAAAATCTTTTAAAATCTTCTCAAGAACAGCAAAGCCATGGCATGATTGGTGATATTTATATGGAAGCATCCTCAGGTAGTGTTTTTTCTGGAGAACATCAGATCTATGATCAGTATATAGAACTAATGGGAGTATCCTCAAGTGGTTTAGATTCAGATATTGTTCAAATTATGACCCTTTGGGTTAGGGTGTGGTAAGAATGAAGTTTTGCATAAGAATATATAGAAAGAATACAGCTGTATAGAGGAATAATCTTTTCAGAACAAAAACGTTTTAGTAGTCAAATTGACATGTAAGCACGTGCAAGTAGTGAGACTTAAATTAATTCAAATAATGTCCTACTGTGGGGGGGTGTGAGGGGTCAAAATCGGAGATCAAGTAAGAAAAATCGTTCATCATATATGTTTATACAATATACGTCTGAAGGGAAGGATATATTGAAATATTATGGTAATATGAAGACCCTGTCAGGCCTGTAAACAATTCTTTAGGGATAAATCAGGATTTAGTCTTTAGCAATTAGTAACAGTTAACCAGAGATGTTTGTGAAACACTTCTTCCCCCTCCCCTTGGACCTAAACACTAAGAATATGGAAAGAAAAGGCAAATAATTCGAATTTTTCGTAAGTCTTAGAAGCATTGCTTTCAAAAATTGCCCGATCGAACCCAAATCAAAACTTGACCCAACAATCTACCGACAGTAGCAATGCAAATGGAATAATATGTGTTCGGGACAGGCCTTCACCACAGTTAGAATACGCCCCGTATACTTGCAATGCAGCAAATCGGAGCGGATATATCCTTAAATGATTTTGAAGAATAAAGAAGACTTAGAGCTGCACCTGATTAATTAAACACATTAATCAAACCAAACCCTTTTGAGATTGTATATGCCTTTTATCTCAAAAAATAATTCAAATAAAGATGAAAATTGAACTAATTTCCTAACATTTTTTCTCACCTCAAATTTACCTGCCATGTTTACATTGGAAACTCCATGGATGGTTGGTATAGTAAATGCACTGAATTCTAGATATCGTCAGAGTTTGTTTCGCTTCATTGCAAATACAAGGAGCGAATTCCATCATTAAACTGTGTCTGTAGGACAATATCATTTTAACGATAAATTGGTCTATCTTAAAAGCAAGAGGGGGGGGGGGGTAATTATATAATCAATTATTTCATACACTGTATGTTGGCATTTTGCTAGCCATGTTACTAATTATAAATCTTCTTTTCAAGCATTGCAAAATTATAATTATTTGCTTTATGGATATACATGTAGTGACATTCTTAAATGTAGAAAATTCAAATCCCCCTTCACCATTAAGTGAACTTTGTGATGCTTAACAGATTTGTGCTTTTTCACTAGCCCGTGTACTCAGATGAGCGAGGTGACCAATGGACCTCTTGATACTGATAAATTTCTTTTAAACAAGAAAAATAAAGCAAATTTAAAATCAAAACATGCTTATTAACGCATTTTGATAAAAAAGATAATTTCGTTATATTTTATGTAATCTACTTTTTCGGTGATTAATTCTTATATTTCTTACTTCCATATTATCTAACTTATTTGCATCATAAAAAGCGTGTTTATGAAATTGTATTTCTTTACATCTTTTCTTTTTTAGAACTATTGCACAACCTGTTTTGATGAAGAGGTTTGTATTGTAAAATAACCCATTTTAGAATTAGAACTTCTTAAAAACCAATTGTTAGACGATCGAATCTATTCAAGGATTGATTACATGCAGTGTGGTTATTCCATTGCTTATGATGTACAGCTTTATGTTCATTATACCGTTTATACTAACTTGGATGATTGATTTTGCATATATGATCCATCGTATATACATCACCTCAGAACTGGCTAAAATGGTCTAAATATTTCTCTAGCTTTGTGCTGGTACTTTTCAAGTGGCCAACTATTTCCTTTATGGTCTTATGTATCAGTGGTAGCAACACTCATTACATTATAACAAAAAAGAAACCAAGTCTCATTCTTCCATACTTTATTCGTAGAAAGTCATCTCCTGTTGCGATCATTCAAGGTCATTTACAGGAAACAGTATCGAATTAAGGACAGACGAGACGTTCCTTAATAATAGATAAATTTTTCTTAGAGTTTGTCATTGAAGTGTTGCTACTTAAACATGTTTACTCACAAAAAATTGAGGTACCTTACCAGGCATTTCTGCAAGATACCAGGGGTAGTTTTTCTTATATAATCCATTGGGGAAGAAAAATAATTTTCCAATTTCAAATTTTTAAGAGTTTGGACTTTTTAAAAAGGTTTAGAAACTGGTTTAGACATCAGAATGTTATTAAAATTTTCAATATTTTTCATATATTACGAAGATATACAAAACCGATTTTGAGGAACGTCTCGTCTGACCTTAATATTACAATGCAAGTTACTTTTGACTGTATTAGTTTGCTCCTTTTTCCTCATGTCATTTTTAAGTCATTTCTATTATTTCAGGCCGTTTTTAGGGCTCATTGTGGTCATTTGATGTGTAGTAATTGTTTGGAAAATACAGATTTCTGCACAACCACGAAGATTTGCAAAGCCTTTGGTTGTAAACAGGAGTTTTCATCAGAAGAAATTAAATTAGCTCTAAGGAACAGCCCAGAAATAATGGTACACATTACACAGGCTTAATAAAAGAACCAGAAAGGATAAACTGTGCATAGAATAAGTATTATATATCTAAAGTTTACAATACATTTTTAAGGCGAAAAATCGTCCAGGAACTCGCTTTCAATTCATCACAATCACATACACGGAATTATCTATTTTTTTTTCCTTTTCAGGTATGGAGGTATTTTGAAATAGCTAATTATTTACAGTGTGATAGAGGTTGTAATAACCAGGTAATATACTTTTCTATATCAAGTTTTTTTTACGACATACTTTAATTAATGTTTGTGTAAAATAGCCCGAGGTCATGAAAATATTTTCATCCAAATGTGAACAAAAGTTTTATGTACAACAAGCAATCAGCTGCTTAATTAAACAAACATGACAATGTTTTTTTAATGATGGGTGAGTGGATTAAAATATTTGAGAAATCGGGATTCTTTAAAAGTCATAGTTTAGCATTTTCTTTTGGTGTTTCTTCGTCTACTTCCAGTAATACGGTATGTTAATAGTTTTTGCCTACAACTGTGCTTTTGATTTTGGTATTTTTATGAAATGTATTATTGTTGGTGGTTAATTTATATGCCTTTTAAAATATCACCGTTTTTGTCGGTCGTCGTGCGTCATCCGTCGTGCGCCGTGCGTTAACATTTGAACATTTTTAGTTTCTTCTCTGCAACCGCTAAACCAATTTTAACCAATTTCGGCACAAAGCATATGTGGGTAAAGGAAAACAAAAATTGTGAATTTCAAGGTCCCTGCCCCCCTGGGCCCTGAGAGATGGGACCAAAACAACAAATATTAATACAATCTTTTAAAATCGTCCTCTATACCTCTGGAAATCAAGCAATAAAACCGTTAACATGATTGTAATCAGCATAGAGTCATCTACCAAAATTGTGAAATTCATGGCCCCAGGGTCAGGGGTTCTAGTGCTATGGCGGGGCTAAATAGATGATATAGTGAAAATGCATTATTTCTTTAAAAATCTTCTTCTCTGCACCTGGGCATTAAATAAACTAACCATGAACATAGTTATGAAGAATAAGACTGCCTCTTCCACAGATCTGAATTTCATGACCTCTGTGTCAGAGATTCTGGTGTTCCATTGATTTTGTAGTGAAAATGCATTAATTCTTTGACAATCTTCTTTTATGCTCCTGGGTATTGAACAAACAGAGTAAGTACATAGTTATATAAATATATATAGATATAGCAAGAATGCCTCTTCCAAATATGTGAATTTTATGGCCCCTCGGTCAGAGGTTCTAATGCTAGGATGGGGCTCTATTGGTTATATAGTTAAAATGCAATAATTCTTTGGAAAATCTTTTTCTCTGCTCCTGGGTTTTAAAATAACAAAGTAAGTACATGGTTATATTGAGCAAGAATGCCTCTTCCAAAATTGTGAATTTTATGGCCCCTGGGTAAGGGGTTCTGGTGTTAGGGCGGGGCTCTATTGATTATATAGTGAAAATGCATTAATTCTTTAAAAACCTTCACCTCTGCTCCTGGGTATTAAACCAATGATCTAAGTATTTAAATAGTTATTATGAAAAAAAGATGCTTCTTTCCAATTTGTGAATTTCTTGGCCCCTGGGTCAATGTTCTAATGTTAGGGTAGGGCTCAAATGATTACATTCTGAAAATGCAATTATTCTTTGGAAATCTTTAATTAGCTCCTGGGTAATATGGAAATGATGTAGATACATATTTATGATGAAGAAATATAGTTCAGTCAGGGCCTTTGGGTTAGGGGTATTTCGGGAGGGAGGGGGGTACATAGAATGAAAATAAAGTAATGCTTTGAAATCTGCTCTTTGGTTTTAATCAACCATTTATGATAAAATATAATTCAAAACTTATGATAAAATTTCAAAAAATTTAAAAATATGTGGCCCCAGGGTCAATGATTCCTGTGACGTGGGTTGGGGTGAACAACTGGTGGTTATAAAGTGGAAATGAATTTCTCTTTATTACTCTGATCTACCCTTGGGTATTAAGTTAGCAAAGTAAGCATGCTAAGTGTATAGTTATGATAAATTATAGTGCATTTTTCAAAATTGTGAATTTCATGGCTTTTTGTTTAAAACATGAACCAAATTCAATTGTTGGAAAGTTGTTAAATGATACCTATAAGGTCCGTGGGACTCTTGTTAACATAAAATATTATACTTTCATGTAAATTACTTGAATCTGATTCGTCGAAAAACATTTGATAAAAAACAATACTACCCGCTATATAATGAAGCCGCGCCCTCCTGCGTAGCAACAGTCAACATTGCTTGACGACTGGTGATATAACAAAAAATAGTGACTGCGCGGAATTTATTCGCGCACGGTTCACTGTAATATGTATTTGTATAAAACATTCAGTATAATATAATAAATATTGCATGTAGTTGAGTGTAACATTGAAAAGTTTCACCCCTCGAAAACCATTGTCAACCTCGGCTGCGCCTCGGTTGACAATGGTTTTCTTGGGGTGAAACTTTTCAATGTTACACTCAACTACATGCAATATTTATATGATAGCCTTCAAAAAATAAACAGAAATGAAATGAAAATCATATAATTTGTTACTTATTTTGTAGGCGATTCTAAAGGTAACGCTTTGCAGACACTCATACTGCTTTCCGTGTTTACATCAAAAAGAATACAGTAGCGCATATACATACTGTAATCGGGATGTGATACTTTGTTCATCGACATGCAATGTGGAGATTCCAAGATCTGTGGTCCAGAATTGTTTTCTACTGTTCAGAAAAGAGGCAATCATGGTAAATGTCTTAAATAAATAATCATGCTCTTTGCGACGGAATGTTCCACTTTGAGGAACCCCTTCTTATAATTTTATCGAAATCGATGAAATTATCTGGGCTAAGTACAACATCCTAAGAGGTAACATTTGACAAGCGAATTCAGAGACTTTTTGTTCCCAGCTGAATGAACAAAAACCTTGAAAATGCTCAGATTGGGATCGGAGGGGAGGGGGGGTTGAATCTCCCTCTTCTCGGATTTTGTACACGCCATACTTCATAACTTGTTCATGAAATATATGTAAATAACGATCAGTATTGAAGCTCAAAAATCATAAAACGATACAAAAATATGAGCAGAGCAAACATGTACCTCCAAAACGTCAGAGGTGGGATCTGGTGCCATGGAGGAGCAACTTAAAGCGACGTAAATTGCAGTACACCTAAGCAAGTTACCTGTAACATGTATATGGCATTGGTTAATTTAATACTATTGGTTGATGTATTTAGTTTATCATTAAGGTTATATTCCACCATTAAATTCTGAATGCATTGGAGCTTAAGAGGCCTATACGCAGTTTGAGGCTAATAGTTTTTTTTATATATTATATGTATAACTCTTGAGAGAAATATCTCAGTTGATACGATACGCAAGAGCATGCTCCACGTATGAACGTTTCTAAAACGAGGTAAATTATTGACAAGCAAGATGATGAACCAATAATTTCAGCAGTCTCCTTTAAGGTAGGATTCTTCTCATATTTCTAATAATTAAAAATTAATGAAATTTTCACAGAATCAAAAAGACAATATCAGTAAGTGATAATATCAGTGAAATCAAATTTGACCGTTTTATATTAGAGGCAAGGTCAGGTCAAGGTCATTATCTTTTTCCTTGACATTAAGAATAAAAAAAAATACTATTGCCAATCATGTGATACCTACTTCTATTTCAAAAGTTTAAAGATTGTTCTTTTTGCATAAAAACATATTACTATACTGGGTCTATAGCATGATATTACCAAATTTACATAAATAATTTAACCTATCTGGATATTTGGCTAATCCGAATTTTCTCAGTTTTTCTTAATTTTTAAGTATATATTAGTTATTTTCATATGCTTCCTCTAATTAACTTTTTCTTATTTTCACATATAATAAAGTAGTCTTATAAATGTACAAAATGATACAAAAACAAAAAGTTTTGATCGTTTACTAAGAGAGAAAAAATTATTTTTGTGGAATTTTGGCACAAATCTGCACTCTGATAGGAAGCCTTTAAAAGTAAACAAAGTGCTAGTTTGTTTGGAAAATTATATTTATTTGAAATATTTTGAAAGTTTAGTCCCTCATTTTTAATTTAACTTACATTTGAAAATTTCTCCAAGTCTTCGATTGTGTAAAAAATATAACTAAATTCATTGTTCTATTATAATTTTGAGAGGCAGAAAAGAAGATATTTTCATACGCCACCATTCCGCCAAAAATATAGTCCCTGCTAGTTTTCAAAAAAAATTCCTTACACCTCAATATAAAAAATATATAAGCAAATATACTTTGAATGCTTCATCTTGTCAGAAACCAGAGAAGAATCCTACCTTAAAGTCATCATTTCGTATGTTCTGTGTTCGATACAATGACCTTGTCAGCAAATACAATTTATTATTGAGTCAAATGCTGACTGACGTTTTTCATACGAATTGTTAGTCCATTATTTATACACTGAATTGACGACGGATTCTTCTGTTATATTCTAATCATGACAAGGAGCACACGACGGGTGTGACCTGTTAGCAGGGGATGCTCACTCCTCCATGGCACCTGATCACACCTCTGATGTTTCGGAGGCCCGTGTTAGCTCTGCTCTTATTTTGTATTGTTTTATAGACTTTGATATTGAATACTGTTCGTATATTATATATTTAGAGATTATTATTATTAGATTATTATTATATTTATATATTTAGAGATTGCACCGATTTAAAATTACATTTTATTTTCTTTTGTCTGATATATTTGTTTTAATACTAATTCCATGTCTCTAATGCTCAGTATTTCCTAATTTAAAGCAATGTAATTTGATACACCTTATTACTTCATAGTTACAAGAAGTAAGGGCTAGAACTATTTGTTCAGGAAAAAAAGTGACAGAAGTATCAGTTTTGGAAACAAAACCATTGTGACGACAGCAATATCGTTGCTTCACAACAGAAAGTTTCCAATTTTACATCTCGTAAACATACTTACTATATCATTGGCCATTTTCAAAATTATATTTTGAAAACATTCTGATTGCTAACACAACAAATACATGTACTCTGAAGTTGACATTAAAACGATGCTTGAGTTTCTGATGGACAACATCGTTGTGGTTTTCGGAGACCAGATTTTTACAGTCTATTGGAATATCCATGGGTATCAATTTCGCCAGTTATTAGCAAATCTATTTTTGTAAATTTATGAAGCAGAATTTGTCAAAATAAAATTCGTGAACAGAAGCAAACAATTGCTGTGGCTAGAAAGCTTCATCACAACATTTTTATAAATCGACAACGTATTGTAAATAATAATAATGGTTATTTTGATACATTATATCCCGGTGAGCTAAAATATACAGCACAGTTTGACACTTTTTTCATATTTAGATATTTTACTTGAAAAAAGACGTTGATGGTTATATTATAGCCAAGCTCAATCTATGATAAACGTGATACGCTATTTTCCATATCATTATGTACGATACATGAACACTAGGGTATACTCGTCGCATTTGTTACACCTGACTGCTTTATTGATACGGGTATCAGCGTGGAATGGCGATCAATGTTCGTGCTGGTTATTTTGCATTACATCTGTTTGCATTTTCTTGCAGTTATGTGTATCTTGGTTGTTTGTATACTGCACTACACTGTTCAACTACAATTGTAAATGTCTTTGTTATCTTACTTTGCTGCATTAGACGAAGTATAACGTCATTCTTCTCGCTACCGAGTCCTGTATAGCATACTTCCGTCTACACCGGTGTCGACTGATTACACTGAACAGTGATTAAGTCCTGCCCTTTATATATGGTTTGCAATGTAACGAGAATCGGAAACAAAAATGGAGGACACATTCCTTCTACGAATCGTGTTCAGCTTTAACATTTTAATCATCAACTCCCTTACTTATATATGCAGCAATATACCTTTATCACCTGCATACGGAAATTATATATCTCAGTTGACTCTATATCATAGAGCATGCACTACGTGTGTTAAATTTCCAAAACAAGGTAAATTATTGACAAAATTAATCAAATTAATTATTTTGTATAACATTCTACTGTCGATACAATATACAATGACCTTGTCAGCAAATACAATTTATCCTTGAGTTTGACTTACATTTTTCATATTAATTATTAGTCCAATATTTACACACTGAGTTGACGACAGATTTCCCCCTTATTCCCCGATCACGACAAGGAGCACATGGTGAGTGTGACCAGTCGGCAGAGGATGCTCACTCCTTCAAGGTACCTGATCCCATCTCTGGTGTTTTGCAAGTCTGTGTTTGCTCTGCTACAGTTCGTTATCTTCATATTTCTCATTTAAAAAACAGGTTTATAACCTTTTAGAGGCTTAAGATGGATAAATAAATCTATAATAGTTTATGTTTGATCAATGACATCAAGTTTAGTTTCAGAAACTCGGATAGCTTGAAGACAGAAGGATACATGTAGACGTTTTCATTATATCCCTTCATCGATTTATGCGGAATTGATACTTTTAGTCATTCTGACAGTGTTTTTTTATATTTGGGCTAAATCTGACGTCATCATAGTATTCATAATATGACGTTTTGATGCCACTAAAAGGAGTAATATGTCAACTCGAGTGTACCTGTCATTTCATAGTAATTCTGGTGCAAGAATAACTCGAACTAGTACATGAAACAGTTGCAGTCATTTTGCAAAGGAATTACCAAAACAATTAAAACATCAAAGCCACTATGAATAAGTATTGTGTTCCTCATCAAATTATGCCGATTTTTTTAAAAACTGATAATCAAATTGATTTTGGTAAATAAATATTTTATTTCTTAAAAGATAAATCCTTATCGATTTAACGTAGTGTAAAACTACAATTAGAATGTTTTCAAAATATATGTGAAAAAATCCCAATGTGACAGTACATATTTTTGTTATCATTTGTGCATATTTACATGTACATGTGTAACAATCACTGCATATATTGTCGTTCATCGGTTTATATTGCAGCTGACTGAAAAGTTTCACATGTACATATAATTGCTGGTACAATTAACCTTAACTTAAATGTAACCTTAACGCACCGCAGATAATGTTTATTTAAGTTTAGTTTGAAAATATAATTGGTGTGGTGATTACACTGACGTGCCTTATATACTAATTCCTGCTGCTTCATTGTGATGTTACATATTGTCATTTTGTTCATATTACCATCGGCATCCATGCATCGAAAACTTAGGTGGCCGCTAAGGCCATTTTGGCCTCATATAATAGATCTTCAGAATATTTCAAAACACAGTGGAACTTAAACCTTACAAGTAAAACTGGTCATATTTGAATGTGTTATACTGTTTGGTTGCAATAAAATTACGCATCAGTTCATTAGCACTGAGCGTACTTACTTTTTCAGACAGCTATTACTCTAGAATTGAGTAAAGAAAAATGCATACGCTGTAAAGATGAAGATTTGAAAACGGTGATTAATTTTGTTGATTTTCCTTATGATTTAGTAAGAAAATGAACATCTTTAAAAGATATTTTGTAAAGGTAGAATGCACATGTTATGCTTTTGGCACTAAACGCATTTTTAAGAATATCATTAATTTTTCATTTTTAGCTACGGATTAAAAACAGATTCTGCTCTTATTCACACGCTTATTGTATTCTGTGCTGTGAGTACATGAAAGCAGGTTCATTGCGTGAACAACGTCCATGGTTGATGTCTGATGTAATTGAAGAACAGATTGGTTGCATACACACTCTATGCAAATCGTATACTCCTTTGAAATGCTTAGATGTCATGGTAGAAACTCTCACCGGTAAAAACATTCAAGTGAGTTAAAGGATTGTTTACAATATCTGTAAACATACATTATTTAAGAAATAAGGTATCATTTTTTGAGTTTTATTGAGATGTAAAACGAGTTGGTCACGTGATCAAATCCCATAAAACCCGAAGGGCTTTATGGAAGATTTGATCATGTGCCAACCCGTTTTACATCTCAATAAAACTCAAAAAATGATACCTTATTACTTATATTTACATTTGTGACTTATTCATACTTTATATTTGCCTGATTGTTACTTTTAAGGTGTGAAATGCGTTAATTTTTCAAACCCAACGGCATGTATGTAATCCACTAAACGCGCGTCGACCCTTTAAGACGTCACAGAGAAATTACGTCGAACGTTTATCCAAACGCACATCTATGACCTCTTGACCCCATACCTGTATTTATATAGTTATAAAAACGCTTGCCTTCAGTAGTGTTATATAAAGGAAAACATTTGCAAATGTAAATATAAATTGTTGAAATGGTGACTTGTTGAATCTTTAAAACTTCATTTTAGATTAATCAATGTTATGAGGATATTATTCATTGGTGCTATGAAATCTCTGGATGAAGATTTTATTAATATGATTGATGGAATAATAATATCAGAAAGCTGATAAACATCAATCATCTGTGACATTGTTCTGCATGATTCATTTTCGAATGGAATGCATGTATAAGAAGTTCTTTATTTCAGTAATCCTTTTCATACTTTAGGAATATAATTAAACTTCAAAGCATCTCTTTTTCTTAAATCTCCTACGGTTTTTATTACAAGCGAATATGCTAAATATATAAATATTCAAATTGTGCACTAATTACACATATATATGATTTTTTTCAGCACCGTAAGAACATTTTGTTAAATCATTTGTAATTATTTGGGTTTTAGTTTAACTAACGTTCAAAACTATAAGATCAGAGCTTATCACTGGCAAAAAAAATGAAACCCTCCCTATTCTTTTTTTCTTGGTAGGGGAAGGGGGCTCTATTGCAAACCATTAAGGACAGAAAGTCGACCCTTCTTTACGTAACTTTTTCATTACCAATACCCTTTGAAATTGTGTGATATTTCAGTCTGTCTGCTTGTCTTTTCGTCTGGCTGTGTCTCGGGCTACCAGTATATATTTCTGTTTGTAACAATGTCGTTTCCACACTTAGCTTTTGCACTGAAATTGTAGATAATGATTTCTTCTGGCTTTTGAAAGATGCCTATTGAATTTGGAGTCAAAAGGTAGAAGGCCAGGTAATAAATTCTAAAATTCTGTGTCTTAACACTTTCGTTTCCCTGCAATACATGTATCTCTAGAAACCTTTGAGATTTTGCAATTTCATTTATTACCAAAAACGCCTATGGCCTAAGGAAAACACATTTCTTTCGAGGTTAAAAATCAAAGTTTGAGGTCGTGAATTCATACATTCTTGTGTTTTTAAACTTTCATTTCCAGGCGATATTGATATATCAAAGGTCCGGTCTTGTATTCCACCATATTTTAAGTTAAAGACTACAACTTGTATTTCCTACAAATACACTTCGACCATTGCTTCTAAACTTTTCAATTACAAAAAAACTTTACATGGCCTGGATACAGAGTATCTGAAACAGAATTATACCCCACGCAACTAGTTGAGTAAGGTATAATGTTTTTGACCCGTCCGTTAGAGTGTCAGAGAGTCAGTCAGTCAGTCAGTCCTTTTTTTTGTCAGCGCAACTCCTCATAAACGGCTGCACAGAATTTGCAGGTATTTAGGACACAATGTGTAGATGTGCATATTACCTGGAAATTCCGATTCCATTATTTTTTCGGGAATTTCGGGAATTTCCGCACTTTTTAACTTAGGCATTTGGCCATAACTTAAATGTAGAGATGAACAGTTTGTCAGCGCAACTCCTCATAAACCGCTGCACAGAATTTCGCCAAACTTTGCTGGTATTTAGGACACAATGTATACATGTGCATCTTACCAGGAAATTCCGATTCCATTATTTTTTCCGGGAATTTTTGCACTTTTTAACTAAGGCATTTGACCATACCAAACTTTGCAGGTATTTAGAACACAATGTGTAGATGTGCATATTACCGGGAAATTTCTATTCTTTCATTTTTTTCCGGGATTTTCAGCACTTTGAGTTTTGGGGGAGCGTGGGTATGTGAGCTTGCTCACTTTCTTTCATTTTCTATAGTGTTCATGTGCCTCTTCACCCTATAACTATAGTTCTGCTGGACACGTTATTACAGGTGACGTAAATATAGTTAATAATGAGGACCTTACTGTCCTTACATCACTCATTTTAAAAGGTCCTTAATATAGGGAACCCTATATCCTTCAACTGGCATCAGAATTTTATTAATATTATGCATGTATAAACGTGATTACTTTCACTTTTCTATCGTCAACTTCCTTTACTTATGCAGCAATATACCTTCATCACCTGCATACGGAGTGTATATATCTCAGTTGATTCGATACGCAAGAGCATGTTCCTCGTATATGAACAATTTCTTAATTATTGACAAGCAAGTTGATGAAACAGGAATATCAGCAGTCTCGTTTAAAGTTATCATTTCGTAAGTTCTATGGTCGATACAATGACCTTGTCAGCAAATACAATTTTTCATTCAAATGCTGACTGACGTTTTCCATACCAATTTTTAGTCCATTATTTAAACACTGAATTGACGACGGATTTTTCCGTTATTTCACGATCATGACAATGAGCACACGGCAGATGTGACCGGTCAGCAGGGGATGCTCACTTCTTCATGGCACCTGATCCCACCTCTAATGTTTCGGAGGTCCGTAATTGCTCTGCTTCTATTTTCTATTGCTTTATGGACTTTGATATTGAATACTGTTCGTTATCTCCATTTCCATTTAGGAGCTATTGACTTTTTGAATGAAAATGTTATACCATAAATCTCTTTGACCCTTTCCGTTCTTCCTAAAGTGTCCCCCCTTGATCCCAATTTAAGGTCAGCAAGTTATCCTCTTTTGTTTCCTCTAGCGGGGGGATAAAAATTCTCTGAATTAGCTGAAATCTTGATTATTTTTATTGCAAAAACATCTTTTGGCATTTCAGACTGAAATATTCATTCGCAATGCTAATTTTCCAAGGAACTGCAATGGATGCAGGACAGCAGAGGTAAATATTTTGTGAAGGTTAAGAAGCAGGATTTAAACAATTTTGTATTTGTTGCCGCCTCGAAACTTTATTCTGATCAAAGTGAATGACCAAAGTGTACAAAACTATTAGTACATCCGTATGTTTTTCTTTAGTTATGTACAATAGATTTGTATATCTTTTGTGTTTAACATCACTGAAAAACGGCCTCATAACTCCTTTGTTTAAATATATTAACAAAAAACTTTTTTTAATGTTTCAATATCATATCTCACCTTTCGTGACATCCAAAGTCATGAACTGCCAACGATTGTTCTTAAAATATTGTATAGAATGAATTTCGAAAAAGATTGATTTTCATAAATTTTGAAGCAAAAAATGTTGATTAGGATGAGACCGTGAAAACCGACGTCCCGTGTCGCAGATGGTGCTGGCACAAAAATATCCATTGCTGTTAAATGGCCTTGAGTGCCAAGTATAGGTCAATATTTATGAACTAAAAAAATAATTCTCAAGAGGGACATTTAACAACCTAAAAACAGTTTCAACATAATATATATATATATATATTTTTCTTCTTTTTTTAAGAAATACGCTTCTTGGAAATTTTATATTTTATGACATTTTTTTGAGTTTGTTCTATGCTTATGTTACATGTACGTGAAATTAAATAATACAAATGATGTTTGTCTTTGAAGATTACTTGAAAGTGATTTTGTGAAAATGTCTTTACATATGTGCATAGTACTTATTTTAAGAACACATTAAGGTTCATGAAAAAATTCTATGTACTCTCGAATTATTTACTTATCATCCCGCAAATTCTTGATTCAAAATTGCAATTATTTTTATTTCAGGCAGATATCGTGTTTGTTCGTTGTTCCCATGGGTTTTGTGTTGGATGTATAGATAGCAGAATGCAAGAGAGATCCAACAATGGTTACCTACAATGTATATATAGAGGATGTTCCACATTGATTCCATTGTTTGTCATCAGTGAACTTCCAAAATCAATTCACTGGGATGGAAAATCATCTGATGTATGTTTATTTTTATTAAAACATTTGCACTGATGCCATAATTAATTCATGCGATGATTATATAAACTATTTTTTCCTTACCTAGATTAATGGCCTGCTAGTCGGAAATATATGTGGTAAGTTTTATTAAGATAAACTTAAAGATGTATCTTTACTGCTTCAATATTCTCATATTTCATTTGATATTTTAAACATATAGTATCGTTGAAATATTTGATGTTAAATACATAAAACATTATGTTAATGGAGTATAAATAGGCCTAAATGTTTTACATTGTCTGTTTTTCTTCTTCAAAACAAACATTCATCATGCTTTAGATACATGTATATTCAAATATAGAAATGTGTTATGCATTTTTTTTATTTGTAAGCTGAAAAACAAATAAAAGTAATCTATTAGCAGCGGAAGATACTAAAGAGTCCGAAATGCTTTCGAAAAGTCAGAAAGATAGTGTTGAAATTAACATTTGTGGGATCACGAAGGAATGCGTGGACGAGAAAAATATTAATGATTTCAAATCTTCACTACCAGACTGTGGAAAGAAAAGCGAAGGTATAGAAATTATGGTTAAACGGTCTTACTGTATAAAAAAACCTTAAATAAACGTAAATAGGTGTACACTAAACAAAATTGCTAAGGCACCGCTTAACAAAATTAATAGTTTGCTTTTAAAAACGTGTTTATGAAATATTTGATATACAATTATGTAACTTAAATACAAAAAAAAAAACAAAAAAAAAAAACTAAGGCATAAATGTATAAATGTCAAACTTAACGAGGCCCGATCCAGTTAAAAATTACGAAAACGGAATGATAATTATTTTTTATTTTTCGGAAATATATTTGTATGTGTTATGCTTAGAAAAATTAGAATGAAATTTTGTTACCTTGCCTTTATTGTACTCGAATGGGGGCACTGTCAAGATATGGACCATTTGTCGTGTTTTTATACACAATTACATACTAAAACTCTCCAAAAAACAAAGAAATTTACAAATTTACAAACATACATGATGAAATCCTTTGTTTTTTTACATACATCTTATAAAAAATGAAAAAAAAAAATAGAGGTAGCCTTTATTGCGGTGAAAAGGGGGCATGTCAAAACACAAAATTTGGATTTATTTTATCTAGGGATGACAATCGATTGCAGAATTGCTAATCAGTTAACCGCAAAACGTACCGACCGATTAACCGGTTAGTCGTACATGTATCAAGATATAAATGTTGACATTTTCTTTTCATACACACAAAAAGGCTAAGAAGACGTTAGAAGTTACATTTTGTTTATTATTTTGCTCGGGGAATTTTATGAACAGAGTATATTTTATTTACGGAATGAATTTAAAAACTACCCATTTTTAGGTCACCTGAGTAAACTCAGGTGACCTATTGTTATCTGTTTTCGTTCGTCGTCGTGCGTCGTCCGTTAACATTTGAGCATTTTCATCTTCTTCTCTGCAACCACTGAACCAATTTCAACCAAATTTGACACAAAGCATCTATGGGTGAAGGGGAACTAAAATTGTGAATTTCATGATCCCTGCCCCCCTGGGGCCTGAGGGGTGGGGCCAAAACCACTAAAATTAATGCAATCTTTAAAAATCTTCTTCTTTACTCCTGGACATCAAGCAGTCAAACTGTTTGCATGATTGTAATTAGCAATGAGTCCTCTACCAAAATTTTGAAATTCATGGCCCTGGGGTCAGGGGTTCTAGTGCTAGGGCGGGGCTAAATAAGTAGGTAGTGAAAATGCATTATTTCTTTGAAAATCTTCTTCTCTGCCCCTGGGTATTAAGTAAACCAACTAAGTACATAGTTATGATGAGCAAGAGTGCTTCTACCAAAATTGTGAATTTTATGGCTGGCCCCAGGGCGGGGGTTCTGGTGTTAGGGTGGGCTCTATTGATTATATAGTGAAAATACATGAATTCTTTGCAAATCTTCTTCTCTGCTCCTGGGTATTAAATAAACTAACTAAGTACATAATTATGATGAGCAAGAGTGCCTCTACCAAAATTGTGAATTTTATGACCCCAGGGTCAGGGGTTCTTGTTTTAGGGTGGGGCTCTAATGACTATATATAGTGAAATGCATGAATTCTTTGAACATCTTATCCTTTGCTCCTGGTTAATATACTATAATCTAATTACATATTTAAGGCCAGGATTTATTTTATTCTCAGTTTTACAAACCCTCCGCTCAAGGTTTTGAATTTTCAGAAAAAAAAAATAAAACAATTGTTTCTTTCCGATGTCAAATTTGAGTCGGGATCGAGATTTCAAATTTACGAACACGGACTTCCGGTTTTAAGATGGAAACGGCGGGTAAATAAAGCTAGTATATAGGTCCCTGCTAAATCTGAGAAGATAACTTGGTTTAGTGTAAAATTCATCGATACGAGTGTCATTCAAAACGTTTCACCCGTTCAAAGGACAAATAAAATGCTGACGACTTTGTTGCACAATGACATGCTGGTGAGATAATTATGTATTCGTTTCAAAAGTATCTGTCTGTAAATCATTTTCCTCCCCCAGGTTTTAAACTGCCCGTGGTAGCTATTGCATATTGCCAGCGACATTGTTTAGGTCTTTCTTATAGCTTACAGTCTAAGCACCATTCTTCAGAAAAGGGTTGCTTATGTATCAGATGTAATGAATAAAACTATGGGAGAAGTTAAGTCCATTTGAGGAAGAAATAAACAATAACCTGAAGAAATCAAAAAAAAAAAAATTCAACTATTAAAAGGCAAGAATATACAAATATATACAGGCATGTAGTATCATTTGTATCAGCCAGAAAAATTATTTTACACTTAATTGAAAGAAAATGTTCACCCTACTCCCAAGTGCTCCCTGTCTGTTTTATGATAGGAATTATAATTTTAGGCATCAAGTAAATTTTAGAACAATGTCTACACATTCACCTAACACATATTAAAAAAATGAAGATATATTGAAAGACTTTTAAAGAATTGATTTTTTAAAATATATTTTGACCAACATCACAAAATTTATATAACTGGCCCAAACTGGCAGATGATGAAATAATCAATTAAATGTTCTACTTCCCTATTTGTAAGCATTACATGTATGTGTCCAGTGGTAAGGAGCCTATCAGAATAGCATAAAGAATAATGTACAAATGTTAATAATTGATTTATCATATATTTTTTTATTTCCTTCTCCTTCGGGACTTTTTTATTCTCATGTTCATAACTTAACTTAAACATAAAAAATGCTGGCCTTATAATGAAGAAAGGGGCCTCTTTCAAAATAGATAATTTCAGGGCCGCTGGGTCAGGGGTACCAGGGGGGTACTTTGACTAAAAATAAATTAATGCTTTGAAATCTGCCCTTTGATAAGCACTGGTGCCTCCTTCAAAATTTGTGAATTTCATGGCTTTTGGATTAAAACACAAACCAAATACAATCGCTGGAATGTTGTTACATGATACTCAGGTGACCTATAAGGCCCGTGGGCCTCTTGTATACGGTATAAACTGGGTTGGGGCAGTTTACGCTTTATAAACCACGAAGCGGTTTATAAAAAAGCGTAAACTGTTCCAATCCAGTTTATACCGTATAAAATGGGTAGATATTAAATTCATTGCTTATAATTTAATTTCCATTCATTTGATGTAAGAAAAAAAGATGATTTTTCTAACAAAATGTCTTCAATTTGTACAAAATTTGAATGTAACGTCAGGCGGATTGATACGTTTTTGACGCAAGTCATTGTGACGTAGGCAACCAATTTTATACGATATAAAGAAAATTTTTTATCCAATCAAATACAGCGTGACAACCAGAATTAAATTATTTCAGTTTCAATAGACAGGTAAAAATTAAGAAAACCATGAATCTTGCTTGAGAAAAAAGACAGGGATAATTTTCCAACGCTGATGTTAAGTTTATTCTGCGTTGTCACCATAATCAGAACTACATGTAGTCTATGTCTGAACTCGCACTTTACTTACAATTTACAATGTTCTTTATAAAATGTAATTAAATAGATAACGGCAAAATATAGACATATAAATGTACTATTAATAATTAAAAGTGCTTAACGGTTATGTTTTTAATATCATTGAAAAACACAGGACTATCTCGGTAACGTCATGATGTTAAAAAAAACAGTAATTAACACTTTACGAATTGACCAATTACCCTGTAATCTCAATCTGAAGAGCTATAATTACCTCCAAATATTCTTAACTATATGTATTTTAAAAAAAACAGAACAATAAAAAAAAATTAAATAAATTTTAAAAAAAGGAAACTGCGCACAAATTTACAAATATTTTATTTTTTCCGACTAACCGATTACGGATTTTCTAACCGATTAGCATCGTTCCGACCGATTAATCAATTAACCGGTTAACCGGTAAATCAGTTAAATTTCAAATTGCCATCCCATGTTTTATCAAACTACGTATTTTTAAGTCGCAATGGGTTTACATAACAACAACAAACGATTGCAATACTGTATTATTTCCTAGAAAATAAATAATTTTTACATTAGGAAATAATTTTCTCGCCATGCTTTATTTTTCTCTTAACATGCGACGTTGTTTTACTTGGAAAAAAGGGAAAGAGGGAGGGAGGAGGGGGAGTAAAGGCGAAAAAATTACGATTTTTACTAATATCATGTAATATATAGAAAAATAAAATATTTAAGGGGTTGCATTTAAATGATTCATAGACTCATTTTATTTTTTAAACTGAAGATATTCCATGCATATTTAAGTCCGCAATAAAAAGAGTGTGTTTAAACACTTCAACATGTTCAAGGAGAAAGACTAAAATCGTTTACTTCTGGTTGCAGTGTTTGCTTTTTAAAGTCACAAATTGAAGTAAAACAAGATAAAATTAATGAAATTGTATCAAAAAAATGATCTCTCAAAATTGATTGGTTTCAAAATTGTTTTGGAAATACTTACATATTATATATACTAGTACCAATCCGGTAAATGTTCCATTCACAAACAATAATTAACAAGTGGTGCGTTAGCAATTCTGTCTAGTGTATATACAAGATATTCCACACTCAGTCGTTCCACTTTTTTGTTTAATCATGTATTTGTCATCTCTAACGGAGTCTTATACTTAATGTCTCGGAAAATTTCAAAGCTGACAATAGAGGAGTTAGACAATCCTTACGAAACGTTTTTAATTGTGAGCACTGAATGTAATAGTATAGTGGGTGATATCTATGCAATTTTTAGATTCTTAAAGAGACTGCGGAAAGTCAGTTCAATTTCATATACATAATCGGTTTCAAGGCAAGGCTTTTATTATATTTTTTTTCTCTTGTTTAGAAATGAAAAATATCCTATATACATTTCAGAACTTCCAAAGGTAAAATTAGAAGAAAATATTGTACAGGATGGCGAAAGATTGCGCTTTACTGCACACATATTTTCAAAAGAGGACCCAAAGTCCCTAAAATGGCTTAAAGACGGAAAAGAACTGGAATATGCAAATGATGGAAAGTTTGAAAGAAAAGACAGTTACAAGAAAATGTCCATTTTATATATTAATAATCTGGGAAAAGAAGACGAAGGTGAATACACTGCTCTTGTAACAACAAGCATTGGTGCTCATGTCAGAGAAAGTATTTCATTCAAACTCCCCGAAGGTAATGAAAAATATCCTATCTTTAACTGATTTTGGTTATGTATTTTCTCATTATGTTCGACAGTACCTGAAGTGTATTAATTCTTCAGAATTATAACAAATGAAAATCTGTAGTGTACAGTACCATTATTTGTGTTAAGATTATTTATGGAGATCATTTGTATAAACGAGACATTCTTAAATATGTTGTAACATGTTTTCTATCTTTTTTTATTTTATAAAAAAGATCCTCCTAAGGTTGAACTAAAGATGGAAAAATACCTGACATCCGTTACGTTTAGAGCAGAAGTTATTTCAAAGTGGCCTGTCCAAAAATGGGTTTGGTATAAGGACGGGAACATCATAAAGGAGAGAAATTACAAATTTCAGGAAGACACATGTACATCTAGCGTTCGACGGCGTAATCTAATGATTACGGACTTAGAAGAAAGCGATTATGGATTTTATAGCCTAATGGTCATAACAATTGGAGGAAGAAATGAAAGTACTAGACAATTACTAAAGGAGGGTACGTTTGATTACGCTTTAAAATAAGAATTTCAAATCATATTTATTCGTTCATAAGCTTTGTCAAAAATTAACATCATGTTTCTATTTGACCACCTTTTGCTGGTGGTGCCAAATTGCAATCGCTGAGACAGATTTTATTTTATATTATTTTTTTTTTATTTTGTTTGTACATATAATCATACAGAAGTTTGTTCATACACAATGTACTTGTGAAAGTTTCAATTAAAATGTTCAAAGAAGTGTTTATTTTTTAGGCAGGTATTTTATTTTCCTTTTAAAGCTTCATTTTAACATTGAATAGTAATAATCAAAATAATTTTTTGAGAAACGAAATAAAAATTATTTTTTTACAGATTTTTTTGCACAATTACCCGATTCTACGCAAATATTTCGTCAAAATGAATCATTGGATTTATTGCAAAATATATTAATAAACCATAATTATGTTATTTCTGACGCAATTCATTCTATATTGGGATAATTTTAAAATGGATGAATCCGACTATCTTTTGATTATCTTTTATTTAATATGTTGCAGATGCTCCGGAAGTTAAACTTGAGCTAAAAATAATTGAAAAAGAGAAAAAGGTGAGAATTTTTGCAAGGGGTAACCCCAAAGAGCTTGCACTTAACCTGAAATGGTTTCACAACAGCCATGAAATTGTCTTCCAAAATCAGACCAAATATACAGAAACAACTGGCGTCAACAATGTCTTTATTTTGGGAGTCCATGATGTTAATCGTGAAGATGAGGGAAACTTCAGTGTTCGCATGAGTAACAGATCAGGGAAGACCACTTGTAAATCGGTGTTGTTTCATATAACTGAAGGTACATCTATACTCTATTTTCTCTTCCTTTCTATTTTTCGAATGTTATTTCTAATCTTGTGTAAAATTTCCCCAGTCTCTTACCTTTAATGTCTTATTTTGCTTTCCTTTCGGTCTTTTCTATTGCAATTCGGTTTTCAAATTATCTAACTTAACTTTTCTGTTGTAATTAATTTTTGTATGATTGATATGTAAATGTGAATATTTTCTCAGATTTGCCGAGTGTATTGTTATTATTCTCAAAGAAGGAGGCCGAAATAGTAGAGCTTATTGCTGAAGTTAGGTCTACATGGCCCATAGAGTATTTCTACTGGACAAAAGACGGAAAATCAATTCCACTTGATAATAGCAATTGTGTGTACAAGTTTGACAGTTTTAAACCTAATACTTACAATCTGAAGATTAAAAATCCAAGACAAGAAGATGAAGGTGAATATAAGTTGGTTGTTGAAAGTGTAGCAGGAAGGAGTGAAAGCAATGGACTTTTTATCAGAAATTTTTTAGGTGAGCCATTCGTTTAAGTTGTATTTAGAGCAATAGTTGTGATTCCTCTGTACTTTGATACTTAACCTTGTCCACATGATATTGAAGATATTAAACTAAGAAATAATAATCACACTCTATTTAACATAATGTTTCTTATATTTGATGTGAACTAAAGAAGATTTTTTAGTATATTTTAAAGATAAATAAATAAAAAAATAAGACCGTCTAGAATTGTTGAGATGGCATACATGTACATTCAGAAAAGTGTTAACATTAAAGCCCAAAAAATGTTGAAAAAAGAGGACCTTCTCAAAAAAACATCAATCCTGATTGAAAATTATAGTAACACTGAAAGAACGTGGGCGCTTTTGATGGGCATTTGGCAGGAATCTGGGCGTACTTAAAAAGTGAAAATTTTATCGACATGTCACATGAAAATTTAACATTTTTTTATTCATCGGGTTCCTGTGCAACAGGAAAGGAAAATATTTTCCTGAAATTGAGCTCTGGTTAGCTAAAAATTAAGTTTAAAATTGGCCAGATCAGATATTTGGTACAAAATTATACATTTTGAAACATGTTTTTCTTAAAATTTTCTGTCTCTGGGTCTTCTCTCCATGATTTTGAAATATTATTCGTGTGTATTTAAATTCAAAGAAATGAATACACTTTTTTAAAAAATGGAGAGAAGACCCAGAGACCATGAAAAATTAACTTTTCCCAAAAAATCCAAATGTGTGAATGTGGTGCTTCTTTGTCCTTTTAAAATTACTTGTTTAAGTGCAGCGGTGATAGCTCAGTAAGTTGGATTACCCGTTCACTGTACTCGAAGCGAAAAGTTTTTGGTTCGAGCCTGGCATGGGGCGTTAATTTTTTTTTTTCATGCAAAAAACCATTTATTTTGTCAGTTTCATTTTTTGTACTTATGTATTAAAATTTTGATAAATTATAATTAAAATTAGATAAATTTTGGTTCGGTTTAGTTCCCGAGCGAAATCAATTCAGAATCTAATCTTCTATTCTACAATGTACATGTATCATGCGTCTATGCATTAAATACTTTAGGTGTTTATTTTTTGTGAAACATTAATATGTTACAGTACCCTCCAGGAAAAACGGACATAAACGTTACAATTTTACACGGTCTTTCAAACTAAATGAAAAAAACCTATGGACGTGCTTGAAAAATCTGACCAGCTATGTTCAGCCAACCAAATCATGGACATTTAAACCATAAATGTTTCGTACGAATGGTTCCTGCGAATTACTCGCCAAATGCGCCCATCTTCTTTCAGGGTATTTTTAGCGTTTAAACAAATTGAAGTGATGTACTTGAATTTAAGTATAAAAATTAAGTGTTTAAATTGAGGCTATTAATTTCGAGAAAAATTCTCAAGTAGCACAGAGATCTCGATACGATGATTATCAAAAAGATAGTATTAGGCTACGTAAATTAGGGAAATATTGATCATAAGTTACATGTACTTGTATTTCAAGGTATGAAAGGTATGAAAGGGAATCTACCTTGTGACCTAACAGAAAACGAGAAACAAAACCGTTCTATGCTGGATAATGATAATAAGAAAACCGATGTTCAAATTCATAAATCAGTGGAAAGTCGTCTAGACGGGGTAATATGTTATAAATAATATCAATACTCAGTTCGATCATTTCTTGTTTTGTGTAACTATTCTTGTTTAGATGAAAGTGACTTTGCTGTTTTGAGGCAATTTCTTTTTGTTTCTGTAGATCAGCCGACCATATAAAACAGAAGTGAGATGTAAAATCTGCAATAAAATGGTAACAGTTAATATAGATCTGATATAATGAATAGATATAATTACATGATATGATATGCTTCCAACAGTATCCTCTTGTAAAATCTTACAAAATATTGTTTTACATAATTTCAGGCAACAGCTATTTTTCAAACTTGCGGTCATTCTTTTTGTCTGGAGTGCCTTCAGAGAGCTGTTGGATCAGTTGACTTTCCTGAGTCAACAATTCTGTGCCCAATGGATTCTTGTTCTAGTTTTGCAACCACAGAGACTTTCAGAGAGTTTATGAACAGACCTCATATCCTTCATCTTGAGGTATATATTAAGTAAATAAACCTCTTTATAATTTTTTTTGTTGATCACGGGATATCTCTTAAACACAAAAGAAGCATATAGACTCAGCACGAATGTAATTCGATATGTTTTTTTCTGCGATATTGGTTTTAGCGGTTGAAGATAGTAAAACTATAATTATCCTATATATTAAATTGAAATATTTCTGATTTAAAAACATCAATTTGATACTCATTTTAGAAACTGTAACAAGTATTTCATACTCTTATATACTTGGTCATATGATCAAGGTTGAGCAGAGAAAGACCCCGCTAGATTATTACTGTATATTGTGATTAGTTTTCTGTGATATTTGTTTTTCAGATGCCTCTTTTTTTCAAAATATCACTTGGCCAATGCAAGGGGAAAAGATGTTCCGAAGAGGTATGAATGATATGGGCTGATTATGTCAAGTCATGAAATATTATGTGTATTGTTTTCAACGAATCCACTTAGGTTACTTTTTGTCATCTGTTTTGTCTGATGTCATGAATTGACATTAATATCTTCAGAACTGCTATATCAATTTCAACCATTTTTGACATTTGACATCTGTTGTGATGAGAAGAAATGGGAATAATTTCATGGTCTTCATCCTGATAAAGATGAATGGAGTACCACCCCTGATCTAAAATATGCAACTCAGATAATGATAGAAATGTTTCTGATGATTAATAGATATGTTTAGTTTTTAGATCAAAGAGTGCGCTCATATTATTTTTTCTCTCTAAAAGTACTCAAATATACCTGTTTACCATGAAAATCAAAAACATTGCAATTTCATAAATCCAGTTCTCCAAGACCTGGACTTTTAGGAGAAAATGTTTAAGAGGAAATGAAAGCATTACTAAGTCTTTATTTTTTATTGCTTGAAGTGGAACATCAAGTGTTATTCAATCAATTGCTCCAGGGCCATTTTATGCATCAAGTGAACAGGGTTCTTTTTTTCTTGCATATTTAACAAATAATAATAAAATCAACTTTATCATCTAAAAAATCGGACTTCGGTATAAAACCTTCTGGTGTTAGAGTTGTTATTTCCTATGTAGCTTGTAACACGAGCTTTGATTGGGTACAAAGTCGGGTGTAAATTTCCGTGCACCCGACTTAAGCCGGGGGTGAAAAAAAAAACAATCCAGGACGTCACAATACATAGTTTTTTCAAATGATATGACGTATGACATTGTAGTACGTAGATCAATTTTATCGATAATTTGAGACAAAGTTGATTGGAATGATTTTTACAAAATCATTCTTTGGAGACATAGGAAATATATTCGTTATCCAGGTTCAATCAAGGGTGTACGGGGATATGGAATACAACCCGGGGTAAATGTAAATCCCCGTACACCCTGAATTGAACCTGGATAACTAATAGTATATCTTTTTGAAATAGAATTCAAACTGATTCAGAGAATTTAGCCTCAAATAAATGATAAAAGAAAAGCTAAAAGAACTGAAAATATTACGTTAAGCTGTAAAAATATTAATAACCTTATTATTTTTTCTTCTTTGTAAAATATTTTAACAGGGATTCATCAACATGAGTTTTTGTAACCATTCGCTTTGTATGACATGTTTGGAGAGTTGTAAATCTGCATCAATATGTGTCGGAGAAGATTGTACTAACGCAGGAATTCCTCCAGCCAGATATTTTGACCATTTGCTTTCAGCAATAAAAGACAAAATGGTTTGTACGAACACGCAATTTTGAAAAAAAAGCCTTTCAAAAATATGAGTAAATCTTTTGAATTTTTTTGGGGGGGGGTGGGGGGGGGGTGGGGTGTGTGGCGTGTGGCGTGATTTCAACTCTCATGCCTTGTTTAGGTGACGTGAACTTAAGAATATGTTACATGTACAAAAAAAATTAAGAAAAATCGCTTATCTTTTTTTTTTTTGCTGGTTTCATTTAAACTCTAAATTATGATGGTTACATAGTTTTCATTAGTTAGTGAAGTTTATATAATATGTATTGTTTTGCTAGCAAACACCATTTATGGTTTGGGGAGCTGACTTCACACTTGAGAATTGGAAGTGTTCAGCATGTAAATATCCGGTAAGTAAAATAAAAGTACCGGTTTATAACATTTTAATTTGGACATGTAACACAAGAGACTGAAACTTTCAGTATTAACTTTTTAAAAAATCGTGATGTTTGAGTTTAATTTGTAGGAATATAATAACTCAGTGACAAAAGCACGTGTATTTACTTCTTCGTGGAATAAAAATGAATTATTAAGAAAACTTACGATAAGAATAAGATATAAAATTGAAAGATTTGATTTTTTAATACTTTTTACTTATTTCTCAAGAATAAGAATCTACCATTTATATACTTTTTAGTACTGCCACCCAGACCCAACATGACACCTGAGTAGACTTAGAAAATAGAGCTCTCGAAGCCTACTTTGGGCTGCTCTGGGGCTCCTGTGATATTGCTTTAGAAAATATATCTAACTGTTCTAGCAGTCCCTTGGGCTGCTTTCTGCGAATGCTTTGTGCACTCATATGAAAAGGATACAGGAGATATTATAGCCCCGCCCTTGTGTATTCTGATTTTGCGGGTTCCCAGTTGCTGTTCTGTAAGCATTCCTCAGAGAAGTGTTTGAATAAAAAAAAACACAAATAGACAAGAGATTATAGATAAAAAAAATAAATGTATGAGCATGTAGTTATAATTGATAATTGTTTTGAGGCTGTACATTAAAACGTAGTAGTTGTAGTTTAAAATTAATTCAAAGAAAGAAAGTACTTATTTAGTTAAGGAAGGAAGTTAGGAAGTGATATTTATCTCTTATATGAATTAATAACATGTGTTTGAAAACAATTATACAGGCCTATGAAAATTTTCCACTCAAAATTTGCATTAGTACTATTCTGTATTTTAAAAATGCCATATCAGTAAGATACTCTTTAAGACATATCTATTATTGAAAAAAATGCTAAACCATGTATAGAACTACATGTACCATAACATATTTTAACCGCCCTTAAATAAAACCTACTACATGTATTATTTTAGTCATATATTCCAAGCCCTCTGATTGGCATAAACTTGGTCACATGATTAAGTATATAACTAACAGCATATAGACATGAGTAAGTATTTATAGAACTTCAAAAGTATATCGAATTCATGTTTCTTGAAATGGAAGTAATTTTCTTTTAAACAAAAATAAAATTAATACCCTAGTAGTGATTTCACTATACTAGCTAATACAGTATATGATTTGATATTTAAAGAAATGTTTACTTTAAAAACTTGTATTTACATTTGTAATGTTCTGTAACTGATAACACGTAACATAGGACTGAATTAGGATCTACGTAACACACGAACATATTGAATATCTTTGTCAAAATTAATACAAGACATAATCAAAAAGATGTACATTTGTAGTATTATCAGTAAGTAAATCCTCTAAATTACTAAAAAAAATGTCAAGGAGACACATTTATATTAAACAATTGAATTTACATGGTTGGTAGTTCTGTGTTTAAGAGAGAAAACTTGTGGGTTGTTACCATTTTTTTCAAATTGATTATTTTAAACAACCTCTGTAAAAAATAAAATAATAAATGTAGCCCTTTAATTCGGTCAATTCATAGATATATCGACTTCACGGAAAAGCATATTGACCTCACACATCGTGCTCGGTCATTATGCTTTTCTGTGAAGTCGATATATCTATGGATCGACCTCATCAAAGGACTATATTCATATAATGACTTTTTTAAAAGACCATGAAATAAATTATTTTATCACTAGCTAGTCAGTCACATAAACAATTGGGGAATACTATCTGTCAGGTTTGGTCTCGTTAACAACGTACCCTCGAAGAATCAATAACTACCATGCTATTCATGATGTAATCTGTCGTTTACTCAAGGGAAATGTATGGCTTCTGACTATTTTGATATTACCTTATGCGTATATTATTTTTTGCAGGCATTGTATGAAATTATATGCTGCTGTCATAAAGTGTGTGCAAAGTGTATGAAAGAGATGAAGACTGGAGGTCGAATACCAATTGCTATTGGAAAATGTCCAGTTAACGGCTGTAATGAACTGTATCCAATTCCAAGCTATAGAAATCCATCCTGTGAGAGAAAAACAAATGTAAGTCTTTTTTTTCTTTAATTCGTTGGAATGTTGCAGTGCTATATATCCAAAAAGCGATTTCTTGTTTAGATACGCAAGTTATTCTATCGCCTTGTACCTTTTAAAGCCTACAGCAAGCTTATTTTAAACCGAGAAACCTTAAGGTACTTCTGACCACTTTACGAATTCAACTAAGTTTCAAACAAAGTAAGTTTTGTAAAAGGGATATCAATTTGGTTTTAAGAAGATTCATGTTGTGTCCAAAGAGATAAATGTTTGTGTTGCGGGACTTTTAATTTGGCAAAATCCTTCGTAAGTTAGTTTAGAAGCAGTTCAATGTTATGAAATTACAGATAATTTTTAAGGAGGAAATATTTCAAGTTGAATATAAATCTCTCTTCAAGAACGTTTGTTCGAAGCACATTGAACCGTCTGATATTTGACGCAGTAAAATGCTTTGGCTCAATATAATTAATAAAATAATTCAATTTTTAGCTCACCTGAGCCGAAGGATCAAGTACGCTTTTCTGATCAAAATTTGTCCCTCGTTGGTCGTTGTCGTTGTTGTTTTTGTCGTCGTCGTTGTAAAATGTTCACATTTTCATCTTCTTCCCAAGAACCACCGAGCCAATTTCAACCAAACTTACCACAATGTACCATTAGGTAACGGGGATTCAAGTTTGCTGAAATGAAGGGCCACGCCCTTTTCCATGGGGAGATAATTTTGAAATAGAGAAAAATTAATAATTAATAATCAATAAAAAAAAAAATGTTCTCAAGAACCACTGGACCAGGAAAGATGAAACTCATGTGGAATCATCCATAGGTAGTGTAGATTGAAGATTCTTCAAATCATGACCCCCGGGGGTATTGTGGGGCCAAAATGGCCGGTCAAAGTTTTACATAGGAATATAAAGGAAAAATCTTCTTCTCAAGAGCCATTGAGACAGGACAGATGAAACTCATGTGAAATCATCCTCAGGTAGTGTAGATTCAAATTTGCTCAAAACATTACCCCCGGGGCTAGGGTGGGGCCAAAATGGCCGACCAAATATGTTCATAGGAATAGATAGAAAAACCTTTCAAAATCTTTTTTTCAAGTACTTCAAAGCCATGATTAGTGATATTTATATGGAATCATCCTCAGGTAGTGTAAATTCTAGTTTCTGGGGGTTACAATTTAAGCCCCACCACCTCAGTAAACTATCACTTCTGATCTGATCTGTGCTTTTTCCTAACCGATGTGCTCAGGTGAGCGCTGTGGCCACTGGACCTCTTGTTCAAATTACTTTACAGTACATTAGGGAATCATGATTAAATTGAGGTTAGATTACTCTCTGTATATTAATGTTTCGACAGTCTTGCGTGTAACAAATGATCAAATTCTTCCGAAAATAAAGAATTAAGGAAAAAAGGTTTATTGATTCAGACGTGTTAACTTTCAGATTATTTTCTTTTACATTGTAGGCAAATGTAAAAGGCTCTACACTGGGTTTGTATTCTTTTTTAAAGTTTTATTTTATTTAGGGGTTGCAGAGAAACTATTCATCAACAATTAGATAAATACATAAATCGAATTCTTCTTATGATTAATATAAGGTCTTATACTTCTGTTTCAATTTTTTGCTGATGTGTAATTTTCTCTCCTTTGCATTTTCAAAAGATTTCTCTCTGAACTCAGGATGCTTTGTGTATATATGATATTATTCGTAGAATGTTATATACAAAATGCAATATGGTTAAACCAATAAAAGTGAAAAAAAATCAAATAAATATGTAGAACCAATTAAAGATTAATTTCACCAAGCAGAAATAATTGTTTTCTGAATAAGAATGTCTTTTAAACACAAATTATAGGCCAAAGCGAAAGGGTTAACACTTCTGTGGTCAAGCCTGAAAAAACGGTAAGGTGTCTTTTACATGATCATAAATTACTTGCAATATTTTATTTATATTATCGTCGTTGCAATTATGACTGAATTCTTCAAAATTACAAAATTAAGGAGAGATAACAGATGATCAAATTACTGACTTTTTAAGCATCCCATCAAATGTAATAGTTAAAAATAAATAAAAAAAATATATTATTTTGCAATTACAGTGTCCAAAGTTTTTTTTTCTAAACGTGTAGAACATCAGTTCTAGCTCCGTTTCTTCTTACAAATCTCTCTCTCCGCAGCCCAAAAGTTGAGCAGCATAGGATTTTATTACTAAATTATAATATGAAGTTATCAATCTACATATATTCGCTAACTGTGGTTTAAATTTCCAATACTTTGTTCTTCTTATATTTTTTTTTTAATCCCGATTAAGATTTTGTGTGTGACGAGTTCAGATAAAAATAACTGAATTTTCTTAATTTATATATATTTATTGCCTCCTTTTCAGGTATCACACTCTCTGAAAAAATCTAGAGGCCTTCAAAACATTGCTTTCTCCTGTTATCGAAATAGTATTCTACAGGTAAACGTATTCTAGTGTGGTTTTCTTAATTGATGGTATTGCAAAGAATCTTTCTTTTTATTTTGTTCAACGTTAATCCACAGCTAGTAACTTTTTAGCTCACTGAGCCGAAGGCTCAAGTGAGCTTTTCTGATCACATTTTGTCCGTCGTCCGTCCTTCTGTCCGTCCGTCTGTCCGTCTGTAAACTTTTCACATTTTCGACTTCTTCTCAAGAACCACTGGGCTAATTTTGACCAAACTTGGTACAAAGCATCCTTGGGTGAAGGGAAATTTAAATTGTTAAAAAGAAGGGACATATCCCCTCACAAGGGGAGATAATCAAGAAAAGACAAAAATAGGGTATGGTCATTAAAAAATCTTCTTCTCAAGAACCACTGGGCCAGTAAAGCTGAAACTTATATGGAAGCATCCTGGGATAGTGTAGATTTTAAATTGTTCAAATCATGACCCCCGGGGGAAGGGGGGCACAATGGGGTATCAATTTTTATATAGAAATATATAGGAAAAATCTTTGAAAATCTTCTTTTCAGGAACCACTGGGCCAGAAAAGCTGAAAATTATGTGGAAGCATTCTAGGGTAGTGTAGATTCTAGATTGTTCACATCATGACCCCCGGGGGAAGGGCAGGGCCTCAATGGGGAATCAAAGTTTTATATAGAAATATATAGGAAAAATCTTTGAAAATCTTCTTCTCAAGAACCACTGGGCCAGAAAAGCTGAAACTTATGTGGAAGCATCCTGGTATAGTGTAGATTCTAAATTGTTCAAATAAAGACCCCCGGGGGAAGGGCGGGGCCACAGTTCTATATAGAAATATATAGGAAAAATTTTTGAAAATCTTCTTCTCAGGAACCACTGGGCCAAAAAAGCTGGAACATATGTGCCCATGGAATGATCATGGGGTAGTGTAGATTTCAAAATGTCTAAATTATGATCAGTGGGGTAGGGTGGGGATGCATTATGTATAACAAGGGGGAAATCTGCTAAAGAACAGAATGGTCAAAGCTTCTCAGGTGAGCGATGTGGCCCATGGGCCTCTTGTTTAGAAATAGCAAAATTCGTGTCAAAGGGTATATTTTATTTTCCTCCTTATATATACATGTATAACATGTGGTTTACTTATTTACATGTACAACCAATAAATTTTTCGTTTTATCTTTTTACTTTGACCCTTCAATGATTTATGTAGCTTATATTTTATAAATAGTTCGAGGTTCGAATATTAGAATAGTAAACCTTAAACATGACATTTTGTTCAATATTGAAGTTTTACGGAAAAAATGTTATGAATGTTTCCGACTTATGTTATAGCTCCAAGTGGGATAGCTCTTTTATCAAACCTCTGTTGATGATCTATACCCTGAATACTTTTCCGAGGGGTTTCGGTCAAGGATTTGATTAAAGAGCTATCCAACGCATCGCCAACGTGGATACATGTAAGCAATTTATTATACTCATCTGCTGGACATCATTTCTTTGGATTTTTTTCCCCTAATACTGCAGATTCATAGGCAATTCATGAAAATGAATGATCTTATTTTTATTGTACCATCTTTTTATTTAATTAGAAATGGATATAGTTTACATTGAATAATATATGTTGCCTTCGTCACATTTACTTATAACAAGATAAAACGTTTTATTTGAATTGACTGTTAAAATAAGCTCGATATACATGTAGACATTTTTATAAAAAACTGTCTTATTTTATACACTTAATGATAGAAAAATTAATTATAAGAAATTAATTAATAGCTTCTAAAGTTTAGCTTTCAAAGTTTTGCTGGAATTCAACATGGGTTCGAACAGTTAAGGATATTTTAATCCGCTGAAATCCTAATGCCATCAAAATGCTAATGAAATCATGATGTTATTATCAATTATAGGAAATCAAAATAGGTGGCAAAAATTGCATAAAACCTTTCCGAGTTGGTAGCACAAACTATACCCCAAGGTATATTCACTTCTTTTTTTTCTTAGCATACATTAAGAAAAACAAGATTATTCAGAGAATCTGTGTCCCCGCTAAAGGGAAAAGAATATATGTGCTGACCCGGGGAGTGGAATCGAAGGGGATGGGGCATAGGAATTTATGGCATAAAATTTAATTGAAAAAACTAAAAAGCCTTTCGACATATCGCCCGGAAATGACAATATTACACACAAACTCTCTCACACACACTGAATGTACGAATTTACCTTGACATTTGATCTTTTGCCCTCAAAATAAAGTGGGTTCTTTTTTTGGTCATAAGGAGTTGTGGTATTAAATTGTATTGCAAAAGCTCTAAAGTTTTTCGAGATATCATGCAAAAACAAAATTGTAAAAAAAAAAATGATTTATGAATATACGACCTTGACATTTAGACCCCAAAAAGGGGTTTTCCTTAGACCCAGGGAGTTGTGGTATTCTTCTTTAACTCTTGCGTCTCTAGATATCGCGAAGAAACGAAAGCGTTACAGACAGACAAAGCTGTAAACTGACGGACAAATGGAAGGACAGACAGACAAGAAATAATATCATCAACTCTCAGCGGAGAGGGGGGGGGGATAATAGTGCAAGTTAAATTTCCTATCAGTAGTATTTCATTTGTTTTAAGTTTTTGACATATCTGTATTCTGTCTTTCTAACATTCCCTTTTCTGGATTTTGCTTTTCCTTCACTCTATTTACACGTAACTCCGCTTTAAGAAACTTTTAAAGATATTTTTATTGAACCTTTTATGATTGTACATATTAAATATAACTATCCAAATCCATCATCATTTTATCAATTTAAATTGAAATTGCCTTTATTTTGGTTCATAGATACTTGCAGAAACACCAGGTTTTTACGAATGTTTAGAAAGAATATGTGATAAAGAGGTAAGTATTTGAAAAGGGACTTTTTTTCTTTTTCATATGGAATAAGTTTCTTTTTGTTGACATTTATATTCGCAGCTACTGCCAAGACTAAATTAAATTGCATTCTCTGCGTTTCATTACATTTCTTGCCTTTTATATTGAGTTCAGTTTGTAGAAGTTTGATATCAAGACTCTCATTGAAAGTTTTTCAAGTGTTCTTCTTAAATCCCTTTGGCACAAGTGCATAATACAAATCTTATTAGTTTTACATTTTGATAGATATATTATCTTTATGAACCTAACGAAAACTTTGGACAAGTCATAGATTCTCGTGTATGAGTGTAAGACATATTTCATCAGAATTTCAACTTATGACTATTTGAGGGAATTTTCCACTCTTCATTGGGATTCATATCCAATCGAGAAAAACACTAGTTTTTCATCTAAGCAAGATTCATTTAGAGCATTCTTCTTACCATGTTTAAATAATGCTTAAAAATCACTTGCACAGTCACTGTTTGTTCCCAAGATGCTGTTAACGTACGCATTTTAATGTCTTCTTTTTTGCAACAAAGAAGCGATCGAAAAGTCGACAATAATTAATCACCCTACGGCTTAGAATAAAATTTAAAACACATAAATTTGACAATGCCTTCCCTCTGTCTCCCTCTTACCTTTTATAATTTCATATTCCTGCATCCATAAATTGTTATACAGAGCAATTCCTGGACAAACCCTCTCGCGGAAATTCTACACCGTATACGATCTCGGAATACAGCAGACGTGGAGATGTTTTCGATACTGAATAGTTTTCACTATCAATTCAACAACACGTAAGATGTGTTTTTTTTTATTTCGTAATGGTCAATTAATCAAAAGATGTTACAAGTATTTTAATAGATGTACAAACATGGGCGTCGGAAACAAATGGAAAATGGGGGAGGGAGGTAATCGAAAGCGGGGTGTTAAGCCAATAAAAAAAGATAAATCCCAATTTTTGATGCCTATAAAATATCTATTTTTGCTTTCAAAAAATTTGTGGAGGAGGAGGGTCAAGTGTTCATGTTAAGGTTTATCAATAACTTTGTATGACCTGATTTTTTTCTTTATTTTTGTACCATTAGTTGTTCCTTGTATCTTTACAGGAATATTGGATTTCGTGAATATCAACAGGAAGATACTCTTTCATTTTTAATGACTCTGTTGAATGGGCTTAATGATCATTATGAGAAATCAAAGAAAAGTAATATATTTATAATAATCTTTATTTATTTAATATTTACAAATCCATGTCATTTTTTCTATCATAATGCCCTAACAACAGTTTACAGTATTAATGAATTCTTTTTTTAAAAACAAAACTTTGTAGACGTGGACGGGTTTAAGAATGCTTTGGACATATTTAAAGGAAAATTTGAAGATAAATATTTCTGCGAAAATTGTAAAAAGGTAAGTTGGTCGGTGTCTTTAGTTAAAAGCTAAAAATTACATAAAGTGATGTATACAGGTATTTCAGTATAAATATACATATAGATGTTTAAATTTTATTTCAGGAAGAAAGTTTTAATCAGAGTGACTTTCTTAGTCTTCCACTCCTTAAGGTAAATTATCTCTTATATTTTTATATTTATTAAAATCAGAATTATAATTAATTAATATTTCTATCACTTAGCCTTGATTGCTCAAATTTAGTTTTCACATAAAGACAATAAAATACATAATCTGCATTGTTTATACTGTGAAACGATTTAAATTTTACTAAGTTGGCAATAGAAGGTTTCTTCTTCTGAAAATAAAACCATACTTTGCATATATTGTAAGCATTTCTTTTAATCTTTAAATTTTACAATCGTGTTTTCTATTCTGTTATTAAATAACATTTTAGTGGTAAGCGTGAAATTAAGTAAACCACAGAGTATGACTAATGTGTTTCATATTTACTTTTACTGCATTATATCTATGCAGTTTTATACCTTTTCACCCGCATATCAAGGTTTAGATATCTCAGTTGATTTGGTGTGCAAGAGCTAGTTTTTCAGCAGTTATGTATGTCAGCTTTCATTCATGAGAAATAAATTATTTGTTATATTACAATATATTATATTAAAAAATGACAGTGCATTTAAAACTACCATCATAATAAAGTGTAGATATTATATTAAAGGCTTAAAATGTTAACAAACGAATTGAATCCATTTACTGAAAAACATGATTGAAAATATTTAAACCGCTGCACTACATTCTGATAATTTTTCTTTTTCTTGTTTTAGAAATCTTCGCTATTTGAGAGTTTTTCTTATCTTTTTGAAGAAGAGGCAATTGACATGTTTCCTTGTTCGCGTTGTGGTAAGTATTTTGATAAAAAAGTGTAATTAGTACGTTATTATTTTTTTTTTAATTTATGCATGTTCTGCATGTTGTTCGTTGGCCATGTTCTAAAATGATGTGGAAATTATTAAAAAAGAATTTATTAATGAAGACGTAAAGGCGAATTGAAAATCCAAGTGTTTTTTTTATAATTGTAAGAGAATGTCCAAATACTACAATTTAAATAGTCATCTTTTTAAAATTTCAATTGCATAATTTTTGCTACTTTCTTAACATAAGAATCTAGGACATTGAAAAAACAGCTCCAAATATGCAGTTTTCCAGATGTTCTTGTTCTGCAGTTGAACAGGGAAGGCAACGTATGTTTTTAATTTTATTTTTTTTGTTAAGTATTAAATACATCTATTTAAATCTTAACATTCTGCTTCATGTACGCTTTGTAAATGACAATACTACAGTCACTGTATATTTCATTTTTGTATTTTTTATGAAGGTATACTGGACAAGAGATGATGATAAAACGGATTTTAAAGAATTTCTTAAAGATGCATGGAATGAGGAACTTTCACAGGTAAACTAAATGAAGATATCGTTGATCGTGTATTGAAACAGTTTGTATAAGTATGTTTTTAGAGATCGTTTCATTTTGTTTAAAGTGTAAATGTGAACAGTTTCTTCATTTATATGTTATGAAAATAATAGGAAAACTTTAAAGTAAGTTTGCAGCAACTATTTATCATATCTTTATTGGATATCAAAGTCATGCATAGAATCTTTTTGATAAGATGGATGTTTATGAATGTGAATTTTGTTTCATTTATCAGAAAGTCAGCTTGAATGAGATTAAGTCGTATAGATTGTATGGCGTTGTCGTTCATCGAGGAGACGAAAAGGGTGGCCATTACATATGTTTTGTAAGGAGACGGGACGAGTCGTCATGGGAGGAATGTGATGATTCAGTTGTAACCGCAGCAAATATAAAGAGAGTTTTGAGGGCAAATGCATACTTGCTTTTCTACGAGAAATGTGACTCTGAAGTTTAGACTGCACTTTAATGCAACAAGTGTACAAGATACATGCATCTTTTTATGTACAGTGTATATAATTAGCTTTTATCTCTGCATATATAAGCAATTGTATTTGTTGATATCAATAATGGTTAGATAAATTGAAACCGTTGATTTTAAGAAAATTAAATTAACCGTGTCTTCTCTTCTGAGAACATGTATATTTAACTTTTTATATTCATCATTTTGGTATATTTAATTTTATTTTTCAAGCTGTACGATAAACATGATGACTTTAACTTTTCTATCATCATCTTCCCTTACCTATGCAGCAATAGCAATATACATTCATCACCTGCATACAGGGTGTATATATCTCAGTTGATTTGATACGCAAGATTTTGCTCTGCGTATGAACAATTTTTAAAACGAGGTAAATTATTGACAAGCAAGTAGAAGAAATAATAATAGCAACAGTCTCGTTTAAAGAAATCATTTCGTAAATAATATGGTCGATTCAATGACCTTGCCTGCAAATGCAATTTATCATTGAGACAAATGCTTATTGACGTTTTTCATGCTAATTGTAAGTCCATTATTTATACACTGATTTGACAAAGGACTTTTTCATTAATTTCCGTTGTTGACAAGAAGCACACGGCGGGTGTGACCGGTCGGCAGGGGATGCTCACTCCTCCATTACACCTGATCCCAATTTGATGTTTCGAAAGTCAGTGTTTGCACTGCTCCTATTTTGTATTGTTTTATAGAGCTTGATATTGAATACTGCTTGTTACATGTATCTCCATATCCTTTTTTATGTATTACTTTCCTTCCTGTGCATGCATCACCATTTTGTTACAATTCTGTTAATGATACTATATTTTTTGGCATCTAAACATGGATTTTTCATCTATATAACATACTTATTAAATCTGCCTAAAATTCAATATCTTTTTAAGATAAATAGTGTTATTATATTTTTGCATTTAAAGAGTTTGAATGTGACATTTACTATATTCTACATTCGAATTTTTCGGAAATTTAGCAGATATTACATACATAATCGTTTTGAACGTCACTTATTGCAAACCATTACTGCTAAGGACGTAGGAGATTGGAATCATTTTTATTTAGTACGTATTTATAACATCTAAACGCCGTTTTTTCCACTTCCCATGTTTCTTAATCATATCAATATTAGAGCTCGTGCATTAACAATTTTTAAACAATATAAAGGGAGCTTCTATCCCTCTCTTAAAGAATGGATGGACTAAACTGCCAAGAAAAAATGCCATAAATTAAAGTTATTTAAAATATTTCTTTCTTTCCATCAAATGAATTCCCAATATCTTAACCGTATACATGTATTCATGGTGTAGGTTTAAATTTAAAACACTCTTCTCGAGGAAACCTAAATAACTATCGAAGACATTGGGCCTGAATTTTTCTTAAATATCAATAGATAATTAGGATTACGTGTTTTGCATCGTTTGAATATATACAGAGCATGTTTACAGGCTAATCTTTAGAAAAATATAACTCTATATTGAACAAAATGATGACATAATAAATGGAGAAGAGCCGACAAACGTGCATTCATACTTGATTTAACAAAAACTTTGTTCAAAACAAACTTTTCGCTATTGTATTACTGCGTAAACCTTAATCTGACTTTGAATGACACTTTAAATGGAGATTTCACAACAGTATTAAATTCTGTTTAATATTCTTACCTAGCTAAAATCCGCAAGGTTTTCGTAGATATAATTAATAACACTATTTTTCGTTTCCTTTTCAGATCTTGTACAACAATTTTTATAAATATTTTAGTACCAAAAAATGCATAGCCATCCAGTAAGGCACTCAAGTTTCTTTTGGTAGATGCCGAACAGGTGGTTGAATATAGAATAATTAGCAGGCCCTGACTTTTAATAAACCTTGTAAATACAAAAAGTTTACGTTAATTTCATCTCATGAAAAATCAGCTCCAGTCTCCTATCAAAATGCCCGAATCGAAGGGGAAAATTCGGGAATTATTTTGCGTCAGCCCTGATTTGACGTGAACTCTAGAGAAATACTATTATGACAACTACAATAATTAATCACGTGATGTCTACCTGCGGTAGTACTCAAGAACACAATCCAATTTTATTCTTCAATTTGACCTCGATCTGAATCACTCTTGGAGTGTGCTTGGTTGGTATTTTTCAGAATTTAGCGAATAAAATGTTTTAAAATTGCATGTCCTCACATTCTTTTTTGATTTCATATTGATATCGCTGAAATATGCCATACAGTCACATATTTGAATATATAGAATATAAAAAAAGAAAGAGATTACGCCGATTGCTACTAACAGCTTAGTAGAGCTGTCGTAAAAATGGGTCTTGAAGTCCATCAAATAATTAAGTTTATTTTTTTTCCGTGTACTCTTTTTTTAATTCAATAAAATTATATTTATTTTGACAATATTAATTGTATTTTTCAAAAGTTTTTGGTGAATGAATGGAAAACATTTTTTATTGATGTAAAAAGAAAAGGTAACAACTCCTGGTTAAGTATGCGCTTTCAAAATATGTTGTAAGATTACATTGAATAAAATGAAAAAAAAAATATATTTAACATTAAGCTGACATTTACCACGGTTTAAAGCATAAAACATTATTTTGTAATTATTTAATTCATGACACAGATTTTCGTATAGAGGTTGCATGTACACATTCAATAATCTTTGATAAATTGAAAGAAAATAAATATAAACTGCTAAAAATATTATGCAAGGCTACAATGTAAATTCAACCTAATTTGCTCAAATAACATTCTCCTTTCAATCACTAAAAGTTACCAGGATAGTCACTCAAAGATTTTTTTTTTCAAAATTTCTGTTGCTTATAGAGATATATGTACACAAAACTCGTTTAGTACGGCCACGGATATTGCGAATTTACGGATATAGCGAAGTCAACTTTGATCTCCAGCTGTATAAATTTAATGAATTCCTTATACGGTTATAACGAATAACAGGTATAACGAAGTAAATTCTAAGGTCCCAGCGACTTCGTTATAACCGAGTTTTGCTGTATAACGTATTTTTGAGCGATAAAATTAGTTGAAATTCTCTTTTGAATAGAAAATGATGAAAAAACGGTAGCGGTTCCAATTTTTTTTTTTTATTTATTTTTTTATAATTATAAAATCTCAAAGATCTAAGCTCTTTGACAGTATACAATTTAAACGTCACTGTTCGTAACCATTTTTATGAACATGTATCTTATCCCTTTTTTCTTGTATAATATTGTAATAATATTCCTTTGAAAACATTTTCGAACATTGATTTCAAATTGTCAATGATACCAACATTTTCTTGCCACCTCTAACTCTAGTTTGATATGCTTAATAAAGTAAATGGGAAATTTTCATATAAAGCATCCTTTGAGAAAAATATCTCAGTACAGTACTTTAAAAGATAAACACGTTGTTTAATTTGATCAAACTTTTAAATTTGAAATTAAGGAAAATTTTAAAAGCCTGAGTGATCAGGGGACAGTGCATCACTTTCCTAATTTTGTAAGCTGATCAGTGATAAGAATCATCATTGTAAAAAAGAATTAAATTTTTCAAACGGTTAAATACAAATTTACTGCATTGTGTAATATTGCATTATCATAATCATTACGGTTATTTGAATAAAGAAAAACCAATTTACATCTGTTAAGATGCATAATTAGGATGGAGGAGGTTTGTAAAGCAATAATTGTTCTAAAATTTTTCCAGATTCTTAAAAGAAGATTTATTTCTTGACTACATATTTCTGTACATTTACTTTTGTTAAATTAAAATATAAAACAAGAAAGTTAAACATTTTGTGTTGTGAGAAAAGGGAATTAACAGGTAATTGGAATTACTAAGAGAGAGCAAATTAAACTAAAATTTTCAACTTTATATACAAATCACTTTAAGGGGCCAGTTTCAACATTAAGTTCTGAATGAAGTCAACAAATTTTAATTCACTCGACAGATTGTATCGGTGCCACATTGCACCGTCCATTGAATTCACCACATTGAAGTTTTCCATCAAAGGCAATTTTTAAACATGCAAAGCAGAACTCTGTTTTACAGATAGTACATATCATAGATTTACATGCCTGATCATGCTGCAACAACGTTTTGCAATTTGGACAGAGGCGTATTGAAGGAACATTCTCCATGTTAGAATAGCCGAGGGTTATTTTTGAACAATTCTCCAGCTGACGAACAATTTCGATATTTTGTTCATTCTCGTTCGCTGAAGAACATTCATGATCTTGTGTCCAGGACTCTGAACAGTACCAACAAAACTTGAATGAGTAAAACATTTCATTTGAGCACTTGAAACACTTGATGTGATTCTGGAAAATGTTCATCTTCTTGCAATACGAATCACATCTCGGACAATTCTTAATTTCGTTTCTTTTACTTGCGTTTATGTAGTTGAATGAAAGTTTTCCACTATAAAATAGGTATTCGTCAGCACTTAGCATACACTTCTTTAAAATGAGTTGGTTATCAAATAATTCATTGCATGTTCCAGAGTCTGTTTTTCCAGGGCAGCATATGCAGTACTCATTTTGACGAATCTTTTCACGCAGCAGTCCAAACAAATTATCTGGGGCTGTAAAAGACAAAACGCACAAATAGAACAGTTATGTTATGAATTGATTCAAAGGAATGTAATGTACAAATAACTATACATGTATAACTTTACTTTCTACATTTACTTCTGCATTTATGAGACACAGATCAGATATTATATAGTCACATGGCAAAAGATACAAGAAACATAAACTAAGGGTACTTTGTATTCCATTAGAACAATAAGTAAACACTCCCTCGAAGTCAAAGATATTTTCATTGCGCCAAAAACAAGTAATAACTTAAAAGGTTGGATTTTACACTTCTAAATTGTTTTTGATTAAAGGTAATTTCTTTTGTTAGACACAGAGTACGTCTTGTTTAATTGTTAATGGAACAGAAGATTAACTGCGTATTGCATTTACATGTATATATAACAAAATTAGTTGATTGTTGGGGCATCAGGAGTTCCTGATATCAAACAATCATAACATTATGTGTGTTTTTTTTAATAAGATACCCGGTATGTACCTGGCTTAAAGAGATTATCAAACAATTGTTTAATGTTTTATTAATCAATCTCTACTGTTTGAATATGCCCGGGCATAATAAGCCTGTCATACATCAATCATTCTACAGCTCCAACTGCCGTTAATGTCGTATAACAAACAAAAAGCGATATATGGTAAGTGTCTCAATTGGCCCCTTAAAATGAATATCTTAATTTTACTTTATATATAGCTTTAATTTGTACAGCTATATATGCAGCCTTTATTGGTCATTTTCATTTTGATCAAAATGCCTATATTTTAGAAATATGACATTATATAAATCACGTTTTCCCGCCATTTTAGCATATTTTGTATAAAACTGCTTATTTTCAAGCAGTTTTTCTTCCAGAAAATATAGAGCGCAGCCTAGAACAAGATTTATATTTTTACCAAAGATGTATCTATCCAATACTACTTAGTCACAGAAAAATTATGTATGTTCTACACTGCGCTCTATGTTTCCCATAAGAAAAATCATCAAGAAAAAGGCATATATTTGGCTTTTTTATCAAATAGCAAAAATAGCATTATTTCTCGTGTCATTTACAGCTAGTAAGTGCATATAAATGTGAAAAATATATTGGAAATATTTCTTATATAATCTCTTCTACAAAATAAATATCAATTAAACATACCTGAATGTCATTATAAAATGTTGATTTTTAGGGGGCCAAAATTGGCTCTTATCAAATATACTCCTTTGAAAGTGGTTTGCTAAATTGACAATATTATATGATATAAAAATTTTAATTTAAATTAAAAAGATGTCTAAAAGAATTGAATTTTACGAAACATTCTATGTTTCTACAGTCCCCACAAACTAACGTCAGATTCACTGACTGCCTACTGAAATTGACAGGTACATGTACAGCATAGAGAATTAGGTACCACATGGCGGAAAAATATACATTCAATTTTATCGATAAATTAGCACATTCAATTTTCAAAGAGTAATCAAACAGAAAAAATAGAAATGGAAATAGTTTCTGATAAAAAGTTAATTACTTATTGCATGCCCACAAGGAAGTTCCAGTCTTGGATCTGATTCATATTCCCAGATTATGTCAGGCTTTGTTGTTGTTATACATCCTGATAGTGGTCGACTTTCAGCCCAAACCATTACATGAAAAGGATTATGTAAAACATCACTTGTTGTTTCTGGATCATAGATGAAGAAGTTTTCAATGTTAACGACATCTATCAGCCAATACTCAGTATAAAGCATCGATGCAGCACACCGTCTAATCTCATCCACTGTACCAAACTGAATATGAAGTCAAATGATTATTCTGAACAATCTAAGTTACTATGATATTTTTAACAACTTGAAGGAAAAATAATTTAATAAAACTATATAATAATAAAGTTTCTTACTTTAGGTACATTATACAATTTTTCAGATGACAACGTCCGGAAGGTAAGGTACTCTGTCATTTTTAATATATTTCTTGAGGTCTTGAAACGTATAAACTAAATCACTATTTCTCCTTTGTTGGATTTCAAAGAAAACAAATCGAAAGCAGAAATGGTTATTTTGAAATTGGTATCAACATTATCTATAAATAGATTTAGAAATGTTGATTAAACTAAATTCAATTGTGAGTAGATAAAGATATATTTATAGAATACAGTTAATCTTTCTATAAATAAATGAGATAAAATTCCCAATTTCTTGTATATGCACTTCATCAATATATATTTGGACAGTGAGTTTCGATTTTCATTCATGGAATTTTTATTTTACAGAAAACAACTGCACGTACTCGTAACAATTTTTGAAAGGGTGACAAAGAAAGATGTCTCTTACAATTTTTGTTAAAATGTCAACAAGAAACAAAAGTGAAACAATTACCGTCCAGAAGGTATGTTCTTTGTACAAATTCTTGACGATTACCTAAGTTTTGTGATGATAATGTAATATTCATAATGCTTCTTTCAAAATATGTTACAATATGAAAAGAAAAATCTTTTTTCAGTCAGATGAATTTTTGAAGATATTTGAAACCCTGGCTGGAAGAGTAGGAATTGAGCTTCAACACATTCGACTGACATTTAGTGGCAAGGAATACAGACATGATCAACCGGAAGCTCGGAAAAGAATAGAGGACATTGGGATTAAAGACCGCTCTACATTGTTTATGGTCTCAAGATTACCGGGAGGATTTTTATGATAGGCTTATACATGTTATAAACGAGCTTTGTCATTACAAGACATTTAGACGTAACCCACGCCACTTATCGAAAAGTGATATATTTCTTTGTGTGTGAATGGATATGTTGCATTCAGCCTCATTTTTTCAATACATAATGTGACTTTCCGCAAATGTTTTAATGTTTTTGTTGAGCATTTTTTTTAAATAAATAAATTGTTTTAAAAATTTATTGGTTTTATTACATGTTTTTTTCCAATATTCCTTTGGATTGCGATTTCAGACTGATTTCAGTCAATTTCATATACTTAGAGTTAACATTTCCACTTACCCTTTTTACTTATCAATTGGTGATTGCCTATATTATTGACAAGCGTTGATTCTATACAACACCTCCGGAAAAAGTCAGACCCATGAGAATGATTATATAGATATTTATAACAATTAAGGTGATTATTATCTTCCGTTAGATATATACATTGTATGTTGCAAAAATCATTGGTGTGTATGGGTATGGTTATTACTTTCACTTGGCCTGCAAGTATTATTTTGATTGCGCAAGAATAATTTGATAGTTGTGTATTTTTTTAAATTTTATCCTACTGGTTCAATTGTTAATTTAAAAAAAAGGATAGGTATTCTTTAATAGTTTTATCCAATGGAACATATAATAAAAGTGTTCATAAGCAGAGTGCAGGAGTTTAGGAATTTTGGTATTTGCGCCCCTAACTACTGATATAACGGGTGCATGCAAACTGAGTTTGACTAGCGATGCATAGTCATCATTAAAATACAGAAAAGTTTGAATATGTGTATATGGGGGAAAATCTCTCAGAGATATAAGCGAAATTGTTTTATGTATTTTATGCATACATATACAGCGATCAGAGTACTTTAAAATTTCCTTTCATCGTTTGAAAGTGGCATAAAGATTTTCTAATGCTATATGTAGTGTATTAGTAATTAAGGAACACAAAAATAGCCCTGTTTTAGTGTTCTAAAAAGTTTTTTAAACCATTCCAATTTCAATATTTACAAATCAATACTTCTACGATTGATACGTACACTATATATATTTTTAGGAAGTCCGTTTCTAGTTCCACTTTCGTTTTCACAATTACATGGAAAACAGTATCATAGATACGAGTGTTATCAAAAACATAGTAAGTACCATATACTGCTTTATAGGTCTAACTTTTAAGTTTGTTTTATTACCATCACAAAGCAATACAAAATACTTGATTATTCATATATATATTATTTTAATCACTGTTCCGCACATTAATGTTGATGTTGTGTGACCAAAATATGTTATTTATATTGTTCCCTATTCTTGTATTCATCTGAAGAGAGTTTTACTCCTTCAAAATATGTAAATTTAGCTATGAACTGGACATGAAATGTTTGACTTAATATGTACAAGCACATGTACATATATATTAAATATATTGTGTTAGTGCCTGAATTAAAACGTTTAAATGTTACTTTGCACTTCATAAACAAAAAAATATGTAATAATTTCTTAATTGGTTTTCTGTAAAATAAATTATGTTTTCAACTTCATAATTATGTCTTTCTGAAAGAAATTTACAGGCTGAACAAACGCTAAAAAAAAATAGAGGCATTAATGAACAATCTTTTAAAATGTGTTTCATATAAAGTTTTACTTTTTGCCGAAGCTTATAATCAATGAAATTTCTTTTTAATTCGTAATATGATTAACATTTTATAGCTTGAATGTTTTTTTGGAATTTAACTTGTTTATAACTTTAAAGAGTCCCTAAATGAAAAAAAAATACATATATTCAGTAATGACTTTTATTAGCTAAAAATATGTGTACAATGTATATTCATATATAGGTGAATGCATTTCCGATATTGACTGGCATGGTCCATACCAATGATTAATGTATCGTTTTATGCTACGTTTGACTATGGTCATTCCTGTCACTTAATACAGCGGCTGCAATAAAGGCGTGAAAATTTGACATGAAATGCTTACTCCTCCTAAATACTTGATTCTCCCTCTATAATTTCTAAGGTTTAAATGTAGAGCTCTATTTGTCATTGGTATAGCTTACGGAATGGTTACTTATTGTGACTTTTTTATCTTTAATTATCCGCTTTAAAATGATACATGTTAAATTTCTTAACAATAAATGAATACTTTTGGATTCAAATAGAAAAAGATTAAACTTTCTTATTACAGAATCTCGTTGCCATTCTATCAATCTTTGTATGAAGTGCTGCGAAAAAGAAACAATGCCAGAGGACAGGTAAAAATCATGAAGCATAATAAGATTAAGTCCAAGTTGAATATTCATATTCTAATGAAAGCTAAACAAATAACGGAACATACATGTGCTCACCTAAAAATATGATTTTGTTTTAGCTATTAATTTTTTAGATACAGTTTCAATCAATATTTTTACCTAGTTCCTTTTTTACATTTAGTGAAAATAGTCAACAAAGAAAAAATCATTAGCAACAACTCTTTTTACTGATTGATTCCCATTGAATAGTCAAAGAAACAAGGTTCACCCAGGACCTTTATGGCCTTGTAAAACTCACAATTTGTAACTGCATAAAATGTCATAAAAAACCCTTGGCGACACTGTATCTGTTAAATATGATGTAATTTTCCGGCTAGTCAATTTATTATGATATTTAAAATTGCGACATTTTTATATCCTGAAAACTTCTAACAAAAAGAAGGTGACACTGAAGTTATAATTTCAGTAATTCTTATACACAATCATTGGTCTAAATGTGCAAACGTAAAATCACAGAACTGTTTCGGAAGACCACAAAACGTGTATTTTGAAACGAAGGGCGTGCTGATCTTTTGATTTTTCTCTGAAACAACTCAAAACTCTAATATCTTTTTTTTTTGCAATTTCACAAGCCTGTTTTCCAATACTGAAATTCTCCGCGAAAAAAGCTTTTGCAATAAAGAAAAGCACAAAATCTTTACTTTATATTGACGTTGAAATAGAATGCAGATTATTTGCTAATAAATTGGTTACCTACAAAGTAATTTAATTTGTTAAGTGGTTAAGTGAGCCTAGCTCTTTGGTTAGCAAATATTGCAACGTTAACGTTTTTATAATGCAATCATTGTTTAATTATTATTATTTTGTTTGGGTTTTTTTTCTGAATAATATTTTTTTTTAATTTTATGTTATTTACATAATATGTAAATTTGAAACTTTTAAAATAAATGCATAACTTATTCAACCATAAAATATATAACATTTTGTGCATGTTTTCTACTTTAACAATGAATAATAGATTAATTTTCCTACAGAAATCCTCGAAATATTCGAGGACGACAGATTCGTCAAAGATTAGCAAAAATAGCTGAACAGAGTAAGTGCTTATCTGTACATCTATTCTTCAAGAAAGGAAAAGTATCTAGAAAAGAAAGAAACATGAACACATCTTAAAATATTTTACTCATATTTTTTTTTCATTTTTAAAATGTTAATTCAAAAAATCCATTACAGTAGGCATTTAAATTCTTCTCCTTTATTACAGATGTACAACATTCAAAGCAAGTGGTCAGTATACAATATACTCTCTTTGTCAATTAGATTCACATAGGCCTGATTTGCAGCTTTTCTCTGTACATATAAAAATTATAACATTATACACAGCAGGGGCATTACAATTCGACAAAACCTGGTGTACACATGGCCAGAAAAAGCTCTGCTCCATGCTTGCATCAAAGTGCCATAGAAAGAAAACCTGAATTGGTAAGAAATTTTATATTTCGTAAAACAATTCACTTTTGTAGTAGAATTTTGTATTCCTCACACTTTGACATTATCATTGATTTTACATGCAGTATACCATAAGGGACCTGAATAAAAGTGGAAATCTTAGACCAAGAAAGCAAAATCAAGGTCATACATCACGATTTCCAAATATAAATGAGAAAGATGATACAAAGCCAGTGTACACTAGATCAATGGTAACATGAATTAGTGTTTATTTTTCTTGTTTTTTAACACGATGCAATGAAATCTCGGAATAATTTATATTTTACTAGTTGTTTTTTTCTTTTGGCCACCAAACCTGAATTTTTCTCTTTTTAATCTCATTTCTTACATCAGGAAAATACTTCGAAAATGAATAAATGTTTTATACACAGCTGCCTAGATTTGACAAAGATTTTAGTGACAAAACTGGCGATCAGTACCCTAAAATCAGTGATGCAAGAGATTCAATGAGGCCAGCTTCTACAGAACGTAATAGACACATTAAGGATAATAAACAAAACCAAAGTACAGTACGTAATTAAATTATTGCACTTTAATGATTTACCTTTGTTTTCTAGTATTTTGATAATTTTCTCTGATCATATGAAACTGAAAAGAAGAGACAAAGAGAAAGTATATTTTACATTACTGATTATATTTTATTAATCATTGTCTTAACATCTGAAGAAAATTTCAGATATTTTTTCAGGAAATTAAAGGAAAGAATACTCATTATCATGTAGTTTCCAGACACACGGAGAAGCGACAGGTATACAAATTGGTTATTCATAATAAGTAGCTCCTCAGTCTTGTAAAATCTAAATGAAATTTACATAATCCTCTCCTTGATATCATAATCATTTCAAAAGGTTCATTCGTTTGGGACATCCGCAGTGTTGAACAAAGAAAGAGTACCAGAGTACAGTTATAATTTAAAACAAGATGAGAATTTACACCATGGAGAGGTGTCTAAAGGAGAAAGTATCCAGAAAACTGTAAGAAGTTAATGACATGTTTGTTAATACATCCTGGTGTATTAGTTGACTTATGCAATTTTAAGTCTACTATGCATCAACAAGTACATCTTGAGAAATAGTCAAATAATGTCTTGTATTCCTCTTCAATCAACTGACCGTTAATTTGTTGGTGTAATTCAGGAAGTAGAAATATTTTGGATTCTTTTTATATTTTCCCCATTTTTTAGATGATTATTTAAAGCACATTAATTCGTAAATTTATAGAGAACATGCATGAGAAAAAAAATTACTTCAAATAAGGCAGGTCTACCGTAACAGAAACAAGCATTTGTGAATTTGATAAACTAATTTAAGCAAACTTAACTGACACCAAATAAAATTTTTCATGTTTTCTTATTATTATGCAAAATATATCATCTATCATCTGTATTTTTAACTGTATGCACAAACATCATGTGGATATCAAACCATATCAACGCAAACTTTCAAGAAAAAAAATATTTTTCAGGATCAACCTACCCATTCCACTAACGAATCTACAGTGCAGGGGAGGGAACCACCAAAGGTATTTGTTACAATCTAAACTCATCAATCCTACAGTTTCATAATGACCATCTCATCTCAATTTAATTCCATAATCGATATTTTTCTGATTTCTAGGGGCTTCCTAACATAGGGAATACTTGCTACGCCAACTCTTTACTTCAGGTAACCATCCTAAAAAAGAGAGGAAGAATTAGAAATTACGTATGCCACAATAATATGTGTCTCAAAACTTAAAAAAATGATTTTTTTAGGTATTAGGGCAAACACCATTTCTGTATGAAAGATTGTTTTCCTGCAAGGAACGTGTTTCCACTGGTTTTAACCAACAAATGGTATAACTAAAGAATTAATAGCATGGATCTTAAGTTTTCTAGTGTTCATTTTCCTGTTGTGTTCTATTTCTATTTTCATTCCAGTGGCAATTTTTCAATATTTCTTAATTCTGTTTTGTAGAAAACAACAGTCACAAGTGCCTTTCGCAACCTACTACAGTCAATGAAGTCAGAGACCTTTGAACTAAAATCAGGCCCAATAGCAATGTTAATGAACGCTGTTTCGAGCAGGTAATATCAAATTCCATAATCCTAATTACTTGCTTATTGTTAAATATATTTAAAAATAAACACAAAACTGTAAATATGAATCAATGTCAATTGCTTATGATGATGATACTTTCAGGGAACGTGAATTTCGAATAGGGCTCCAAAATGATTGTCACTCCTTTTTGCTAACACTGTTGAGTGAGTTATATGATGAAAACCAGGCAAAAGGTACGTTTACATCAATAGCGACCTCTCCAAAAATGTTTAATTTTATAATTATTTGAAACAAGAAAAACTATTGACAAGCAAGTTGATGAAACAAGAATGTCAGCAATCTTGTTTAAAGACCTCATTTCTTAAGTTCTATGGTAATTCATCATTAAGTCAAATATTGTCTGACGTTTTTAAAACTAATTGTTAGTCTTTATGTATACACTGAATTGAAGATGGATTTGTCCGTTATTCTCCGATTATGACAAGACACACATGGCAGGTGAGGCCGGTCGGTAGAGAATGCTCACTCCTTTAGGTACCTGATCCCACCTCTGATGTTTTTGATATCCGTGTTTGCTCTGCTCCTATTTTGTATTGTTTCATGGACTTTTGAGCTTGAACACTGTTCGTTATCTTAATCTATTTTATCGAACACTTTCTTGACCTAAAGCTGCTATTCTTTTCTTTTGTTTTAGACACAACAATTGTATTCGAAATAGATATGGTTGACGAATTTTCTTTTGATTCCTGTGATCATGTATGGTAACAGTATTTATATCTTTTCTTAGTATGAGATCAGTGCACTGAAGAAAGTATATATGTATAAATTATTATGTATCTTTGTAGAAAGAAGTCACTGATACTCAGATTATGAGAAGCCTAACCATTCCTTCAGAATCATATGTAAGTAACACTGTAACAGAAATGTACTTAAACATGAAAAGATTTCTTCATGATGAAAAATCAAATATTGTGACTTAAACTAAAATATTTTTAGAATGTTGATGAAGGTTTAAAAACACTTCTTTATGAGGAGGAATTTGATGAGGCAGATGTCCCTTGTAGAGAATGTAAATCAGATGGTAAGAACATGCATGCATGAAAGTATTATCAGTACATGTATTTAAAATTTACTTTGCATATATTACATTAAACTCTGTATCTTATTTCATGTTGCATTCTTGCATACTTTTAGGATTTTTGTCACGAACAGGGAAAACAAGAAAAGCAATGAGATTTCGTACCTTGCCAAAAGTACTCGTACTTCAGCTCGGGTGTTTTCAGGAGGTACAAAGAATATTAATTTAACACTTTGAAATACATCTTTATGTTTGTAAGAAATGAAGACATCGAATTGTTAATGATTAATTGGTAAGGAATTGATCAAATCTTAATTGAGTCTCTTAAAATGGATTTTTCAGATGAGCTATGGTGGTCACCTTCATATTGCAAAGTCTTTCAAAAGAATCGCCTTTCCTGAAAAATTGAGAGTACCACAATCGGTAATCTAAATTTATGATTATTAGACCGTATACTGAGAGCCTAAATCGAGAGGAGACTAAAGGCAAAATTTTAAATGAATATAACTGCTGAAATCATTTGATAAGCAAACGAATTGACAATTTAATAAGCGTCTTCCAGCACATAAATACTTATAACTGACCCTATAGAAACCCAGTCCGCAGTCCGCGGAATTTCCAGGTTGCCTGATGATGAACAAGGTCAGTATGTGACCGGTCAACTAAGCAGGGAATGCTTACTTCTCCATGGGACCTTATCCCACTTCTTATAATTTGGATGTCTATTTTTGCTAAAATTTGATTTTTGATATTGATAGCTTTGCATTATCTTCTCATTTCAATTTTCATACATAAACTATATGATGTTAATTGACTTTTTTTTCTATAAAGAAGCCCTGGGTACTTCTAACAAGAGGCCCATGGGCCACACCGCTCACCTGAGCACTCTGGCTAGGATAAAGTAGAAATTGGTTTATTATTGAAAAGTTTAAATCCAAAAGTAAACCTTTGACCAGTTATGGTTTTGATATTCTTGAGAAAATGATTTTTAAAGAATTTTCCTATATATTTCTATGTAAAAATTTGGCCTGCCATTGTGGCCCTTCCCTACCCCCGGGGGTCATGATTTGAACAAACTTGAATCTACACTACCTGAGGATGTTTACCCATACGTTTCATCTTTCCTAGCTCAGTGGTTCTTGAGAAGATGATTTTTAAAACATACCACCAAATTTTCATTAATTCCCAATTATCTCCCCTTTAATGAGGGCGTGGCCCTTCATATGATAAACTTGAATCCCCTTCACCCAAGGATGCTTTGTGGCAAGTTTGGTTGAAATTGGCCCAGCGGTTCTTGAGAAGAAGTCGAAAATGTGAAAAGTTTACGCCGACGCCGACGACAACGAAGACGACGACAGACAACGGACAGATTTTGATCAGAAAAGCTCACTTGAGCCTTCGGCTCAGGTGAGCTAATAAAGTAGAGTGGGTCGTTTTATCCTATTTGTGCCTTCTTTTTTCTCATTACATGTACCACCACTCTTTCTCCTTTCCCCCTCTCATCGTGTATTCCTCACGTAAACAACCTCGAGATTTTTTAACGGTAAAGCATAATGTGAATTTTGTAACACAGGAGATAAATGAAATGTTTTGTTTGATTCGAATGCAATTCCCACACTCCCATCCCGTGCCATATATCTTAAATATGAATCTCCACCGAAAGTAAAAAAATAAAGTGAGAAAACTTAAACTTTATTACTTTCAAAAAACTTTTTGTCAGTAGATGCATGTAATTTTTAGTTGTTTTTAGCTCACTTGAGCCCGTCCGTCGGTCCGTCTGTCTGTCCGTCCGTCCGTGAAACTTTTCACATTTTCGACTTCTTCTCAAGAACCAATGGGCCAATTTTAAACAAACCTGGTACAAAGCATCCCTGGGTTAAGGGGAGTTTAAATTGTTAAAATAAAGGGCCAAGTCCCCTTACAAGGGGAGATGATCAAGAAAAGACAAATATAGGGTGGGGTCAATTAAAATTCTTCTTCTCAAGAACCACTGGGCCAGGAAAGCTGAAACTTATGTGGAAGCATTCTTATATAGTGTAGATATTAAATTGTCAAAATCATGACCCCCGAGGGTAGGGCGGGGCCACAATAGGGAATCCAAGTTTTACATAGAAATATATAGGAAAAATCTTTAAAAATCTTCTTCTCAAGAACCACTGGGCCAGGAAAGCAAAAACTCATGTGGAAGCATCCTTGGGTAGCATAGATATTGTATTGTTAAATTCATGACCCCCGGGGGTAGGGCGGGGCCACAATAGGGAATCCAAGTTTTACATAGAAATATATAGAACAAATCTTTGAAAATCTTCTACTCAAGAACCACTGGGCCAGGAAAGCAAAAACTCATGTGGAAGCATCCTTGGATTATGTAAATATTGAATTGTGAAAATCATGACCCCCGTGGGTAGGGCGGGGCCACAATAGGGAATCCAAGTTTTACATAGAAATATATAGAACAAATCTTTAAAAAGCTTCTTCTCAAGAACCACTGGGCTAGGAAAGCTAAAACTCATGTGAAAACATCCTTGGGTAGTATAGATATTGAATTGTTAAAATCATGACCCCCGGGGGTAGGGCGGGGCCACAATAGGGAATCCAATTTTTACATAGAAATATAAAGAACAAATCTTTCAAAATCTTCTCAAGAACCAGTGGACCATGAAAGCTAAAACTCATGTGGAAGCACCCTTGGGTAGTATAGATATTAATTATAATTGTTCAAATCATGACCCCTGGGGGTAGGGCGGGGCCACAATAGGGAATCCAAGTTTTACATAGAAATATATAGATCAAATCTTTAAAAATCTTCTTCTCAAGAACCACTGGACCAGGAAAGCTAAAACCCATGTGGAAGCATCTTTGGGTAGTATAGATATTAAATTGTTCAAATCATGACCCCCGGGGGTAGGGCGGGGCCACAATAGGGAATCCAAGATTTACATAGAAATATATAGAACAAATCTTTAAAAATCTTCTTCTCAAGAACCACTGGGCCAGGAAAGCTGAAACTGATATGGAAGCATCCTGGGGTAGTGTAAATTCTAAAGTTTTAAAATCATAAAATGGAAGGGGGTAGTGGGGCATGATAGGTATAGCAAGAGGGTAAATCTGGTAAAGAAGTATATCACCCAAGTTACTCAGGTGAGTGATGTGGCCCATGGGCCTCTTGTTTTTTTTTTTACAATAACCTTTATTTATCAATTGGTTTTTTGGGGATATTTAATATGCATCATGACTTTTATTTAATATATTCGATGCATAAGATGCTCTAATAGAATTCAAATACTTAGAACTCATGACCTAGATGTTTTGAATTGAGATTTTTCTTTCAGAATGGAGGCACTGTGACTTATCATTTATATGGAGTTGTGAACCATCATGGCTCAGTATATGGTGGTCACTACACATCATTTGTAAAACACCATAGCGATACAGGGCATTGGTACTATTGCAATGACAGCCATGTAAGACATTCGACACTGTTGGAGGCTTTAAAATCTCATGATGCATATCTGCTTTTTTATACCATATGATATTATTAAAGTATTCATTTATTCACTATTCCATTTTGCATAATGAAATTAATATGTACTCTTAAAACTTGATAACTTCTCTTTCTTCAACAGTGACAGTTGTACTACGAATACAGCAACGAGTTTTTGTGACAAAAATGTATTATATTAAATAAATTACAAACACTTGATATAGACTGATGTTATACTTGTATTACTTTGCAATTACCTACAATGTTTACTCTAAAGTTATTTATTGAAGGAAATACTCAGTAATAACGGTATTTTTAAAAGAATGTTTATGTAGTGAATACATTCTGAACTGGAGCAACTTTACACTGGGTGCTATACCCGGAACACTGCAATCTTTGGTTTACACAGAGAGTTAAACATGAGAAGCAGAACTCGGATTTACAGCTCGGGCATCTCATTTGTTTACACATCTTTTCATGCTCAATTAGAGTTCTGCAGTTTGGACATAGTCTCTTAGAAGGGACATTTTCAATTTTGGAATAATCTAAAGTTTTCTTTGGAGCATCATTCAGGAGTTTTTGTATGGCTTCCAGGTCTTTATTACCACAGACATGATTTGGTATCCATGGGGATTTACAATCCCAGCAAAAATCAAACTGTTTATCCAACCCCTTAGATGCACAGCGTGTACAATGAACAGCTTTGCTATTTTGTTGGCGCTGACAAAATTGCCCACAATTTGGGCATTCAGATGTCTCGCCGTTGCCTTGAAGAATTGCATTTAGAGAAATTTTATATTCAAAGAAAATCCTTTCATCCTCTGTCGTATCAGCTTTCTGTGCTACTTCTCGAAAGCTCCATTCCTGCAGACAACCTGGAGTAAGGCAGCAAATAGAATGTCTAACTTTGTTCATGAGAGTATCCCTCATATGTCCAAATAAGTTGTAGGGTGCTGCAAAGTGAAGAAGCATGTATTACTATGTATTATTTATTCTTATTTTAAATCCATTGTCAAGCTATGAATCTTAACATTCTGAACTTTGTTGGAATCATATTTTTCACTGCTTTTTATTTTCAAATAAATGAATTATAAAACAACTCCCTTTTTTGAAAAATTACCAGCAAAATACATGAAAATATAAATACATTGATCATGAAATAAACAATGCGCGACGAACGTCGGTGTACATGTTACATAAATGATTTTGAATACTTACTAATAGCATGTCCACATGACATCTTAAGCCTTGGTTCCTCGTCATCAGGGTCCTGCTCTATCATATCAACTTCAGTTGTCACAAGATAGAATGGAATACGCCTCTCATTAGCCCCTATCATCACTTGGATAGGGCGAGGAAGGTTCAGAATACCTCTGCTATTTTCGTATATTAGCCCCTCCTCAAGATCAACGATGTCTACACAGTGGCGAGGAACACCACAAAGGGATGCTATAGGGCCCTTTATTTCGCTAACTGTATCAAATGCCTAAACACAATTTTAAAAAAAAGCTTTTAATCTGACAAAGTTGTGTAGACATCGTACATAGAATAAAATAATACAATAATTACATCATTTTCTCAGAAATTATAGTTACTCAAAGTCTTAATAATACGAATATCTGTCTATAATTAGGATTTTAGAGCTCACATTTAGAACTCGAATAAGTTACCGTGTGAAATGAACGAGGATATCCAGACGACAATCTCTGAAACTCCATTCTAGACTGTTACAAACCACGCGATTTAAATGACACTAGAGGTTCTATACTTACTATTTATTTTCTGAAATTTTAAATATTACTTTCGCTTTCGATTTCATTTCTAGAAATAACTCCCTTCATATGTCCTTCTGATAAAAAAATCACTCTATTATGTTCAGAAGAAATCAATGACATAAACTCAAAAATTAGAAATAAGGGCCAATTGGAAACTGTAAATAATTGGCACACAGTTTGAATATGCATATTTTTATTATACTTTTTTACCATATGACCATAGAATGCACTTACCACAATGATGAGCCTATAGCTGGCTGTTAAAGAACTTTGTCTACAATGGGTATGCATTTTTACCATTTTGTAGGAAAGGGTAAGAGAAGAAAGGTTATACATTTCTGGTTTTTAAATTCTATTATTTTTCACACATTTACCGACCAAATATTGTGAGGGACGTCTTTAAAAGCAACTATTTGAAGACCTGTCCTATAGAGTCATCAACTAATACGTGACTATATTTTATTAAAATGACATTACTATTTCAGTCAATGCTCGAAATAACGCAAATAAAGCATTTGATCAAATTCTTCTGGAGCTGGAGATCTCTGTTAAACCTTGTAGGAAAACATTTTTAATAGCAGAATGATAGAAATTTTATAAATTAATTAATATACTCCCTGTATGCTCGCAAAAGTTTACCTTTTTGTGGACGATTATGTTCCAATTTTTGTTTACGATTGTTAAGTTTCA